AGTTTGTCAATCTAGATGATAGTGAAAGTCCACAGCTCCGGTAGCTTCTTAATAGCGGAAGGAAGAGCGTTCCAGACGGCCGCAGAAGCGCAAGCGTGTTTGTGTGCGTTTCTCTGAGGAGCGGTGGTGCAGTGGTTGGTTATCGCTCTGCTGTATGTACTACGATCCCGGTGTATGCACATGTATATATCACATGCATACATACACACTCCGCTAATAATGCATAGTGCATGCAAGTGTGTGCATTCATAATGACATTACGGTATTATCCATGGGGGGGGGGGGGGGGACTAAAATAATTTAGAGCTTTAGAGGTCAGCAGTGATTGTATGGCGCTGTTACATTGCACACTCCATATAAACGTGACATATTAAAACACATATTGACTTATGAGCCAATCTCAAAATTGGAGCCCTTCTTTGCAAGGGGCTGGAGAGGCATTCCTGTGCCGCACTCTACCCAGGGATAGGAGGAAGAGGAGGAGGAGGTCACGACTTTAAACCCTGCCTGCTCTGCTCTTTAGCTAAGGGCAAGACATTTTGAGTCACTGAGCTATCGCGCTGCTCTCACTCGCATGCAGCCTCGTGCCGGGCGTCGGCGTGCGTGTGCGTGCGTGTGCGCGCGTGTCTGAGCGTTCGTCGTGAGCGGTGGCGCAGCGGTTAGCGCGCTGCGCTATGAACCCAGAGGCGGGGGGATGGAGGGCACGAGTTCGATTCCCGCTCACGACCCATTACAGTGGGGATTATCTGAACCGGTCCTGGGCCTCCCCTAGGTCGACTCAGCCTCACGCGAGTGCCTGGTGTGTGTGAACATCGCCACTGGGGAGACAAAGACGGTCGCGCGTGGAGCTCGCCACCCACCCCCTCGTGTGCCGTGCCGGCCTTCATAGGTGTTCGCTAACAGCACTTGCCCCGACAATCTGTAAAGGCTACACGGGGGATCTTTGCCTTTGTCTTGTTCGTGCACGTGTGTATGCGCGCGCATTCGAGAGAATGTGTGTGTGCGTGTGTGTGTTCATGCATGCATTGTGGGGAGCAGTGGCGTAGCGGTTAGCGCACTGCGCTGTGAATCCGGCGATCCGAGTTCGATTCGCGCTCACGGCCAACCCCGGTGATCTGAACCGGTCCTGGGCCTCCCCTAGGTCGACTCAATCTCAAACGAGCACCTGGTGCGGTGTCTTTGGTGCGTACCTGGTGCGGTGTGTAAACATCGCCACTGGGGAGACAAAGGCGGTCGGGCGTGGTGCTGGCCACCCACACCGTAGTGTGCCGTCCCGGCCTTCATAGGTGCTCGCTCACAGCACTTGCCCCAACAGTCTGTTAAGGCTATACGGATGATCTTTATTTTTGTTTTTGTTCATGCATGCGTTTGTTTATGCATTTGTGTGTACGCTTATTATGTGCCTGTGATCACAAATGTGTGCTGTGCGTGCATTTGAATGCGTTTGTTCATGTATGTGCGCGTGTGTGTGTGCAATTGTGTGTACAGCATATGTCCGTCTATCTCCACGTGCGCGTGTGTGTGCGTACACGTGTGTGTGCGTACACGTGTGTGCGTCCGTGTGGAGCACGATGGTGTCCCTTGGGTGGGGTAGAGTGTGGGTACTCCCACCTTTGATTTCGTTCGCCAGCGTGGATGAGCAGGCCGCATCAACCCACTGAGAGGGGCTGTTAGTGGAGGAGGTGACGGAAGGGGGGGGGAGCTTTCCACCAGCAGTGGCAAGCAGTAGTACCGCATGAAGTTCGTGCGGGGCCTGTAGCATTTGTTCTAAAGGGGCCCTAAATTAAAAAAAAAATATCAAAACACAAATGTTTAACTTGCACAGTAAAGTAATTGTATTTTTTCATTTGCAATACAGCCAGATAATACGACAAATCGCTAACCTGAAACACCCAGGCGTTCATAAAAGTTGAAGGCGGTATAGTACTATTAGTAATAGAGCAAGTACACAATCACTGAACCGGAATTGGTAGCTTGAAAGCATTTAGCGCGGGGCCCGTAGCATATGTAGCTACTTGTGCTACTCCAGTAATCCGGCACTGGTGGCAAGGGCGCTGTATGAATTCTAAATTGAATAGAATGTAGCAGTGGCAGGAGCAGGCAATTACAGGGCTGCTACCCGTTACCCACTGCCGCTTGAATGGCTAATCAGAAGGCTCAAGCCCCTTTCTGAAGCCGCATCACATGGCAGCATAGCACGTGTTGAAATTGTTTTCTTCTCAGAAACACAGCACACAGTTTTTTTGTTGCTGCTGCTGCTGCAGAATTTGGTGAATGCGCACACTCGCCCGGTCGCTACATTTTATTCAAATTTGTGTTGCAATCGATTTTGCCGCTGAAGCCAGACGTCATTTCCAGACGGAGCTCTTTCACTCAAACCTCATTCTCCCTCTCTCCCTTAAAAGCCTCTCCGCCCGCAGAAAGGTTATCGCGGTGAAGCACGCGTGTGTATGTGCACTACATGTGCGTGTGTTTGTGTGCGTGTGTATGTGCACGTGTGTGTGCGTATGTGTACGGGCGTGGTGCTGGCCACCCACCCCCTAGTGTACCGTGCCGGCCTTCATAGGTGCACGCTAACAGCACTTGCCCCTACGGTCTGTTCAAGGCTATACGGGGGATCTTTGTCGTTGTGTGTGTCAATTCGCATGACTGCCCTTCGCTCAATGCGAGCGAACGACACACATTGTATACAAATTTATGGGGCCGGTGCATTAAAAAAAAAACGCTTAACAAACAGAAAGCCACGAGGCATGACAAAAAATCGACAATGAGACCTCAATAACGAGTGACACGCTATGCATTTTTTAACGACGGAGGCTGAAGTGTGTGTGTGTGTTTTAAGACTTATCCGATGTCCACATCACCCTTGTTGTATTTTTATTTCTGTAATGCTGATTAATTTGCGGGGTGCTGATGTGGGCCCAGTGGCACAGTGGTTAGAGCGTTCGCTGCCTGCTCGCATGAGGTTCGCAGTTAGAACCCCTGGCAGGCAGCCCCGGTTAATACCGCGCGTGTCTTGACCGCTTATTAATTGTGGGGTGGTGGTGTTGGTGGCGCTATCGCTAGGCCAGCAGTGGTGTGTGCCACACGATTGCAGGCCTGCACCCTTACCGTCGTACTGTTACTGGACATCTGTGAGAAAGAAAAAAAAGAGATTTATAGCTCATCGGATTCCTCCTCCAGTATAAATACATATTCTGATATGAATAAAATACCACGGGTCGTCTGTTTCACGGTGGACGTTGAAGATCCCGTGACGTCATGTGCAAGAGTAGGCCATTGCGTGACGGCATCACGCTCAAATTTGCCCAATTCTAAAAGAATACTGCAAAGTGACTGAATTTAGAGTATGCACACGTTGCAATCATCGGCTTCCATCCCTACTGCCAGACCAATGTCCACTTGCAGGCCAAGTGCTGCGCAGGGACAGCTGCCACTGGGGGGTTGCCTCTTTGACATGTTGTTGAGATGCGATGGAAAGCACTCTGAGATGTCCGGGGCGCAAAAGAGGGCAGCTATATATAAAAAAAAAAACCCAAAAAACACCTTTACTATGTCATATTTTAAAGCAGTAAGTGTGGAGAGGCATGGGTGGCGGGATTGGTGAATCACGCAAAGATTACTGCGTGCTGCTACTTTGGATATGGAATAAGTGATGGTCAATAAATTGGTCGTGTTGTGGCATCACAGTGGAGCAAGCGGGTGCGTGAGCCTGTCCTGGTTGGGGCATGTTTACGTGCGTGCGCTTTCCCCACCGACTACAGTTTTATCCCACATGCAGAGCACTCGTTAAAGGAATCTGCCTCACATCCCAATTTGAGACCCTCATGAAAAAGTGCCTTTGAGACACGGTGAAACATTCCTGGATTCAGTGAGAGAGATTTTAAAATTCATTCCCATTCATAAACTTTGTATTTTGCATTTCCGACGATTAAAATGTCACATGATCAAATCACCCAGAATGCACCAATCTCATCAAATCTCATAAACTAATGCAGAGTGGAACCACAATATTTTCTGATACTCTGTAGGCAACGATGCCTAAGCACAGATAGCAAAACAAACCAACACATTCGTCAGCAACACTGTGCCCTTCAAAGGAAAAAATTATATAAGAGCAAACGTTTCAGGCAATAGCCCTTCTTCATAGCACCACCTCTCTGGCCTCTCCACGTGGTGTCAGGGCCATTGATCTAAACGTCACTGGCTGTGGCCGCGCCACGGTTGTGGAATTCCCTGCGGCTGGAAATTCGGTCATCTGATAATGTGGAGACTTTTAAGTCTCGTCTTAAAATACATTTTCTCAAGTCACTTTATTCCATTTAGATACTTCTTCTCTCTGGACCTTTCCTCATCCTTGTTCTTACAAGTCACCTTGAGCCATTAGTGGAAGACGCCTTACAAACACATCTAAATAATAATTATTATTATATACGCTCACCTTTTCAGCTAGAGTTGAGCCAGCTAAGTGCTCCGATGGGCGACCACCACTAATGCCACGGCTGCTACGGGGCAGCTGCTGCTGCACGTGGTCAGCAGAGTGCCATGCAGAAACCCCGCTCTTGTACTAAGCTCCTGGCCATCATTCTGGCAGCTACACGATGGGACCTTTTTGCCAGTATCAAAGTACGAAAACATAAGAATAGGTTTTACCCTTTCTGGCAATAAAGCAGGATATGTTAAGATGTCCAAACACCAAATACAAACATTTTGCAAGGAACCAAGTCTGCATTCACCACACACAGTGCTTGTGGTGAACACGCAAACAAACACACTCTCATAATATTTGCATTGTCTTTGAAACTGAATGACCTACCCAAGAGACAGCCTTCTTTAGGGCTTAGTCTCACCAGCGTCAGACCAGAGAACGACGCCAAACGGCGAACAGTACAAAGACTCCATCAGTCGAGCAGAGACAGCTAAGAAGGCTGTCTCTGGAAGGCTATCTCTGGTGTAGGCCACTCGGTTTCAAAGACAATGGAAATATTATCAGAGCAGGTTTGATTGCGTGTTCACCACAAGCACTGTGTGATTAATGCAGGCTTGGTTCCTTGCCAAAGGTTTATATTTGGTGTTTGAACATCTTAACACCTCCTGCTTTATTGCCAGAAAGAGTAAAACACTATTATTGTTTTTTCATCCTTTTTGGCAGAAACATGTCATAGATTTAAACATAGATGAGCTTCGTAGTAATGCGTTTTGTTTTTTTGTAAAAGGGTTGTCTGCGACTCAGTGGGCTGCTATGAGTGCAGCTATTCATTTCCCTATTTACAAAAGTAGTCATGATAAAACAATGTTGTGGATGTAATCCTCATCAGAACCCCCTGGCGTGAACAAGGCCAACGATCTCCGACTCTCGTCGTTCACTCCGTCTCTACGGCCGGCTTCTGTGCACCTGACATGAAGAAGGGCCATTGCCTGAAACGTCTCCTATTACATATATTTTTTTTTCCTTTTAAAACCACACCGCAACACATACACGCGGTGTTGTTCTTCACGAATCTGTCGCTTTGTTGCTGTGTGTTTCGTGCTTAGTGTCACTCGTCCCATTCAAAACGTCGCGACTCGGCTCGACCGCGCTTAGACTGCCGCAGCAAAATGACGTCGGGGTCTCGAAGTCGACGGACGGTTGCGATGAGGAAGCGCGCGCCTCCAGTCGCCACCCAAGCGTGGCAGCAGCAGCAGACTCAGGGCCAGGTCTCTTAGCAAGTCTCCATAGCGACGGCCACGAGGCATTCAACAATCACGGTGCCGGGCAAGGTGACTCAAGCGCGCCTGAGCCAATTCACGGCGCGCTCCGAGCTACTCACCTCTCCGTAAGAAGACCCTGACTATTATTATTATTATGAATGGCATGTGTTGTTGTTGTTGTTCATATATTATTTTACAGACTTAAGTTTTCGAAGATTGTTTTTCTAAGAATGTACAGCACTGTATTGTGTGCGGTAGTGTACGTGCGTGTGTTATTAATAGGGAGTGTTGCCATGTGCACCTAGCCTGGCACAAGCGCTGTGGTGACGTCATCGCCACTCGGTGGCGAAGGACGGCTGTTGCTGTTGTTGTTTGTGTGTCCGTCTGTCTCTGTGCACTCGCTCCTTGTAGGGAGCGGTGGCGCAGTGGTTAGCGCACTGGCGGGTTCGTGATGCACACCGCACTACGAGTCTGGCGACCAGAGTTTCGAGCCGGTGCTGAGCCTCCCCTAGGTCGACGCAGCCTTAAATGAGTACCTGGTGCGGTGTGGTAAACAGCAACACTGGGGAGACAAGAGCAGCCACGCGTGGTGTTGGCCACACCACCCCCTCTTGTGCCGTGCGGGCTTTCATAGCCGCTAACTCGCCAACAGCACTTGCACCATCAGCCTGTCCAGGCTACGCATGGGGATCCTTGTCTTTGTGTTTTGCTCTAAGCGAATGTTTTTGTTTGTGTGTCCAGGAGGGAGATAAGCCATGGAACTCGGCTTGAGGTCATCCACTCAGCACAGGTGAGGTGTCATGCTTGTGGTGGACAACTGTTATATCTAGTGCCTTTGGGGTCAAAATTTGGAGTCAGTACAGCAAGTGGGACTCATTACCCATCTGTGCGGACTTGCAGGCAATTTAGCCACTTTCTATGTAGGCGTGGTGGAGTTGATCTTGGCACTCCGGATTTCTGGCACTTGCAAGGCACTCGTGAAAGAGAAAACTTGATGATGATGATGCTGCATTGGCTGTTGGTGCACAAACTCACTGAACAACAAAGCTCAACACATTCCTCCAACACACTGTGTGTGGCCTTAAAAGGGAAAGAAAAAAACTATTGGTGACGTTTCGGGCAATGGCTTCTTTTCACTATGAAGAAGGGCCCTTTGCCTGGATGGCCGGCATACCCTGAGGAGCAAAGTGCAGTTCAACGGTGGATTTTCTGCACGGCACTCGGCTGACCACACGTGGCACGCGGTGTTGATCGCCCATCCGAGCGGTTACCCGGCCCAACTCTGCCCGAAAAGATGAATTTATCACAAATGACATTCCAGGCAGTGGCCGTTCGTGATAGCCATGAACAGAGAGGTCAGAGAGGTTGTGCCTTGAAGAAGAGCCACTGCTCAAAACGTCGCCGATTATTTTTATTATATAGAGTTCATTTTACGGCCACGTTGTTGATGACGGACGCGTTAGTTTTTTTTTGTTATATTTGTTTTGTTATTTCCGTCACCCAGGTCACTATTGCGAATGAAACTCAACCCTGGTCTCGTGATTTCTCTTCTGCATGGCTTAAACAAAATACACATGAAGTCACTCACTCACTCAGTCACTCTTCATCTCGCTCGGTCACGCACTCACTCACCCACCCACCATCTGACTCTTTCACTCGCACTCATTCACTCACTCACTCATTCACTCTTGCCAACGTAGACGTATATGGGTCTGCAACATTCCTTAAGGACCCGACCGTACTCGTTTTCTGCAATATCGACGTTTCTTTTAGTACATCTTAGTTTTGTTGCTGCTGCGTTCCCACAGCACCACGGGTCCCCGTGCCACGAAGTCAGGACGCTGCCCAAACGGGATAATCCGTGTGACAGACAAATGAACGTTAACTCTTAAGCTTCAGTTAATTAGTTAAACTCTCAATTTAAGACCGAAGCAGGAGGATTTCTCCACAACTCTAGCTGTCCGCCTGATGATGCTGGTTGCAATTACTGGCGAAACGTCGTACTCCAATTGTAAATGTTGTGGGTTTTACTCCCAATCACACCACTGTGCTGTGCTAGTAAAGAATTGGCATGCTCTGTTTACGTGACAAACCGTACTAATTGGCTGTGTCGGATGGTGGCGGGGTTTGACGACACATTTACAGCCACGCGATCTAACAATAAAAAACCTCTATTATGGATTAAACTCTTAATTTCTCACCTGGCTAAACAAAATAAACCGATCCTCAGCGCTCTCCAGAAGAGACAAAGCCCTAAATGTCCACCGATGGGCCAGACGCCTTTTTGTCATCGCAGCCTCCTACCGAACGCAGCGTGCCCCTCGCGGCGCGCCACGCCGTCTCTCGTCGGGCACGATCGGAAGCCCTCTGAATTGAAAAGTGAGCAATGGGTTCAATTTGTGCGAAAACACCCGCCATTCTGCCAGAATGTGGCAGAATGATGGCCAAAATAGCTGCGTGAATCATCACGCCCTCGCACTCTCAACGATAAATAAGTGAATTTGTTTTGTTATATATTATTATTTAAAAGTTTAAAGGCATTTCTTGCATGCATCGCTCGAAGGCACTTGTGTCTTCCTTGTGACCTCTGAGCACTTCCAGGAGCTGCGTTTACCTCGGGATATATCTTGCCTCGAAATTTACGTAACACCGCTCGGCGCTGCAGCAGACGCCACATCGCGACTAGTTCATAGCCCATCACGTGTTTTATTTGCAGGAACGCGTCCAGCCGACCCACCAAGTCCATCCTGTTTCCGGAGGAAGTCAGCTTCATCAGACATTTCCCACGTACGTAAGATCAGCGCAGGTGGTGCGGCGAACCGCCCTCAATAGGAAGGCTGCGAGTTTCGACTCAGCCCATCATCCAAACAACTCGGGCGGTGAAGTCAGCAGTGGCCATCTCATGGGTCGACTCAGCACCACCCACACCCACCATTCCCCCAGAGCAATGTGGAATTTCCACCGCTGGCTCAGGGCTGCAAAAGCGAGAACATGCACAGGCTAGAATGCTCACGTGGCCTGCACAGGCTAGATTGATCACGTGGACTGCACAGGCTAGATTGATCACGTGGCCTGCACAGGCTAGATTGATCACGTGGCCTGCACAGGCTAGATTGATCACGTGGACTGCACAAGACTAGATTGATCACGTGGCCTGCACAGGCTAGAATGATTACGTGGACTGCACAGGCTAGATTGATCACGTGGCCTGCACAGGCTAGATTGATCACGTGGCCTGCACAGGCTAGATTGATCACGTGGCCTGCACAGGCTAGATTGATCACGTGGACTGCACAGGCTAGATTGATCACGTGGCCTGCACAGGCTAGATTGATCACGTGGACTGCACAGGCTATATTGATCACGTGGACTGCACAAGACTAGATTGATCACGTGGCCTGCACAGGCTAGATTGATCATGTGGATTGCACAGGCTAGATTGATCACGTGGCCTGCACAGGCTAGATTGCTCACGTGGACTGCACTGGCTAGATTGCTCACGTGGACTGCACAGGCTAGATTGATCACGTGGCCTGCACAGGCTAGATTGATCACGTGGACTGCACAGGCTATATTGATCACGTGGACTGCACAGGCTAGATTTATCACGTGGACTGCACAGGCTAGATTGATCACGTGGACGGCACAGGCTAGATTGATCACGTGGACTGCACAGGCTAGATTGATCACGTGGACTGCACGGGCTAGATTGATCACATGGACTGCACGGGCTAGATTGATCACGTGGACTGCACAGGCTAGATTGATCACGTGGACTGCACAGGCTAGATTGATCACGTGGACTGCACAGGCTAGATTGATCACGTGGACTGCACAGGCTAGATTGATCACGTGGACTGCACAGGCTAGATTGATCACGTGGACTGCACAGGCTAGATTGATCACGTGGACTGGAAAATCCCTTTGGCTTTTTTTAACGGGGGGAATGTCCACGCCGCCAACCCCACCACCACCACCTCCTGGCGTGTCTTTAAGGGTGCTTGCTCGCAGCACGCGCTGCTCCGGTCTATATTTGGCTAAAATTCTGCAGTGATTTCATGTGTTGCGTGTGTGTATGTGTGTATGTGCAGTTGTGGGGAGCGGTGGCGGAGTGGTTAGCACACCGCGCTACGAACCTGGCGACCCGAGTTCGATTCCCGCTCACGGCCGAACAGCAATGACGATTATCTGAACCGGTCCTGGGCCTCCCCTAGGTCGACTCAGCCTCGAATGAGTACTCGGTGTGGTGTGTCGTAACCATCGTCACTAGGGAGACAAAGGCGGTCGAGCGTGGTGCTGGCCACCCATCCCCGTTGTGTGCCGTGCCGGCCTTCGTAGGTGCTACTCGCTAACAGCAATTGCCTCGAAAGTATGTTCGGGCTATACGGGGAATCTTTGTTATAGTCTTCACGGGTGTGTTCGTGCGTGTTCCTGTGTGTGTTAAACAGAGGCGAACCGTAACACACACACAGAGTGGGGGTTTTACGATCCCCGTGGCTTGGACAAGGTGTGCTACGTCGGGAAGAGATGCCTTCCTTACCAGTCCTCTGGAACGGAGAGAGGTACACTTTATGTATATTACCAAGACGCTTGTTTAGCCAGGAAAACCTACGTCCCAAGGCTCTCTTTCAGGTGGGTACTGCCAAGTTCGCTATGTGTAATCGCAATTGAGTCATTTGCGGGCATTTTACGAAATTGGCAATTTTGGATCTTTATTATCCAGCGGTTAATACGCGCCGTGGTATTAACCAGGGCGGCCACCCAGTTCCGAACCGCAAACATATGCAACAACAAGCGTCGAATGCACGACCGCTGAATCGTATCACCGCCCCCTCTACGTCCACCCGCGTGTGCCACACATACAACACACGCCCTCGTGGGCGAGCCGCTGAGTTCTCGCTCACAGCACTTGCCCCCCACCCCCCCCCCCCCCCCAAACGTCCCGGGGGACCTTTGTCTTCCTTGTGCAGCGTGCGGAGTGCGGAACGGCGTCCCGGTGGTGAGTGCGGGCGACAAGGCGTACCGTGCGGTGGAGTACAGCGCCGGCTTCCACCTCCTGGGCTCCACCAGGGCCCCCCCGAGATTCAGGTGAGGAAGGGGTGGGGGTCAACCCCCCCCCCCCCCACGGGAGAGCATTAATTCATTATTAGCCGGGTAGAGGCGGTGGTAGTGGTGGTGGCTACGCGGCTGCTGCTGCTGCACGTGACTGCTGCCCGTAATCCAGCACTATGGGGGCAGCTGCAAGGGTTGGTGGATCACCGCGACAGATGTCGCGACACTCCCCCTGGAGGTCGGGCATCGAGGAGGCGCCTTCTAATGGTTCACCAGGAGAGGGCGGTGCAGCAAGACGTGGACTCCGCCTGTTTACACCTGCGTGGGATATAGCGTTGCCCCCTCACACCCATGGGTTCCGGTTTCTTTACAAATGCGTTCACACTCCTTCATTGGCTGGAACCATCGTAATCTATACGCGCCTCCGAATTTGCTGGTTGCGCAGCGTTGTGTGATGCATTTGCGCAAACCATGCTGCCATATGTACACGAACTTTGTTTTTTATTCTTATAGTTAGGTTTTGTTATTGGAAGTCGGGTGTAAATGTTTAGGCAGGTGAGGACACCTCCAGTGACGGATTATCCTCACAGCACAAGTAGCTGCACGTGTAGTAGCTACAACACGTGTAGTAGCTGCAACACGTGTAGTAGCTGCAACACGTGTAGTAGCTGCACCACGTGTAGTAGCTGCACCACGTGTAGTAGCTGCAACACGTGTAGTAGCTACAACACGTGTAGTAGCTACAACACGTGTAGTACGATACCGCCTTCAACTTTTACGAACGACCGGGTGTTTAAGGTTAGCGATTTGTCGTATTATCTGGCTGTATAGCAAATGAAAAAATACAATTACTTTACTGTGCTTGTAAAAAAAAGTGTTTTAATGTGTGTTTTATTTTTTAATTTAGGGCCCTTTTATAACATGTGCTACAGGCCCAGCACTAGCTTAATCCGGCACTGGACACCTCAATACGTCGTTTGCAAGTGTGACCCGGTGAGTCACCGGATTGACGAAAGCAAAGATAAAGTCGAGCAATGTACCAACGTGACACACACGAGAGAAGTGAACCCCGCCCGCTGGCTCCCCGTCTCCGCAGCGCAGGAGTGAAGCACGTGGCTGACACCTTCATCCCTCTGCAGCCGCCTCCCAGCGTACCTCGGTATGTGCGGACCAAGAGTCCCCAGTAGAGCCTGGAACGGACTGTGCGGCGGGGGTGAAAGTGCCGTGAGCGAGCGGCGCCCTACGAAGATCGCCACTGCAGGCGCACGAGGGGGGTGCGTGGCCAACGCCACGCCCGGCCGCCTTTGTCTCCCCAGTGGTGATGTTTTTACACACCGCGGCAGGTGATAATTTGAGGCTGAGTCGATCTAGGGGGAGGTCCAAAACCGATTCACCGGTTGTGGCCGTGAGCGGGAACCGAACTCAGGTCGCCGGGTTCGTAGCGCAGTGCGCTAACTGCTACACCACCGCTCCCCCACACAGAGACAAAGATCCTCCGTATAGCCTCAACAGGCTGTCGGGGCAAGTGCCGTGAGAGACCCACGCGTGAGAGGGGGCGACGGGCATGGTACTTTGGCCACGTCGAAGACTTCGGCCAAACACCCTCCTGCTCTGAGAGGGGATCGGCCTCGAGCTCGTTCGGAGGCCCTTCCGCCAGCAGTGGCGTCAGTGAGCAATTGCAGGGCTGCGCCTTTACCCACCGCCGCTCGCTATGAAAGTGAATGATTGCTTAATCCGTGAGTTTTCGGGTGGGGAGGGGCACGGTGGGGCAGTCCCCCCCCCCCTTCCAAACTGGATGCCTTTATTCATTAATTTTTAGTAGTTTACAATAAAGATGAAATCTCAATTAATTAATTATGTACACCCTCGATTCCTAATGTGAGGGACAAAGCGAACCCCCCCCTCCCAAACATCGAAGTTTAAACCCCGCCTGTGGTACGAGTGGGTGAGTGGGCACTCCGTTTAATTCACGGACCTCTCGAATAAAGGTGAGCAGCAGCAGTAGCAGCAGTAGTAGCAGTAATAGCAGCAGTAGTAGTAGTAGCAGTAGTAGCAGCAGAAGCAGTAGCAGCAGTAGCGGCAGTAGTAGCAGCAGTAGTAGCAGCAGTAGTAGTAGCAGCAGTAGCAGCAGCAGTAGTAGCAGCAGTAGCAGCAACAGCAGTAGCAGAGGTAGTAGCAGCAGAAGTAGCAGAAGTAGTAGCAGCAGTAGTAGCAGCAGTAGCAGAAGTAGTAGCAGCAGCAGTAGCAGCAGTAGTAGCAGCAGTAGCAGCAGTAGTAGCAGCAGTAGCAGCAGTAGCAGCAGCAGTAGTAGCAGCAGAATCAGCAGCGGTAGCAGCAGCAGCAGCAGTAGTAGCAGCAGCAGTAGCAGAAGTAGCAGCAGCAGTAGCAGCAGCAGTAGCAGAAGTAGTAGCAGCAGTAGCAGAAGTAGTAGCAGAAGTAGTATCAGCAGCAGTAGCAGCAGCAGCAGAAGCAGTAGCAGAAGTAGTAGCAGCAGCAGTAGCAGCAGCAGAAGCAGCAGCAGAAGCAGAAGTAGTAGCAGCAGCAGTAGTAGCAGCAGCAGAAGCAGCAGCAGTAGTAGCAGCAGAAGCAGCAGCAGTAGTAGCAGCAGAAGTAGTAGCAGCAGCAGTTCACTTTGACCCGATGAGAACGATCCGGCGTGGCTGCTGCTGGTGGTGGTGGTCACGAGAACGCTGCGTGTGATTCTGTGTCGTGTGGCCGACGCCCACCGTGCGTGACCCTAACACGACACATTTGGCATCTCGTTACGTGACGGAGATCCATGAGTCGTGTGCTGGGGGTTGTTCTTTTTTTCGAAACGAGAAAAATTTGCATCGTTGTTGCGGGCGCTCTAGAGCGGAGGACCTCCCGCACTGCGGTGGCGTGAGCCGGCACTTGCAGGGCTTGCGCCTCTAACCCCACGTCCAATGGGGGTTTCGGGGTTTAATAATTGAAGGTGTAACACGTAGGCTTTCGCGACCAATATTATTGAAGGTGTATCTCTCCTGAGTCAAGAGTGACGGTCACTGAAACATCATCCAACTCAGGGCACCGCGCGTGGGTTCACGTCGCCCCCTTCTGGCGCGGTCGGTGCATGACGCTGCCACGCCAACCCTCGTGCTGTCTCGTCTCTTCTTGTCGTTGCACGCGCAGTTGGAGCTCCTCTTATCCGATGCGGCCCCGAATTGCATGTGACTGCTACGTGTATGTATGTCGAGATGGACTGGTGCGGTACGAGAGGACACGGCGCTTAGCGGACTTGCCAATCGCTGGGTACCGGTGGTGTCGAGATCGGCCTCTGTGGAGGAGGCTCGTGAAGGAGGCTGCTGGGCAGTGTGTTGGGAGTGTTTGTGTGTGTGTAGGGAGTGTCTGTGTGTGTAGGGAGTGTCTGTGTGTGTGTAGGGAGTGTCTGTGTGTAGGGAGTGTCTGTGTGTGTAGGGAGTGTCTGTCTCTGTGTAGGGAGTGTCTGTGTGTGTGTAGGGAGTGTCTGTGTGTGTAGGGAGTGTCTGTGTGTGTAGGGAGTGTCTGTGTGTGTGTGTAGGGAGTGTCTGTGTGTGTAGGGAGTGTCTGTGTGTGTGTAGGGAGTGTCTGTGTGTGTGTAGGGAGTGTCTGTGTGTGTGTGTAGGGAGTGTCTGTGTGTGTGTAGGGAGTGTCTGTGTGTATAGAGAGTGTCTGTGTGTGTAGGGAGTGTGTGTATAGAGAGTGTCTGTGTGTGTGTAGGGAGTGTCTGTGTGTTTGTGTAGGGTGTGTGTGTGTGTAGGGAGTGTCTCTGTGTGTGTAGGGTGTGTGTGTGTAGAGAGAGTGTCTGTGTGTGTGTAGAAAGTGTGTCTTGTGTGTGTAGGGAGTTTCTGTGTGTGTGTAGAGATAGTGTCTGTGTGTGTGTGTAGAGAGAGTGTCTGTGTGTGTGTAAGGAGTGTCTGTGTGTGTGTAGGGAGTGTCTGTGTGTGTGTAGGGAGTGTCTGTGTGTGTAGAGAGAGTGTCTGTGTGTGTAGAGAGAGTGTCTGTGTGTGTAGGGAGTGTCTTTGTGTGTGTAGGGAGTGTCTGTGTGTGTGTAGAGAGTGTCTGTGTGTGTAGGGAGTGTCTGTGTGTGTGTAGGGAGTGTCTGTGTGTGTGTAGGGAGTGTCTGTGTGTGTGTAGGGAGTGTCTGTGTGTGTAGGGAGTGTCTGTGTGTGTGTAGGGAGTGTCTGTGTGTGTGTAGGGAGTGTCTCTGTGTGTGTAAGGAGTGTCTTGTGTGTGTGTAGAGAGAGTGTCTGTGTGTGTGTAGGGAGTGTGTTTGTAAGGAGTGTTTTGTGTGTGTGTGTAGAGAGAGTGTCTGTGTGTGTGTGTTGGGAGTGTATGTGTGTGTGTAGAGGGAGTGTCTGTGTGTGTGTAGGGAGTGTCTGTGTGTGTGTAGGGAGTGTCTGTGTGTGTGTAGGGAGTGTCTGTGTGTGTGTAGGGAGTGTCTGTGTGTGTAGAGGGAGTGTCTGTGTGTGTAGGGAGTGTCTGTGTGTGTGTAGGGAGTGTCTATGTGTGTGTAGGGAGTGTCTGTGTGTGTGTAGGGAGTATGTGTGTGTAGGGAGTGTCTTGTGTGTGTGTGTAGGGAGTGTCTTGTGTGTGTAGGGAGTGTCTGTGTGTGTATGTAGGGTGTGTGTGTGTAGGGAGTGTATTGTGTGTGTGTAGGGAGTGTCTGTGTGTGTGTGTAGGGAGAGTGTCTGGTGTGTGTGTAGGGAGAGTGTGTGTGTGTAGGGAGAGTGTCTGTGTGTGTAGAGAGTGGGGAGCGGTAGGGTAGAGGTTAGCGCGCTGCTTTACGAACCTGGCGACCCGGGTTCGATTCCCGCTCACGGCCAACACCAGTGACGATTATCTGAATCGGTCTTGGGCCTCCCCTAGGTCGACTCAGCCTCAAATGAGTACTCGGTGTGTCGTAACCATCGTCACTAGGGAGACAAAGGCGGCCGGGCGTGGTGCTGGCCACCCACCCCCTCGTGTGCCGTTCCGGCCTTCATAGGTGCTCGCTAACAGCCTGTTCAGGCTATACGGGGGATCTTTGTAGTGTTTATATCATCTGGATGAGGCTCGTGAAGGACGCTGCTCCTGGGCAAGTTGGAGGCAGTCGCCCTCCAGCAACAACGGAGGGCAGATGAGCGACGCTCACAGCAAGTTGACACAGTCGGAGCGCCGCTGGCGGTGCATCTGCCAGTCATCTCAGTCAGTCAAACTACGGCACCTGCTGGGTCTGTCCCGTGATCTGACAGCAGACGTTCGACAGCATACTTTGCTGTTATTTTTACATTCAAAGTACAATTATTAGCCGTTGCCGGCACAATGCATTGCGGGCAGTTGCGTAACAGACAAAAACCCTTCAATGATCATAAGTGTATTTTATATGCAGGGTGCTTCAAAAAAATATTAAGACTTTTGAGAATTTGCAACACCACCACAATAACTGTGCTGCTGCCTCTGGGCTCTGGGGACCATCTGGAGAAGATCCCAGGCCACGCGTTGACAACGGCGGTGAACACGTGGAGACTTTGTTTGAAGCTATTAACATCACATTTGTTTTCACGTTACGGTTTACTATCCGTTCTTTTTTCATTAAAAACGATCGTCCCATATTTTTTTGAAGCACCCTGTCTATACACAGTATACTGTATATACACAGCATACTAAATGAACTAATTTACATTTTACAAAGTACAATTATGAACAGTTTCCGGAACGTTGAGTCGTGCGGAGTTGCGGCGAGGACCTCGAGGTGCGATCAGCCCCCCAGGCTCCAGGGAGTCTCCCGCCACAAGGTCTCAGCTGCCCTCCCGAGGCACAACAATGAAAATAAATAAAACGAGGGGACACAAACATCACAGCTGTCAACCCACACGGTTTACTCCGTGTCCTTGTACAGGGAGATTAAGTGTGCAGGTCCACACGGCGTACAGCCGTTAAAATACAGACAAAAAACATGTTTTCTTTGTCTCTGTTTGATTGTGTTTCTCCCTTGTGATGGGACTTTGTCGGATGAACGTTGAGATTTATAAGGGGCACGGGGTGATCGATAAGGTCTGAATTGGTTTGCAAAAAGGATGGGTGAGTGAGTGACTCGGCCTAGAGAAGAGATGGAGCTGATGGGTGGATGGGTGAGTGAGTGTCACGGGCTAGAGAAGAGATGGAGCTGTTTTGGTTACGGGAGGATGTGGAGCTGAGTGGACTTGCCGAAGACCAGTACCAGCAGCGTCAAGATCGGCCTCTGCAGAGGGGGAGGCTCGTGAAGGATGCTACTGGGTAGTGCCAGGCAAGGTGCGACCTTGAGGCTGCTGGTCACTTGGACGCTCACAACAACGAGTGGAGTGCCGGGCAGATAAAACGCAGCGAGTGGTGGGCGGGGGATGGGCAACAGGTGGTGCGTCTGCCACAGCTCATCTCGCTCAACCCATAGAAGCTGAATCTGTCCCGAGATCTCGTGCCGACGACGAGCGTCAGACACTGCACGTGGCCTCAAGGTGCCCCGAGCCTGGCGCTGGCGCCGCCTCGTGGCGAGCGGCGGTGACGACGTCTCGGCGGAACGTTGATACAGCCAGCGCCTTCACCAAGACGCTGTATTACAGATAATTGATGAACGACGCGCGTGCGAATGTAATGGCGGAGACGAGCTGAACGAAATAGATGTGAGAGAGGAAGCGATGGGGGGGGGGGGGGGGGGATTAAGGGGTCGTGGAGTGATCTAGGGAACAACCGGTGAGTTCTGAGTGAGGAGCGGAAGCGAGTGAGCGAAGGTGACTGATGTGGAGGGGGGGGGGGGTTTGTTCCAGTGAAGGGGGGGGGGCAGGAAGAGAAAAATAAAGTTACGACAGAGTTCGCCTACCCAACCCGCTGTGCTGCACCCCTGTGCCCTGGTGTGTCCCCCCCTCCCCCCCCCCCCCCCCCCCCGTGCACACAGCACTCCCTATCACAAGAAGGCCCAGGAGATGCAGAGGGCGCTGGAGATGATGGAGGTGCAAGCCCTGGACGAGTGGGAGCCCCCGCCGCGAGCGTCCCATCCCCGCCTTGACGGAGATCACGATTGAGCCGGGCCACTCGCTTTGCCAGCCGCTACGCTGGAGGGCAAGCCACGGCCAGCCACGGCAAGCCACGGCAAGCCACGGCAAGCCACGGCAAGCCAGGCAAGCCACGGCCAGCCACGGCCAGCCACGGCAAGCCACGGCCAGCCACGGCCAGCCACGGCCAGCCACGGCAAGCCACGGCCAGCCACGGCCAGCCACGGCAAGCCACGGCCAGCCACGGCAAGCCACGGCCAGCCACGACAAGCCACGGCAAGCCACGGCAAGCCACGGCAAGCCACGGCCAGCCACGGCCAGCCACGGCAAGCCACGGCCAGCCACGGCCAGCCACGGCCAGCCACGGCAAGCCACGGCCAGCCACGGCAAGCCACGGCCAGCCACGGCAAGCCACGGCAAGCCACGGCCAGCCACGGCCAGCCACGGCCAGCCACGGCCAGCCACGGCCAGCCACGCGGCAAGCCACGGCCAGCCACGGCCAGCCACGGCAAGCCACGGCCAACCACGGCAAGCCACGCGGCAAGCCACGGCCAGCCACGGCCAGCCACGGCAAGCCACGGCAAGCCACGGCAAGCCACGGCCAGCCACGGCCAGCCACGGCAAGCCACGGAGCGGTGGCAATTTGGCTCGGTCGGCGCTAGAACGGTCAGCCGTCGCGCCACGGTGGTGTAGATGTTAACTGTATCGCCTGGTCTACAGGAGGGCCGTGAATTTCGATCCCGACGCCTGGAGTTTGCATGTTCACTCTCCCCATGGTGTCGTGGATTTTTCCTCCGACTCCTCCGGTTTTACCCTCCACGTTTAGAATAAACGTGCGTTCGGAGTATTTGGCTGCTTTAAATGTTCCACTTTGGTGAGCTACCCATTTGTGGCCGGGTCGCTCCTGAAAAAGAGCTGTCGAGCTCAGTGGGGCCTTACCTGTTGACATTATTTTGCACCGAACGTAAAGCAACCTTGATAAATCGGAGGCGCGGGTTTGAGGACAGCAAACTGAAATTCTAAAGAAATTAGTTTTAAAATCGTGAAGCTTTACAACGCGCGTTTGTTCTCGTAAGTGTGCGCTAAGTTGACCGGGTCGCTGTTGGGGGAAAAACGCATTTTCATATTGAAAATACATGCTCGGCTCGCTGTGGTCCACGTCTCCCACGTGTTGGGGAAATGCCTCCGCTTTGATCAACGTGTCCCGTAGTCCTATCCGGGGTAAATCCACGATAGCTACACAACTTTGCCAACGGAGGTGGACGTTCAACATTGCGGCATGCCGTTACAAGAGTTGGTGTGACCAACACGTTACTGACGCACGGACTATAAGCTATGCAGCATTCACGCTTTCAACGACGTTGTAAAGCGGTTACCAATGGCCAAAGTCTCTGAATAACCGGCGGGCACAGACACACATTTCACCTTTAATCATCCTGAGAACGTCACGTAAGACATTGTCACAAAAGTGCCACTGAGACAGGATAGCGAAAAGGAACGCTCCAGTGTTGTTGTTGTTTTTTTACAGCGGCTGGGGAGGGTCATAATGGCCACGTCGAAGGCAGTGAGCCGGCTAAGCTGAGTTTGAATCTGAGGTTCCGCCACCAATTGTGAGGATGGAGTTACACATCATGATGATCTGTCACGCGTTTAACGTTTACATCACCACCTCTAGGCACAGTTGTGGGGTTAGTGAGGTGTGTGTTAGTGCGGTGTGTTAGTGAGGTGTGTGTTAGTGAGGTGTGTGTTAGTGAGGTGTGTTAGTGAGGTGTGTGTTAGTGAGGTGTGTGTTAGTGAGGTGTGTTAGTGAGGCGTGTGTTAGTGAGGCGTGTGTTAGTGAGGCGTGTGTTAGTGAGGCGTGTGTTAGTGAGGCGTTTTAGTGAGGTGTGTTAGTGAGGCGTGTGTTAGTGAGGTGTGTTAGTGAGGTGTGTGTTAGTGAGATGTGTTAGTGAGACGTGTGTTAGTGAGGCGTGTGTTAGTGAGGCGTGTGTTAGTGAGGCGTGTGTTAGTGAGGCGTTTTAGTGAGGTGTGTTAGTGAGGCGTGTGTTAGTGAGGTGTGTGTTAGTGAGGCGTGTGTTAGTGAGGTTGTGTTAGTGAGGCGTGTGTTAGTGAGGTGTGTGTTAGTGAGGTGTGTGTTAGTGAGGCGTGTGTTAGTGAGGTGTGTGTTAGTGAGGTGTGTTAGTGAGGTGTGTGTTAGTGAGGTGTGTGTTAGTGAGGTGTCTGTTAGTGAGGTGTGTGTTAGTGAGGCGTGTGTTAGTGAGGCGTGTGTTAGTGATGTGTGTTAGTGAGGTGTGTTAGTGAGGCGTGTGTTAGTGAGGCGTGTGTTAGTGAGGTGTGTGTTAATGAGGTGTGTGTTAGTGAGGTGTGTGTTAGTGAGGTGTGTGTTAGTGAGGCGTGTGTTAGTGAGGCGTGTGTTAGTGAGGCGTGTGTTAGTGAGGTGTGTGTTAGTGCGGCGTGTGTTAGTGAGGTGTGTTAGTGAGGTGTGTGTTAGTGAGGCGTGTGTTAGTGAGGTGTGTGTTAGTGAGGTGTGGATAGTGAGGTGTGTGTTAGTGAGGTGTGTTAGTGAGGTGTGTGTTAGTGAGGTGTGTGTTAGTCAGGTGTGTTAGTGAGGTGTGTGTTAGTGAGGTGTGTTAGTGAGGTGTGTGTTAGTGAGGCGTGTGTTAGTGAGGTGTGTTAGTGAGGCGTGTGTTGGTGAGGTGTGATAGTGAGGTGTGTGTTAGTGAGGTGTGGTAGTGAGGTGTGTGTTAGTGAGGTGTGTTAGTGAGGTGTGTGTTAGTGAGGTGTGTGTTAGTGAGGTGTGTGTTAGTGAGGCGTGTTAGTGAGGTGTTAGTGAGGTGTGTGTTAGTGAGGTGTGTGTTAGTGAGGTGTGTTAGTGAGGCGTGTGTTAGTGAGGTGTGCGTTAGTGAGGTGTGTGTTAGTGAGGTGTGTGCTAGTGAGGTGTGCGTTAGTGAGGTGTGTGTTAGTGAGGTGTGTTAGTGAGGTGTGTGTTTGTGAGGTGTGTGTTAGTGAGGTGTGTTAGTGAGGTGTGTTAGTGAGGTGTGTTAGTGAGGTGTGTGTTAGTGAGGTGTGTGTTAGTGAGGTGTGTTAGTGAGGCGTGTGTTAGTGAGGTGTGTGTTAGTGAGGCGTGTGTTAGTGAGGCGTGTGTTAGTGAGGTGTGTTAGTGAGGTGTGTTAGTGAGGTGTGTGTTAGTGAGGCGTGTGTTAGTGAGGTGTGTTAGTGAGGTGTGTGTTAGTGAGGTGTGTTAGTGATGTGTGTGTGTTAGTGATGTGTGTGTGTGAGGTGTGTGTTAGTGAGGTGTGTTAGTGAGGTGTGTTAGTGAGGTGTGTGTTAGTGATATGTGTGTTAGTGAGGTGTGTTAGTGAGGTGTGTTAGTGAGGCGTGTGTTAGTGAGGTGTGTGTTAGTGAGGCGTGTGTTAGTGAGGCGTGTGTCAGTGAGGTGTGTGTTAGTGAGGTGTGTTAGTGAGGTGTGTGTTAGTGAGGCGTATGTTAGTGAGGTGTGTGTTAGTGAGGTGTGTTAGTGAGGTGTGTGTTAGTGAGGTGTGTGTTAGTGAGGTGTGTGTTAGTGAGGCGTGTGTTAGTGAGGTGTGTGTTAGTGAGGTGTGTGTTAGTGAGGTGTGTGTTAGTGAGGCGTGTGTTAGTGAGGCGTGCGTTAGTGAGGTGTGTGTTAGTGAGGCGTGTTAGTGAGGTGTGTGTTAGTGAGGCGTGTGTTAGTGAGGTGTGTTAGTGAGGTGTGTGTTAGTGAGGTGTGTGTTAGTAAGGTGTGTGTTAGTGAGGTGTGTTAGTGAGGTGTGTGTTAGTGAGGTGTGTGTTAGTGAGGTGTTAGTGAGGTGTGTGTTAGTGAGGTGTGTGTTAGTGAGGTGTGTGTTAGTGAGGCGTGTGTTAGTGAGGTGTGTGTTAGTGAGGTGTGTGTTAGTGAGGCGTGTATTAGTGAGGTGTGTGTTAGTGAGGTGTTTGTTAGTGAGGAGTGTTAGTGAGGGGTGTGTTAGTGAGGTGTTTTAGTGAGGTGTATTAGTTAGGTGTGTGTTAGTGAGGTGTTAGTGAGGTGTGTGTTAGTGAGGTGTGTGTTAGTGAGGTGTGTGTTAGTGAGGTGTGTGTTAGTGAGGCGTGTGTTATTGAGGTGTGTTAATGAGGTGTGTGTTAGTGAGGTGTGTTAGTGAGGTGTTAGTGAGGCGTGTGTTAGTGAGGTGTGTGTTAGTGAGATGTGTGTTAGTGAGGTGTGTTAGTGAGGTGTGTGTTAGTGAGGTGTGTTAATGAGGTGTGTGTTAGTGAGGTGTGTTAGTGAGGTGTGTGTTAGTGAGGTGTGTGTTAGTGAGGTGTGTGTTAGTGAGGCGTGTGTTAGTGAGGTGTTAGTGAGGCGTGTGTTTGAGAGGTGTGTTAGTGAGGTGTGTTAGTGAGGTGTGTTAATGAGGTGTGTGTTAGTGAGGTGTGTGTTAGTGAGGTGTGTGTTAGTGAGGTGTGTTAGTGAGGTGTGTTAGTGAGGTGTATTAGTGAGGTGTGTCAGTGAGGTGTGTGTTAGTGAGGTGTGGATAGTGAGGTGTGTGTTAGTGAGGTGTGTTAGTGAGGTGTGTGTTAGTGAGGTGTGTGTTAGTCAGGTGTGTTAGTGAGGTGTGTGTTAGTGAGGTGTGTTAGTGAGGTGTGTGTTAGTGAGGTGTGTTAGTGAGGTGTGTTAGTGAGGTGTGTTAGTGAGGTGTGTTAGTGAGGTGTGTTAATGAGGTGTGTGTTAGTGAGGTGTGTGTTAGTGAGGTGTGTTAGTGAGGTGTGTGTTAGTGAGGTGTGTGTTAGTGAGGTGTGTGTTAGTGAGGTGTGTTAGTGAGGCAGGTTAGTGAGGTGTGTGTTAGTGAGGGGTGTTAGTGAGGTGTCTGTTAGTGAGGTGTGTTAGTGAGGTGTGTTAGTGAGGGGTGTTAGTGAGGTGTGTGTTAGTGAGGTGTGTGTTAGTGAGGTGTGTTAGTGAGGTGTGTGTTAGTAAGGGGTGTGTTAGTGAGGTGTGTGTTAGTGAGGTGTGTTAGTGAGGTGTGTGTTAGTGAGGTGTGTTAGTGAGGTGTGTTAGTGAGGTGTGTGTGAGGTGTGTGTTAGTGAGGTGTGTTAGTGAGGCGTGTGTTAGTGAGGTGTGTGTTAGTGAGGCGTGTGTTAGTGAGGTGTGTTAGTGAGGTGTGTGTTAGTGAGGTGTGTTCCCCTGCACGGTATCCACTCCCCAGCCTGCACTTTAGCCCTCCCCTACAAGTTTTAAGTTGGTCTCCTAACCCACAGGTTGAGAACCGCTGGTTCCCGTCTATCGTTGATGGCCACGTAACAATCCAACAATCCTCGCTCTCCGCGATTCGGTGAATTGTCAGGATTCCGTCTCGTGTGGCCTCGACTCAGGAATCGGTCCACTCGCATCATATTTGTCCCCGTCTAAGCGGCGTCACCTCTTCTTTATTCTGCCTCCAATGCAGAGCCACCCAGAAGTCCGTGGAGGCCCAGGGCCGAATGCCACGTGGTGGTGGTGGCCCTTATCTGTGACCTTCAAACATTAAAAAACATCTTCTTTGGTTCTTTCGGTAAAGTCACGTAGAATGAGAATAAAATAATAAATTGATAAAATAAAATAACACAATAATTTATTTTATCAATTTATTATTGTATTCTCATTCTACGTGACTTTACCGAAAGAACCAAAGAAGATGAATCATTGCAGTCACGTAAGCTTTAAATCGAAATTAAAAAAAACACATTGTCCTGCTGTGGAGCCCTCTTTTGTGTGAGGCCCAGGGAAATGTGGCCTCTTTCCCGACCTTCACCCCTCCCAGCAGCCCTGCTCGTGTGCAGCTTCCTTCATTTGGTGGTGCTGTTGTTGCTGTGTTGGTAGTGGGTTGCGCAAGCACAGTTGACAGCAAAAACCTCCACGAATTCCCCGTCAAATATCACCATGGCCTTGGACAAAATTGTATATATATAAACAGGCGACGTTTTGGGCAACGTCCCTTCATATGCAGAATGGCCTTTGCTAAAAACGTCACCGGTGACATTTCGCTTTTTATATTTGTAGAGGCAGCGTTATTGAGGGTTTTTTTGTTGTTGTTGATTGCTAAATGAAACACGTGCGGCCTATTTGTCAATCCAGTGCTGCATGACTGGGCCTCTCCCACACCGTGCGGGACTCCACGGTTACTTGACCATACTTCACCGCGCTCGCCGGCTCGGGCTGTCGAAGGCCGGTAGGCGCCATAGAAGTACAATACAGCAACGGATTTGTGCCGTCCGCAGTGCTCCAGTTGGCGTACAATTTTCGCGAACAGCAAAGTGAGAGTGACAGGGGCACGATCGACGCACGCGTAACGAGCGCAGAGTCGTTTTAATCGACGGATCGTTACAAGACGATTGAGGAGTATAAAACTAACGCGACACACATTGGAGGTAGGCGTACAAATAACAATTTCTCTGGTCAGAAACACCGCCAGGAGCGTTAGAAGCCCACCGTACATCGCGCCCAGGCATCGTCACACGTGACTAAACGGGCGTTGCTACTTCAGCGAAGTCGATTGTGTTTTTTTTTTCGATTTAAAGCTTTCGTAACTGCAAGGATTCATCTTCTTTGGTTGTTTCGGTAAAGTCACGTAGAATGAGAATAAAATAATAAATTTATAAAATAAAATAACACAATAAAATTCTCACAACACAAGCGGCCTTCATCAGGTGAAGGGACGAGACTGTCTGGAGGACAGCGCTGTCCTCCAGACAGTCTCGTCCCTTCACCTGATGAAGGCCGCTTGTGTTGTGGCCGAAACGTCGTGATAATTTTATTGTGTTATTTTATTTTATCAATTTATTATTGTATTCTCATTCTACGTGGTGACTTTACCGAAAGAACCAAAGAAGATTTTTTTTTGTTAAAAGGCAAAAAAGCTGCGAGCGGTGGCCGGTTCGCCAAAGCGACGGCGACCAGCCACAGCTGGTGGGTCTCAACGGGGTGGGGGCTCTGTGCTTCACCACCAAACTTTCACCAACAATGACCCCGATTTAACCCCCGGGAATGCCCAATAATTGTTGTTGTTGTTGTCTACATAAGGGAAGTGACATTATTGCTGGGTAAATAGATTTAATTTATCGTCTTGTTTTTCACCACCACCACCACCACCACCCCCGTCCCTTGTCACAATGCACCTTTGCTCACCCCGTGCCCCGACTGGACGTCTGTGAAAAAAAGAGCTTCATAGCTCATCGGATTCCTTCGAGTCGAATCAAAGATTCTGATTCTGACAATGTGAACATTGGGACGCTGGTTTAAAAAAAATAATCATAAATGTAGAGACGGCTAAACATTGAATCATATTTACGACAGATTAATAACACGTGTAATCATGCTATTACCGCCACCCACTGGCAGACGTCACATATTTAACGTGAGAATTCTCAAGTCGGGGATGTTTGTCTCTTCGCCGTCATCAGCCGCAACGAGAATTGTCGCACGCGATCCGCCCGTCGATCGCGATGCGTGGTGCATCGGCCACCGCCGGCTCTATTTGTTTGCCGGCCCCCTACAGTAATGCACTTGAGAACGTGATAAAATATAATAATCCTCAAACGTTTATCACGCGAATGATTCACACGACGGTAACATCAGAAAGCAAAATCGAATGGACCATTATGTGAACTTGTTCGCACGTCATATTGCCAAAAAAGGAAATAAATGAAAATCGTATGGACACGTTGCTTGTTACGAGCTCTAAGTGTAGCTGGTATGTGGTCACGTGAATGTGCAGGCAGTGCAATTGCACCGGAACCCACGGGCCAGAGGGGCCCAGGAGCCGGGCTACCAAGAGAGGCGGACGTTGGACAGGGAGGGCCACGTTCCTTGCGACGGTGGCCCATACCGGCCCACACTACTGTGCCACTGGTTACGAGCATCCTGGTTTGCAACAACCGCGAAACTCTACGCGGTAGCGTTACATACGAAGCTGCGTTATTTCTTTAGACTTGGTTCATCGTCATCGTCGTCGTCATCATCGTCGTCGTCATCGTCGTCGTCGTCGATGTCCCACGGCCTTAATCCCCATGCGGTCCGCGTCTCGCTCCTCGCTCCACTCGGAGCTCGCAGCTCGCGTTCCGGGTCGTCGCCACTCAGAGCGCCATTCTCCTCGCTCCCCCCGGCGAGTGATTCTCCAGCCACGCAAAGGCGCTGGGAGCCATGGCCGGGCGAGTGTGCGGTTTTCTCAAGATTTTTCTGGATTTTATACAAAACATTTTTATCCCGCAATCTTTTTTTTATCTTCGCCCGAATTCTTCACGTTACTCCATTTTTGTTTCGTTTACCAAACAAATCGAACCCCTCGGACACCGACAGAACGTGACGGCGCAAATCTATTGTTTTATATTTTTATTATTTTATTGTTTCCCTTCTACGTGACTTTACCGAAAGAACCAAGAATATAGATACCTTTCCCTTTCCTCGTTTATTCTTCCGCCGCCTCTGAGAGTCCCTGTTAAAGTTCAAATTGCTAAATTAGTGAACGAATGAAACGAGGTGCTTCATTTCCAGAAACAAAATCTATTTATAGTCGAAAAAGAGTTCCATCTCAACGTGGTCTACCAACCCTGCACACAAGCCCACCGCAATAGTGGCTCCACATAACCGCGATAAAGAATGACGACTCACATCACTGTTGCTGGAATGAGAGCGGCGCCTGATTAAACTCGGGCAAAGTGCTCCTTTGTCACTTAAGCAGATACGTAAAACGACAAATGTAATAGTTGCTGCCATTTCTGCATTTCAAATTACAGAGCTCGATTTCACTGTCGATAAAATGTGCCTCGTCGATTTGTTTCCAGAGCGTCGGCCTGCGTTTAAATGTTCAAAGTTGGCAGTCATCGGAGGAGATCACGATCCAAGCCCCAGCTTCACCATCGCCATCACCGCCATGTTCGTCATCATGAACAGCATCAGTAATCACATCAAAATCTACGTCGTCGTCGTCACCGCCGCTGTGGTCATCGTTTGGACTTTGGCTCGCCCCTTGGGCAGTGCCACCAAGAGCGGGCGGAAGCCCCGGCCTGTCGGAGAGCCGACGCGTCCCAGGGCCAAGACGACCGAGAGGGTCGATGTTCTGAATCGGCTCTGGGGAGGAGTCCCCGTCGCTGCTGCTGCCGCTGCTGACGCTGCTGCTGCCGCCGCCGCTGCCGCTGCTGCTGCCGCCGCCGCTGCTGCTGCTGCTGCTGTGTCCGATGGAGCGTCGAAGCAGGCACCTCGTTTCCTCCACCTCCTCGTGCAGAGAGCGGAGGGACCGGCCCAGAGGAGAGGTCTGCACCATGGCTAACACGGCCGGGTCTGCGGTGGGGTGTGTGCATTATCATCATCGTCATCATCAATCATCGTCGTTCTTATAATGAGCGACAATCGTGGCAGGGTCATCGTTTTCATGAGCAGCAGCAGTAGCAGCAGTAGCAGCAGTAGCAGCATCAGTAGCAGCAGCAGTAGTAAGAGTAGCAGCAGCAGTAGCAGCAGTAGCAGCAGTAGCAGCAGCAGCAGTAGCAGCAGTAGCAGCAGTAGCAGCAGCAGTAGCAGCAGTAGCAGCAGTACTAGCAATGAGAACATCACAATCGCCATCGTAATGAGATCATCTTAATTACAGGGGAAAAACAACTCGAAACACTCAGCAGCAGCAACACCGCGACATGAAGAGAAGAACACCCTGTGTACCGCAATCGGCAATGGCCCTTCTTCATGACAGATGTGTTGACGAGCCAGTTCAGTACTTCCGTTGTTGTTGTTGTTGATGGTGCTTGTGCACCACTGCCAACAGAGCAGCAGGATCGCCACAAGATTTGTGGACTCATCAACAGTGTCGTCGTCTGGTCCATGGGCCAGAACAGGAACCGGTACCAGCGAAGGTAACGAAACTAGTCGTACCGCAATTGTTTGTACGTGGCCGGTCAGGGTGCGGGCGAGAGGCGGTGGGGGAGTTACCGCGCGTCAGGCCGCTGAGCGCGTGCAGCGCGGCCTGCAGGAGGCGCGGGTCGCTGCTTCGCCGGCGCGACAGGACGTCGTCCAGCGTGGAGATGACGGCCGGGAGGTGCGGCCCCAGATGCTGGGAGGGAAAATCTGCGCAGGGCAGGCACGACACATGTCACATGATACGTCACACGACACATGTCACATGATACGTCACACGACGCACGTCACATGTCACATGATACGTCACACGACGCACGACACATGTCACATGATACGTCACACGACGCGCGACACATGTCACATGATACGTCACGACGCACGACACATGTCACATGATACGTCACACGACGCACGACACATGTCACATGATACGTCGCACGACGCACGACACATGTCACATGATACGTCACACGACGCACGACACATGTCACATGATACGTCGCACGACGCACGACACATGTCACATGATACGTCACACGACGCACGACACATGTCACATGATACGTCGCACGACACATGTCACATGATACGTCACACGACGCACGACACATGTCACATGATTCGTCACACGATGCACGACACATGTCACATGATACGTCACACGACGCACGACACATGTCACATGATACGTCGCACGACGCATGTCACATGATACGTCACACGTCACATGACGCACGACACATGTCACATGATACGTCACATGATGCACGACACATGTCACATGATACGTCACACGATGCACGACACATGTCACATGATACGTCACACGACGCACGACACATGTCACATGATACGTCACACGATGCACGACACATGTCACATGATACGTCACACGACGCACGACACATGTCACATGATACGTCACACGACGCACGACACATGTCACATGATACGTCACACGACGCACGACACATGTCACATGATACGTCACACGTCACACGACACATGTCACATGATACGTCACATGATGCACGACACATGTCACATGATACGTCACACGATGCACGACACATGTCACATGATACGTCACACGACACACGACACATGTCACATGATACGTCACACGACGCACGACACATGTCACATGATACGTCACACGACGCACGACACATGTCACATGATACGTCACACGACGCACGACACATGTCACATGATACGTCACACGACGCACGACACATGTCACATGATACGTCACACGACGCACGACACATGTCACATGGTACGTCGCACGACACATGTCACATGATACGTCACACGTCACACGACTCGAGACGAACGTAGATTAGAGTCGCCACTCCTCCCCGGCGAACGCCGCCACCAAGGGGTCAGTAAGAGCACTTGCCCCAACGGACTGTTAAGGCTATGCGGGGGATCTTTCTCTTTTATGCCACCTTCCAAGGCCAGGTGGTAGATGACGTCCATCGCGTGGATCCGCCCTTGGGTGTGCGGGCAGTGAGCGGCCATCTCCACCACGCGAGCGACCGGGCACCCTGACGAGTCCAGCAGGAGGCGCCTCCTCACAGCTCCTGAGAAATCAGCGGGGCAGAGGATCCTGACTCTCAGCCCTCCCGTCGCCGCACGGCCGGCAAACGACGCGTTCGGAACGTCGTGCCGTCGCCGTCGCGCTCGTGAGACGCAGGGTCGTCGGGCACGGCCGCCGTCCGTCGCCCCGTTGGGCGGAGGACGGCGCAGCGGAATGGGATCCACGAGGATCGAGCTCTACAGCAGAGCTTCTCGACCTCCCTCGGTCCTCGGACGGTCAACGCCAACAAGGGGACGCGGTGGGGAGTGCGGAATAAACACCGGAGCGCAGAAGAACGACGGGAAAGAAAGAGGACGAGATGGGCAGCCGCCCAGCGATTCCGATGAACGCCAGGAAGAAAGGGTTCGGAGGGGGAGGAGAGGAGGAGGAGGAAGAAAAAGGAGTAAATAATCTTGGTCACTGAAACATGCTGCAAATCAGGAACATCCATGAGAAACGTATTCACCACGGCTGGAGAAGCACTCACGGCGGGGAGAGGAGAGTGGCGCTCTGAGTGGTGATGGAAGCGGAACGCAAGCTGCGAGTGGAGCGAGGAGTGAGAGGCGCACTTGCTCTGTGCATGACAGCCATGGGTCATCGATGACGATGACATCGACGACGATGGCGGTGACGACGACGATGATGGCAGTGACGATGACGGCGATGGCGATGAACCAAGTGTGCGCCACTTCAAGGGGACCGTGCAGAGAAATAACGTAGCTTCATCGACAACATTGATCTCACCGTCAATGCAAAGCTCGGCCAATGAGGAGAGAGTCGCAACGAGAGCTTCCTTCTGATTGGCTGCATCCAGAGTGCCCAGCAGGTCAAGTAGCACGTCCACGCATTGGCTGCTTAAAAGCACCTGCAACGGTACGTAGGGCCACGGTTAAGCCGATTGATGGGTGGTGTGTGGTGTGGCGGTGAAGTGTGGTGTGGCGGTGAAGTGTGGTGTGGAGGTGAAGTGTGGTGTGGTGGTGAAGTGTGGTGTGGCGGTGAAGTGTGGTGTGGCGGTGAAGTGTGGTGTGGCGGTGCAGTGTGGTGTGGCGGTGAAGTGTGGTGTGGCGGTGCAGTGTGGTGTGGCGGTGAAGTGTGGTGTGGCGGTGAAGTGTGGTGTGGCGGTGAAGTGTGGTGTGGCGGTGAAGTGTGGTGTGGCGGTGAAGTGTGGTGTGGCGGTGAAGTGTGGTGTGGCGGTGAAGTGTGGTGTGGCGGTGAAGTGTGGTGTGGCGGTGAAGTGTGGTGTGGCGGTGAAGTGTGGTGTGGCGGTGAAGTGTGGGTGCTCCCGCCTCTTCCAAGACGTCTGGTCAGCGTGGAAAAGTAATGAGGTAAAAATCCCAATAATAATAATATTCATAATAACATCGTCTAATGATTAAATTGTATATGGCGTCGTGAATGCAAATTGCATCTCGCAATCGCTGAGGAGCCACAGACAAGCCGGAAGGCTGCCAGGCAGAGAGCCGGCGCCAACGATCGCTCTGCAGTGTCGCCCCCATGCATGCGACAGTGCAACGCTCTATCCCGCACAGAAGGGACAGATGATATCAGTCCGCACCTTGCTGTGCTGCTGGCAGGGCCAGGGTGCTGCACCCCGCCGATGCCCACGGGAAGGGAGGAAGGAGCGTCACAACTTTGTAGTCATTTTGTGCGGCGATCCACTAACACTCGCTGCTGCATCCTGCACAGCGCTGCTGCTGCTGCTGCACGAGAGGCAGCCACCGCCCGGCGCTGGGAGTGAGGGGTTCTCTAAAGCCTTCTCTAAGGGAGGCCCTTCCGCCAGCAGCGGCATGAGCCGGCAATTGTAGGGCTGCCCCTTTACCTTTGAGCCTCTAAAGGCAGGGGATAGGCCTCTTCTCGCCGTAGCGGGGGAAACGTGGGGTCCATCCGTCCGCACATTTACAGGAGGCGGCTCGTGCTTCTGTTGTCCCGGGCCTACCCCCGGAGCCTACCCCCGGGGCCTACCCCCGGGGCCTACCCCCGGAGCCTACCCCCAGAGACTACCCCCGGGGCCTACCCCCGGGGCCTACCCCCGGAGCCTACCCCCGGAGACTACCCCCGGGGCCTACCCCCGGAGCCTTCCCCCGGAGACTACCCCCAGGGCCTACCCCCGGGGCCTACCCCCGGAGCCTACCCCCGGGGCCTACCCCCGGGGCCTACCCCCGGAGCCTACCCCCGGGGCCTACCCCCGGGGCCTACCCCCGGGGCCTACCCCCGGAGCCTACCCGCGGAGACTACCCCCGGGGCCTATCCCCGGAGACTACCCTCACCTGCGAGCCGCGGGCCAAGCCAAGGTGCGCGACCGCAGCCGTGCCGTTCACCACCGCGTCCCGACTCGCCCACTCCTCCGCCAGCACGCGCGCGAGCGCCTGCAGCATTCCGTGCTCCACCATCACCACCTGCGCCCCGCCGACACGAGCGCACGTGCACACACGTGACCACACGAGCGCACGTGCACACACGTGACCACACGCGCGCACGTGCACACACGTGACCACACGAGCGCACGTGCACACACGTGACCACACGCGCACGTGTGCACGCGGGAAAACACGTGCGCACGCGCCAACACGGCCGCTGAGCGGTGGTGACCGCGTCTCGAATCGTTCGCCGCGCGCCGTCACCGGCACGGCTCGGCTCCTGCAGTGGAAAAACAACAACCGGGGGCCTCGTGAGCCGCGCCAGGCTGGCTCGGCACGGGCCCGGCTCGCTTGTGCGGTGGTAAAGGGGGTGCGTGAGTCTCCCGCTGCCCCCACCGCGCTGTACCTGGAGGTGGGGGTTGGAGGAGAGGCGGTTGAGCAGTGAAAGTGCCGCCCCCCTCGCAGCACTGCTGCCCGATCCCAGGATGCCGTGCAGCTGAGGCAGTGCGTCCATGGCAACGAGCGTCAGCTGCGCGGGTTCTGCGGCAGGGACCGAAAACAAATTCAACGGTCAGGTGGCGGTCCCCTCCCTGTGCCAACGAAGGAACGTGAACAAGGAAGAAGAATCGTGCATGCGCATGGATTGCGTTACGCGCTCCTTTGTAGTTGATTAAATGAAATTATTTGATCAAAAAATAGTCACGTTCATTTCAAGTCCCGGGCTGTTCTGGGCCTTGACGTTTTGGGCCTAGAACTCCCCGCTCGGTCTGTACGAATCGCAAGCGCTGCAAGCCAAACCAATTCACGCTACGAAAATGAAACGAGAGTGAAACGGTTTTTAAACCTTACCCTCCGTTGCCAAAACGCAACAGCATTCGCACGCTTGGACGCACACCTGCAAACACACAGACAAAAACCGGTGACGCATTTGCCGTGTTGTGTACCGCTGTGTTAATTATGTTGATGAGCCGGATGTTGGACAGGCTTTGACTTGATTGATCCTCACCAACAAGGTTACTGCCGTGTAATAAAATAATGCCGGCAGTCGCCCTGACGCGATGGGCAAGAGAATTGGACCACATTGCTCGTGCCGTGCTCACACCAGCTTGCGACGTCGGGACACCGCAGTGGCCCGCGCCCTGCCGATGAGAAGCAGGGAAGGTGAAACCGGTGTCAGGGTTTTCCCTTTCCGGTGAACACAACGAGGGGGGGCAGACGGCCGCGTGCCGCCACCGTCGCCGCTCACACGAAGCTCCGCTCCTCAGCTGGCCGGCCCGCGGGTTTTGCGTGCGACTGCGACCGGGCCGCTACGTCGCTAGCGTGCGGACGTCTCCGCTGTTTGTTGTTTTTGTATCCCGCTTTCTTGATCACGTGTCAGGTGGTGATGAACGACGACGCAAGACAGATCTGTGCTCTCCGGTTGCCCAGGTGGTTGCTGTGCTCTTGCCTAATCGTGGCTCAACAACTCCACCAGTAGGGCAGAGGCAGCTAAGAAGGCTGTCTCTGGTGTATGTCATTCAGTTTCAAAGACAATGTGTTTTCTATATTATTAGAGCAGGTTTGCTTTCATGTTCACCACAATGAGGTGTGGTTAAGGCTGACATGATTCCTTAGCAAAAAGGTTTCTGTTTGGTGTTTGAACATTTTAACACCTCTTGTTTTATTGCCAGAAAGGGTAAAACCTATTCTTACTCTTCATACTTTGATACTGGTGAAAAGGTCTCATGATGAAGTCTCGTCTCGTCACAGTCGGCCGCGCATCCCGTCTTCGTTGGCAGCAGTCGCAATCACCACCATCACCACTATCATCAGCATCATCATCACCATCATCACCACGTTCGCGATGATTTCCGGCTATCGCCGACACAGATTTTTAACAAAAATCGACGAATATTTTCACCACCGGTGCCGTTGGCAAAATTAACCACAGCCCCCGCTCAAGTCCCGCCGCGACTCGCGTGCCCACCTTCTCGACGGACGACGACGTGAGCGAGAGGAGCGACTTCACAACGAAGCGGTCTCCCATCGACAGGAGCTGCGCCCTGCTCTGGGCGTCCGCGGACAGCAGCGTGAGCGCCGCGCAGCTGCGGTGCTGCGCTCGGCATCGCGGGCGGCGGGGGGGGGGGGGTGGGAGAAAAAGTGCGTTCACACCTGCGCAGAGGCGCAGCCCTGCAACTGCCCGCCCGCTGGACGACGGACGAACCTCCACTCCTGGGAGCTCGAAGAGGCCGACCCTTCCGCCGACGATAAGTCTCGGAATAAGTGGGAGTTACCCACACCTCACCACACCAGTCGCGACCTGCCCATCGGGCCGACTGTGGTGAACCACATTTATGCCGTTGGGTGAGGGGGGGGTTTAAGAAACTTGCGCCGCCATTGTTCGAACTGCCGTGCCAGAAGAGGGAATTGGACCGGCGACCTCCGGATTGCAAGTCCGGGGGGGCTCGGCGTTTCGCCACCGTGGCAGCGTCTCGCGATTGAAGTGCGCGCCAGGAAGCGTGCAGAGAATCGTGGAGAGAGGCACACGCTTGGGTTGACACTGACGGAACGAGAAAAACGAGTCAGGAGTCGAACCCGTCGGGTCCTTCCTTGCTGTTCGACACAAATGTTGCCAGCGCACTGCCCTGTATGTCCGTACGCACGTTGAAATTCTTTCACACCCGTGCGTAGCCAATCGTGCTAATCGGAGCAGCAAACGCATGGCAACGTTGGGCCAACGTTGCCGTGTGGTTCCAGCCGTTGGCCCAACGTTGGCCCAACGTGCCATGTGTTACTGGGATGGCGAGGTGGGATGATGGACGAGTCAAGATTTAGTGGCAGGCACGCAGTGGAAAGCGCGCAGTAAGCAGGGGCTGCGGGAGTTATTAACATCGCAAGATGGGGACAGGCGGCGGCGGCTTGGGGTGGCATTCGTCCAGCAGTGGATTGGGCACGGCTGACGACGACGATGCACACTCGAGTGAGGTGTAGGTGAGGGAGCGACGACCTCAGCCTTACCTGGACCTCTGGGTCACCCGACTGTAGCAGCAGCACGAGTACAGGCAGGGCCCCTTCACTGTGCAGTGCTGCCCTCCCGGTCTCTGCGCACACACGCACACAGGAAACAAAGATAAAGATGACCCATGCAGTCTCTACCACAGGCTATTTAGGGCAAGTGCAGTTGAGCGAGCACGTGTGAAAGCCGGCACGGCTGTCCGAGGCGTGGCCTGGGGAAGTCCCCCCGCTGTTGTCCCCAGCTGTTCCCATTGTTTTGTATTCTTCTTTACTTCACCACGGCAGACTCTCATCGAAGGCTTACTCAGCCTACAATGACATAGACAAGAATCCCTGCCCCTCCCCACGTAGTCTTCAGTGGACTGTTCTGGCAAGTGCTGCTAGTGAGCAGCCGCGAAGGTCGGCATGGCACGCGCGAGGCCCGGGCGGCCAGAAACCACGCCCCGGCCGCCTTTGTCTCCCCAATGCTGACGTTTTACGCAGGTGCTCGTGTAAGGTTGAGTCGGCCCTTGGGGAGCCCCAGGACAGGTTCCGATATCCGACGCCGGCTGGAAGCGGAAATCAATTACTGGACATTTGTGAAAAAAAGCTTTGTAGCTCATCGGATTCGAGTTGTTGGATTCATAACGCAGTGTGCTAACCGCTGCACCACCGCTCCCAATGGGGCCACATTGGCACACGTGCGAGGCCTTAAAGGTCGGAATGCATGCTAGGATTGTTTTTCCAGGTTGTTCCTCACTACATGGGGATGTGTGGCCAATGCCAGTTCCACTGCGTGTGTGGGTTTAGCTATGGGAGGAGAACGGAGCGCCCGGTGGAAACCCACACAGGATGGGGGGAAGAGAATACAACCCTTACACACTCCCACACTCACACTGCAGGGGAGAGCATACTACACAAAGACAAAGATCCCCCGTATATTCTAGATTTAAAGCTTTCGTAGGTAAAAAAATAAAATAACAAAAATCACGACGTTTCGGCCACAACACAAGTGGCCTTCATCAGGTGAAGGGATCAGGCTGTCTCGAGGACAGCGCTGGAGTGAAACACAGCCACGCTCAGACCGCGGACCTTTAAGCTGTGTGCGAGCAAACAAGGTGTCCTGACAAAGAAATTAGCATAAAAATTAGCATTTGATTGGCCGATTTTAGAAAAGAGGTGGTGTACGTGCCGGTGGACTTGCCGTTTGGCGCAGGGGGGGGGGGGGGGAGTTTACCTATTGATGGTGTGAAAAGGGAATTTATAAGAGCTGCGAAAGTTTGGGGTACCACTACTTGAAAAATATACTGTACCATTGAAATTAGTTTAATGTTTAGTTCGATTTAGAACATCTTTCCAATGGTTGCTTAATTTGAAACCATCTTCTCGGTTGGGGTTTGCAAAAAACCTTGGTATCAGAGAAAATTATATCTTCTGCCGTGGCTGATCACTGTTACAACACTGTGGGTGATCACGATATAATTTTCTCCGATACCAAGGTTCTTTGCAAACCCACGGGTTTTTATCAGAGATTTGTTCACGAGGCAATTCAGATCTACAAACACAGACACAATTTCAACCGAGAAGATGGTTTCAAATTAAGCAACCATTGGAAAGATGTTCTAAATCGAACTAAACATTAAACTAATTTCAATGGTACAGTATATTTTTCAAGTAGTGGTACCCCAAACTTTCGCAGCTCTTATAAATTCCCTTTTCACACCATTAATAGGTAAACTCCCCCCCCCCCCCCCCCTGCGCCAAACGGCAAGTCCACCGGCACGTACACCACCTCTTTTCTAAAATCGGCCAATCAAATGCTAATTTTTATGCTAATTTCTTTGTCAGGACACCTTGTTTGCTCGCACACAGCTTAAAGGTCCGCGGTCTGAGCGTGGCTGTGTTTCACTCCAGCGCTGTCCTCGAGACAGCCTGATCCCTTCACCTGATGAAGGCCGCTTGTGTTGTGGCCGAGACGTCGTGATTTTTGTTATTTTATTTTTTTACCTACGTGACTTTACCCAATAGAACCAAAGAATATCCCCCGTATAGCCTGAAGACTGTTGGGGAAAGTGTTGTTAGCGAGCACCTATGAAGGCCAGAATGGCACACGAGGGGGTGGGTGGCCAGCACCACGCCCGGCCGCCTTTGTATCCTGAATGGCGATGTTTACCCACCGCACCAGGTACTCATTTGAGGCTGTGTCGACCTAGTGGAGGCCCATGACCGGTTCAGATAATTGTCGCCGATATTGGCCGTGAGCGGGAATCGAAATAGGGACGCCGGGTTCGTAGCGCAGCGCGTTAACCGTTGCACTACCGCTCCCCCAACACACGCACACGCACTCACACTGCAGAACGAGGGGAGAGCACACTTCACACACTTCACACACTCGCACGCTCTGTGCGTAAGGAGGGTAGAACATACACATCCCAAACAGCAAGGTGCCCGAATCAGGAATTGCTGTTAGACACGAATGTTACCACTGCAACGCCCTGTACGTACGTATGTTGAACTTCTTTCGCACCGTGCGTAGCCAACCGTGCTCATCGGGATGTGCGGGTTAAGGACAACAAACTATCAACACAAAAATCCGTTCTATAGAAATGAGGAGGTGGTGTAGCCAACACCACGCGTAGCTGCTTTTGTATTCCCAGTGTTGCTGTTTAACACACCGCACCAAGTACTCATTTAAGGCTGCGTCGACCTAGGGGAGGCTCAGCACCGGATCAAACTCTGGTCGCCCGAATCGTAGTGCGGTGTGCATCACGAACCCGCCAGCGCGCTAACCACTGCGCCACCGCTCCCCACGGGGAGGGAGTGCACAGAGACAGACGGACACACAAACAACAACAACACCAACCCAGAGCTGTCAAACCATACGGTTTGCCCGTATTCTTGTGCAGGGAAATTGAGTTTTTAGGTTCACACGGCGTACGAGATTTGTAAGGTGCCACGGGCATGGCCAATCAGGGTCTGAATTGGTCTGCCATGCGGTGGGGCGCTGATGAGGGGTCTGAGGGGTACAACCCGGACCCCCCCCCCCTCGCCACGGACTCGCGCCTACTCCGTGCCACGGGGCGCGCACCGCGAGCCGCCCGCGTGCCACACTCATCCCGAGCCTCTCAACACCAACAACAACAACACACGAGCCTCTCAACACCAACAACAACAACACACGAGCCTCTCAACAACAACAACAACACACGAGCCTCTCAACAACAACAACAACAACACACAAGCCTCTCAACAACAACACACGAGCCTCTCAACAACAACAACAACAACACACGAGCCTCTCAACAACAACAACAACACACGAGCCTCTCAACAACAACAACAACAACACACAAGCCTCTCAACAACAACACACGAGCCTCTCAACAACAACAACAACAACACACGAGCCTCTCAACAACAACACGAGCCTCTCAACAACAACAATAACAACAACAATAACAACACACGAGCCTCTCAACAACAACAACACAGGAGCCTCTCAACAACACGCGAGCCTCTCAACAACAACTACAACACATGAGCCTCTCAACAACAACACACGAGCCTCTCAACAACAACAATAACAACACACGAGCCTCTCAACAACAACACACGAGCCTCTCAACAACAACAACAACAACACACGAGCCTCTCAACAACAACACACGAGCCTCTCAACAACAACAACAACACACGAGCCTCTCAATAACAACAATAACAACACACAAGCCTCTCAATAACAACAATAACAACACACAAGCCTCTCAATAACAACAATAACACACGAGCCTCTCAACAACAACACACGAGCCTCTCAATAACAACAACACACGAGCCTCTTGTGATCGCGGGTCACTGAGGCAGACTCCATCTCCTGAGCAACCAGCGACCATCACCCATCCTTGCAGCACCTCACGGCTCTCCGAACCTCCGAGAGAAGGCTGCGGTAAGCCTCCTCATTCTCTGACGTGGGATTCTGTAGCCGATGACAGTGGGCCTGTCGCTTTTTCTCAACCATCCTGAACACCTCCTCTGTCAGCCAGGGTCTCTGGGGAGGTCTGGACCGCGTACCAAAAGCAGCCATTGCAGCTGCATGAGTCACAGTCCTAAACCTCGCCCATTTACCCTCGACATCAGGAGGAGTCGGGGACGATGCCATTCCCAGCCGCAAGCAATGATGAAATTCTCGCTTGCAAATTTCATCAGATAACTGAGACCAGGCCACTTTAGGTTGGAATGGGGTCCTGGATGTACACCCACCACCGGAGTGTAAGAATGGCAGGCGCCTCTTACAGATGACAAGTCGATGGTCAGAGGGCAGATCAGCTCCACGGTAGGTCCTGGTGTCAAGGACATGGGCTCGCATCCGCTGGTCCATCACTATGTAGTCCAGCAGATGTTCTTGCTTGGACCCGGCATGCATCCATGATGTTTTGTGGATGCGCCGATGCCGGAACAGCGTGTTGGTAATTACAAGCCCATGGGCTGCACAAAAATCTAGCAGCCTCCTACCGTTGTCATTGAGCTGATCTGGCCCATGCCCTCCAATCACTCCAGACCAGGTGCCAGCATCATGACCAACTCGGGCATTGAAGTCACCCAACAAGATGACTCTGTCCCGATGGGCCACTTTAGCCAGCACCTGTGACAGGAGGTCATAGAAGGCATCTGACTCATCGGCTTTGCCTGCATCCCTCCAGGGAGGTTCGTCTTCGGTGGGAGCATAAGTAACCACGACCACCACACCTCGCCTCCGGTTGATGGGAAGGCGAGCCCAAAGTAGCCTGGGGCTTACAGCTTCCCACACCTCACCGCCATGCTCCCACGCCCACTTCATTCTTTTGTTCAAAAGAAGAGCCACACCCTGTTGTTTGGTAGTCTGCTGCCCCGAGTAGAGGACTGTCCACCCCTCATGGTGGCAGGAGCCAGAACCGGTCCACCGGACCTCCTGAATGCCACAGAGATCCAGGCGGTACCGGTCCAGCTCCCGACAGAGGAGTGGCAGCCTCTCCTCCGCAGTGAGTGTTCGAACATTCAACGTGGCCACACGAAGTGGTTTTTCGTTGTTTCTGGAGGAGCCCCGAGGGTAGAGATTCAATCTCCTGGCTCCGCCAATTGGGGTTTGGCCAGGAGACGTCATAGACGCCTGTCCCCCCACGGCCTCCGGCACAAGATTATTAGTTACATATTTCAGTCGTGGTTTAGTGGTAAAATTTTGAAGGTGGAGGGGTTACCAGCCTCTCGCACCCGTGCAGAGTCCCCGTTTAGCCACTGTGGTGGTCACAGACGCCGTGAGGGGAGAAGCCAATCGGAATTGGCCCTCCTCCCACAGCACTGTCCACGACAGAGTTGCCCGTCCGGCACCGCGAGGAGGTAGGGGGTTGTTTTGCCAGACACACAGACACACTCACACAGACACACACATACACACACACAGACACACTCACACAGACAAACACACAGACGCGCAGACACACAGAGACACACACGGAGACACACAGAGACAGACACACAGAGACACAGACACACTCACACAGACACACACACACACAGACACACTCACACAGACACACACACAGACACAGAGACACACTCACACAGACACAGACACACAGAGACACAGACATACAGACAGACACACACACAGACACACAGAGACACACACAGACACACAGAGACATAGACACACACACAGACACACTCACACAGACAGACACACACAGACAGACACACACAGACACACACAGACACAGACAGACAGACACAGACAGACAGACACAGACACACACAGACACACAGACACACAGACACACACAGACAGACACACACAGACACACAGACACACACAGACAGACACACACACAGACACACACAGACACACACAGACAGACACACACAGACACACAAACACTCACACCCACTGTGTGCACCCAACAAACCCGTTCCCGAATGCAGCGCGCTGTCCGCCCTGTTCTGGCTGTCATCCCTCGCGATGACTCTCACCGCGGGCGGCGCCTGTCGACTCGTCGTGTGTGCGTGTGTTGTGAAGCATGTGTGAAGCATGTTGCGGAGCATGGTGTGAAGCATGTTGGGAGCGGTGGTGGTAGCGGGCAGGACGCCGCGCTACGAACCCGGGCGACCCGAGGTCGCGGCCGACACCGGCGACGATTATCTGAACCGGTCCTGGGCCTCCCCTAGGTCGATTCGGCCTCAAATGAGTACCTGGTGCGGTGTGTAAACATCGACACTGGGGAGACAAAGGCGGCCGGGCGTGGTGCTGGCCACCCACCCCCTCGCGCGCCTTCATAGGTGCTCACTAACAGCACTTGCCTGCTACACGGAGGAACTTTCGATCTTTGTTGTAAAGTGCAGTCTCCAACTATTTGTGACAATCCACCCTGCCTCTCTACTGGCCCTCTCTATGTGCCATGGACCAGGGTCATTGCCCGAAACGTCGCCGATGTATACATGTTTCCGTCTTGGGTCACACGGCGCGCGTATTGACGGACGCGTTGATGTGAGGAGCAGTGCGGCCAAAGGCGGCGGCGAGCGATATCTGAACTACCGGCACCCCCAGCACCACCAACACCACCACCACCCCCACCACCACGCAGTGCCAGATTATACAAGTAGCAACAGTAGCTACACAAGTAGCTACAAATGCTCCGGGCCCCGCACTTTCAAGGGCCCTGCGCTAAATGCTTTCAAGCTATCAATTCCGGTTCAGTGATTCTGCACTTGCTCTATTACTATAGTACTATACCGTCTTCAACTTTTACGACCTGGTGTTTAAGGTTAGCGATTTGTCATATTATCTGACTGTATAGCAAATGAAAAAAAATACAATTACTTTACTGTGCAGGTTAAACAGTCGTGTTTTTATTTTCATTCTGGCCCCTTTATAACAAATGCTACAGGCCCCGCACTTGCTTCATCCGGCACCCCCACAACCACCACCTCTGCCAACTCGGCCTTAAACGAGCACCTCATGCGGCGCATCAAAACACCAGCAGCGGGATTTACGAATGTGGTTGAGCACGCCACGGCACGGCACATTCGTGGGCCATCTCAGCCTTTGATCGGTGCCTGCCAAACCGGCGCTTCGGCTGGCGTGCGCCGGCCACAGCGCCCGCGAACCCGGCGGAGGGAACTTCCCGGCACTGCCCTCGGGGGCCGCCGCAGAGGAGCATTGCCCCGGCTTGCTCAGGGGGAGGCTGTCACCTTTGACTGAGTTGACAGCGACGCACCTCTCTCTGGTTCGACTATTCTATTGTCAGGTCGCAAGATTAATGGAGTCTTCTCGGAAACTTAAAGAGAGTGACATTTTGCAGGTGCAAAACAGAGAACGGATTGCGAGGAATTCAAACGATTTGAGCTTCAAGAACAGTAATTTCGGAGGTGGGTGGGTGGGTGGGCAGTCCTCGTTTGGTGATTCTCCCCGCTCGCGAATGCTGCGTCTGTGTTGGCGTCTGAGAGGCAACCGCAGGGGAAGACGCTCAAAGAGTCGACCTTTGTAAAACGCCGGCGATAAAATTTGTAATGACCGTGAGGCCCGACCTTACGCCGTTTTGTAGGAGTACTGGTCGCCAGGATTTGGACAAAGCCGCAAGGCTACGAGATATAAAAACAGTATTACAGTGAACGCTAATTTGTGTACTCTGATGAAGATGGACAGTAGGCCAAAACATCGTCTATTATAGAAACTTTTTATTTATGAATGTGGATTGTTGTTGTGGGTTGTGCACCACTTCCGATGCTGCAGCGGTATCACCATCACATAATGTGTAAAAATAATATATTCCTACCAGAACGCGGTGTGTGTGTGTGCTAGTTCATGTGCACGAGCAGTTATACGTGTTGTTTGTTACTTATGTTTACAATTACGCTTGTTTCCCCAGCGAAGTCTCGCCGAGTCGCACGATACTTTCCCACGAGGGTCCTGCAAAACTTTTCTTGCTGTTAATTTGCAAGCAACTTTTCGTTCAGCCTATCTGGGATGTGTTGGCCAGTTGCATTGTGTGCGTGTCTGTCTCAGTCGTGGGAGTGAAACTGGAGAACCCGGAAGAAGCTCACCCAGAACAGGGGGAGAGAATACAAACTCTACACACACTCACGGACTCTGACACACTCCCACAAAGACACAGATCCCCCGTTTAGCCTGAAAGACTGTTGGGGCAAGTGCTGTAAGCGAGCTCCTTTGAAGGCCAGAACGGCACACGAGGGGTTGGGTAGCCAGCACCATGCCCGGCCGCCTTTGTCTCCCTAGTTGCAATGTTTACACACCACACCAGGTACTCATTTGAGGCTGAGTCGACCTAGGAGAGGCCCAGGACCAGTTCACGTAATATTTGTCGCCGATATTGGCCGTGAGCGGGTAACGAAATCCCACTTCCACGCACTCACACTGCAGAACGAGGGGAGGGCACACTTCACACACTTCACACGCTCGCACGCTCTGTGCGACAGGAGGGTAGAACATACACATGCCAAACAGCAAGGGGCCTGAACCAGGAATTGAGCCCATCGGGTCCTTCTTTGCTGTGGACACAAATGTTGCCACTGTACCGCCCTGTGTGTACGGCACGGCACACAATGTGAGCGGTTGGCCACCGCCACGCCCGGCCGCCTTTGTCTCTCCCCCAGTGGCGGTGTTGACGCACCGCACCGGCTACTCATTTGAAGCTGAGTCGACCTAGGAGAGGCCCACAACCGATTCAGATAATCCTCACTGGAACTGGCCGCGAGCGGGAATCGAACTCGGGTCTCCGGGTTCGTGGCGCAGCGTGGTGCTAACCGCTGCACCACCGCTCCCCCTCACACACTCGTTCTGTGCAGAACCGGGGGACAACGGAGAAACTCCACGCAGAAAGGCGCCCGAGTCCGGAATCGAACCCGGCTCCCTTGTCGTCGTGGGCACGAGCGTCACCACTGCGCCACCACCGTCACCCTGCCGCCGATGAGCGTCAGCGATCGGTCAGGGAGGCCGGGCGGGGAGAGGACGCAGAGGGCCGTCAAAAGCGTTTCAACGCTGCGGAATCCCCTGCGCCGCCTCGCCGCCCCGAAAACAAACGAATCGCCCCACGGCTCTAGCGCAGCGCCGTGGTGGCTCCGATGGGACTGCTCGCGCGTTGGGGGCACACGCGCGCACAGCACCGCCGCCGCCAGCGTCGCTGCCGCCACCACCCCATCGCCACCACCGCCAAAGCGTCAAATGTTTGGCTCGTAGACATAACGACAGCAAAATTAAGGAGCCGGTTACGACGATGATAGCCGGTACGCAATAGGGATGCGCGTGTGCGTACGCATGCACGCACGTCGGAGAGCGGCGTCGCAGCGGTCAGCGCACTGCCTTACGAACCTGGTGATCCAGGTTCGATTCCCGCCAACACCAGAGATGATGGCCGGGACCACGCCTTGCCGCCTTTGATATTTATCAAAGGCGGCAGGGCGTGGTCCCGGCCATACCGCCTCTTTGTGCCAGAATGAATATTAACTTTTCCTTTGTGTTTATATACATTGTGAGTTAGTGAGTGGTGTCGATACCCACGTGAGTGAGTGAATGAGCGAACAAGGAGGTACCCGTATGAGTGAGTGAACGAGCGAGTAAGCGAGTGGGTACCTGTATGAGTGATCGCGTCAGTGAACGAGCGAGCGAGTGAGTGAGCGAACGAGTGAGTGAGCGAGCGAGTAGGTACCCCTTTGAGTGAGTGAGTGAGCGAGCGAGCGAGTAGGTACCAGTATGAGTGAGTGAGCGAGCGAGCGAGTAGGTACCCGTATGAGTGAGTGAGCGAGCGAGCGAGTAGGTACCCGTATGGGTGAGTGAGCGAGCGAGCGAGTAGGTACCCGTGCGAGCGAGCGAGTGGACAGCGGTGACCGCGCTCCGCTGCACGGGGAGCTCGTACGACTTAGCGAGCACGGCCAGAGACGCGACGACGCCTGCCGCCACCAGCTCCCGCTCGCAGCCTCGGCCTGCACACCACCAGCACCACCGCCGCAATCATCAGAATCCCGCTCGCACACAAAGCCATACGGGGTGGAGCGGTCGGCCGCGTGGGTTTCTCAAATCCCCGCGGCCACCTCTACCCACCCAGCGGTGTAAACGGGCGGCGGCACAGTCGTTTGTTTGGCAGGTGGCGTGTGGCCGGGTAAAGTGTGGGTACTCCCACCTCCTTTAAGGTGGAAGTGGAGGCCAAAATACTTTCTCTCTCGAGCTACGTCGAGTGGGGGCCCTTCCGCCAGCAGTGGCATGATGGTAATGATGACAGCGATGATGATGATGATCTTGTTGATGTTGATACTGTGGGTGCTGCTGCTGTTGCAAACGGGGATGACAATAGTGTTGATGATGACCGCAATTATAATTGATGCTGCGTCTGATCATGCTGCTGCTACTGATGACGACAGTGCTGAGGATGCTGATGATTATAATCATTGCAGCTGCTGCCACTCACTGATCACGGTGCTACTAATTGCTTGTTGTGCGAGAGGGGGGGGTGGAGGGTGGGAGGAGCAACACTCCAGCCCCGTACAGATGGCGATGAGTCCACAGATTGTTGCACCGCCTCCTCGTGGCGAGCCAGGGCACGCCACCTCCACGACGCCCACGGGGAGGGAGTTTCGCAGCTTCGGTGTGGTGACCCACCAACCCCCGCTGCCTCCCCCACACTCCTGGGTTATTGGCCACGTGCCGAGACGCCGCCGCCCGGCTAAGATCACGACGGCAATGACCGCCGTTGGCGACCCTGGCGCTGGGGCTGGCGCTGCTAACGCCGGCACCGGCACCGGTACCTGAGTCGAGGAGCGTCCCCAAGCAGACGCACGCGGACGCCTGCAGCGCGGTGTCGCCGCTCTCCAGCGCGTCCACCAGCGCGCCGCCCGCTCCGGCCTGGACCGCCACCTCCGCGCCGACTGCACGCCAGCAACGCCTCGTTACCCACTTGCGGCACCACCAGCGCCGAACGGTTTTGTTGCGACAGAGAGAGACTTGTGCCATAGGTTGGCAGAGCAGAGGGCAGAGACGACGCAGGTGGAGGGATTGCCAGGAAGGCGTGTGCAACGTTGTGCGTGCAAGATTGGCGGGTGACGGTCCATCGTGGAGAACGTGAAGGTGGCTTGGGCAGGACGTGTTCGCTTTTAGAGAAACTTAAGAAGGCCCCCAGCACGTGGAACGAATCGTCGGACTTCGCGCCACGCCACAACCCGAACACACAGAGGTATTCGGGGCCTCTGTCGGGTCCACTCAGCCTCAAATGAGTACATGCTGCGGTGTATTCTAGCCGGGCCAGCGCAGGACCCTCACGGCGCCGGTTGTTTTCCACCGGTAGTTTGCCGTGCCGAGCTCCCGACGCAAAACACCTGAAGCTGGCTCGGGGGCCAAGCAGGGCCAGGGGCGGGGCTCACGACGTCGGGACGCGGCGAGTACACGGCGTAACCGCACCGTCGGTGGCACAGCTCGGCTCTGCAAGTGGAAAAACAACCGGGCACCTCCAGACTCCCGCGCCGGGCTGGCTCAACACGGCCTTGGCGTGGTTGCGCCGGTGGAGAATGGGTGTACGGCTAAGTGAGGGGTGCGTGCGTGCATGCGAGTGTGCGTGCGAGCGTGCGTGTGAGTGAGCGAGTGTCGTACCGGCGCGACTCTTGAGCAGATGATGCAGCGCTTCGCACGCGAAGCTCTGAACCCTCGCGTCCTCTGACCGCATCAGGGACAGCAGCAACGGCACGCTGTCCTCCGGCAGAGTGCAGTCAGCTGCTCCCCAAACAGCAACAGCAGCCGCACGGAAACCTCAACCCCCTAGTCGATGTGAGCGGCGGTGTCTATTTAAATATGGAATCTTTATTTTGATTTGTATTGTTCTAGAAGTGGCTGAGTGGCTCAATGTGGGTGTGTGCATGTGTATATTTCGGTTGTGGGGAGCGGTAGTGTAGCGGTTAGCGCACTGCGCCACGAACCCGGCGAACCGGGTTTTATTCCTGCTCACGGCCAACAGCAGTGACGATTATCTGAACTGGTCATGGGCCTCCCCAAGGTCGACTCAGCCTCAAATGAGTACTGGTGCGGTGTGTAAAAACATTGCCACTAGGGAGACAAAGGCGGCCGGGCGTGGTGCTGGCCACCCACCCCTTCGTGTGCCGTGCCGGCCTTCATATGGTGCTCGCTAAAAGCACTTGCCCCAACAATCTGTTCCAGGCTACACGAGGGATCTTTGTCTTTTTGTGTGCAATTGGCTGGGTCGTGTAGCCAACATGCCCAGCCACCGCATGCCCAAGTAGCTTCTGTTTATGGCCGGATAGAGGGGGTCTACTAAACGGGCGCGGCACGGGCTGGAGATTAAGATCGAGATGTCATTGTAGCCACAACTCCACCACCACATCTCAAACCTGTGTACCCTCCCGCCAAATCCCACAGTTGCTGCACCAGAATAGACGCAGTGGCCTCCAAGACCTGCCCAGACAGTCTGCCACCGTGTGGCCTTTAGCTCTTCTCTTCCCCTTGGCTGCCAGACTCTTAGAGGCCACTTCAAGCACAAGTAGATGCACCAGCCAGTCATCTCTGTCAGTTTACCCACAACACCTGGGTCTGTCCTGCCAGTCAACCAGCCTTCGACTCTTTACCTCCAAGTGCACCTAGCCTGGCACAAGCGCTGCTGTGTGATCCCAGTTGAGTATTTTTTCACTGTAATTGTTCAGCAGTGTCACTTTGGCCAATACTGCGACAGTTACATTGGGTGTTTGTTGCCGAGATTTAGTTAGCCATGGGAAGAACCTGGAGAACCCGGAGTAGACCCACAGAGAACATACAAACTCAGAAAGGCGCCCGGGTTGGGAATCGAACTCAGCCGGTTATTGCTATGCGGCACAAGTTTCACCGCCACCGCGCCGCTGCACCGTCGCCCTCCTCGTGCGTGGCTGCAACGCGCGTGGGCGCCTCACCGGTACGTCCGGCGTGCAGGAAGTAGAGAGCCGCGGGCTCCTGCGCTCTCGGGTCGGAGGACGAGGCCAGGGCTGCCAGCCACTGGAGGCGCTTCTCGTCCAGGGAGCCCCCCGGCTCGCCTGCTGGGCACGCGGCACAGGGCACACGGCACACGGCGCTTGTGACACTGCCGGTGGAAGGGCTTCCGCAAGAGGGAGCCGATATTGTTGTCGGCGGTGTTGTCGGTGGTGGTGGTGTTGTCGGTGGCGGCGGTGGTGGGGTGGGCGTGAGGCTATGTAACAACCCTGGGCAGGGCAGACGGAGCGAGGGCTTGCCAGACCACCATGCGTGTCCCGGTTGAGCCCCCAACAAATCCGGTCGCTTTAAGCTCAACACAGTTGGTCTCAACTGGCGGCTCGACTCGGCCGGTGGAGTGAATAAAAAATACAAAATAAATAACTAAACGACGTCCCGGCGCCTCCCGAGCCAAGCTCGACGTGGTGGAGCCCCAGCGTGGTGCGGCTGTGTGGTGGGAAAAAAAGAGGCGGGGGGTGACCTCACCGCTCTCGATGCTCCGCAGAAGCTGAGTGGCGGCCGACAGCTCGCGCGCAGACAGCTCCTCGCCAACGCCGGCAGAAGGGGGGGCCTTCAGCAGAACGTCCTCCGCACGGCTGCCTCTGCGGCCAGCGTCGGCGTCGTCGGTGTCGTCGGCGCCGCTGTCGTACTCGCGGCGGAGGCCCCCAGCCCCTCCTCCTCTCCCGCGGGAGGATCCCGCGCTGCCGCACCGGCCCCTGCCGCCGCCGGCCTCCCTCCCGAGCGCCGCTGTCTTGAGGCGGGCGACGCCGCGGCGCACGCAGCGTCCGCCGCCGTCCACGATGCGCCGCAGCAGCCGCAGCAGCGCGGCGAGCAGCTTGCCGCAGGCCTCGCACGGCCGGCACGGGGACATCGCCAAGCGCGGCGCGGAGCGCGGTGGAGACGGGTGGGGGTTTGAGATGTTGCTGGTGACGGTGGAGGAGGTAGAACAGTAGTGGTGGTGGTAATATAACAGCTGTGGTTTTGGTGTCGCTGGTGATGGTGGTAGTGTGGTCGCAGGAGTTGGAATATTGTTGATGGTGCTGTTGGTTGTGGTGGTGCCAGTGATGGTGGAGCTCTAGATGGTTGTGGTGGTGGTGCTGCTAGAGGTTCCTCTAATCCCACTTGTTTCCGTTGGTAACCAGAGCTAAAGACAAAGCACAAACCAAAGTGAACGTCAGGTGTGGATGTGACCATAACAAAGACATACAAAGACAAAGATCCCCCATGTCGACCTAATAGACTTTTTGGGGCAAGTGCTGTTCGCGAACCCCTCTGAAGACCGGCACGACACAAGAGGGAGTGGTGTGGCCAGAACCACGCCCAGCCGCCTTTGTCTCCCCAGTGGCAATGTTCACACAACGCACCAGGTACTCATTTAAGGATGAGTCGACCTAGTAAAGGTTTATTACAGGTTCAGATAATCGTCACTGGTGTTGGCCACGAGCGGGAATTGAACTTGTGTGGCCGGGTCCGTAGCGCAGCACGCTAACCGTTGCGCCACCGCTCCCACAACGTACACATGCGCAGCGGCAACGTCATGGAGGGGTTGGTGGATCACACACAGATCACGCCTGTACGTTGAGCCATCTCACGAGTTGACGAATTTTTTTTCATCGGGGGTCACAATACAATCGGCCATCAGCCATGATCGGTCCACTGCTGGATGAAGGACGCCCCCTCTCGTGAACGCGCAAAGCGATAATGCACGCGAGCTCCATCTCATTGCTCGGTTTCAATACTGCAATCGATTTTCTTTTCTTTCGTTCTCAACATCTAAAATATTTGTTTTATTATCTTGGTTCTGTTCTATTAGCCTGAAGGGTACATTGGTCGTTTGCATGCGATTTGCATTCAGTGTCAAGGATCCCTTTTCGCGAGCGATTAATTATTTTTATATTCTTAGCTCTTTCGGTAAAGTCACGGTGAAGGGAAACAATAAAATAATAAAATATATATAAAACAATAAAAATTCTCACGACGTTTCGACCATAACACAAACGGTCGTCATCAGGTGTGAAAAAACCAACGGCACACCTGATGACGACCGTTTGTGTTATGGTCGAAACGTCGTGAGAATTTTTATTGTTTTATATATGTATTTTATTATTTTATTGTTTCCCTTCAACGTGACTTTACCGAAAGAGCTAAGAATATGAATTACTGCAGTCACGAAAGCTTTAAATCAAAATTTAATTATTTTTCGTACGTAGCCTTTCACGACCAACGTTATGATTCACAGTTGTTGTTTCTTGTTTGGGTGAGGTGGTCGCGTGAACAATATGTCGCGTGAGCTCGTCGGTGAGCTCAGTTGCTTCGCGGTCGCGGGTTCGATCCCCATACGGTCCACCGGGATGTTTTACTTTCCCCACGCCTCCGATAATGATCAGAATATATGTAAAGCTCTTTTTCGCAGATGTCCAGTAGGGGTGGGTAAGAACGCCACAACAACAAACAGTACAAACGCATGATAGTAGTGCAAAGTGCAAGAGGTAAACAAATCACCCAAACGCATACAAATACAAAACTAAACCATCCCACTCCTACCAGATACACCCCACTGAGGTGTTCAATTATTTTTCAAAAGCGACCTGGCCACAAATGATAGCTGAACAAAGTGGCTTATTAGCGGCAGTTGGCTATAGGTACGGTGCGAAGGAAGTTCACCGTCCACACGTGCGTGTCATAAAACCCTCCACCACGCGACAAGGACAATCAATAAATTCGTCACGTGAATCGAACGTGGCCGATGGTGGTGGAGATGGCGCCACCGAAACCTGTGGTGTTGTTGTTGTTGTTGCTGCTGGAGAGGAATGTCAACACACGTTCAGGTCTAAACTGTCGACAGCACAAAACCAATAAATGACGCCACAACTGGAGTAACCCGCGCTGGGATAGAGACGTCCCCTCAACTCCGACGCCGGCGCGGAGTGAACCCCCCCCCACTGCCCCAAGTTGCTGCCGATCCTGGGCGTTCGGTGCCCTCCCCGCATGTCTCGATCCATCGATGTCCTCGAGTGATCCGTTAACCCCCCCCGGAATCGCGTGCGAGCGATGCTAGCGGACAGCTTCCGCCGGCCGTGGGTTTCCTGCACATTTTCTCAACACTTCTTGGAATTAAAAAAAATCAGCTGAAGCACAAATACGACTTCAACCCGTCTGTCAACAAAAAAAAATATATTACAATTAATCTTCAAGGTTTAAAGGACAGTCCTGCAATAAGTCTTAATCAACATTATTACCGTCCACTGATTTAGCCAGGAAAGGCTCGCCTCCGCTCGTGGGGGGGCGTGGGCTCTGAAGAGAGTGCCTCGACGGGGCGGGCGGTGGCCTTTGGCCTCCTCTTCCACACTGGCCAGAGGTCTCGGTTGGAAGAGGGTGGGATCGCTCACACTTTACCCCCCTCCCCACCGCACGTGACCTGCTGATCGATTGAACGGCGCGCGCGCTTGGAAGGACAAGTGTCACCTGTCCGGCTCAGTCGGCCTTGGCAGGCATTTGTCAGCGCAGTCTAAACAATTATCGCTTCCACCGAGCTGTCTCGGGTGACAGACGCACACACAGCTGCTGTGCGGCTGGCTGGGGGGGGGTTGTTGTGCGGGTCCTGGCACGATCTGAGAGCAAGAACGCCTGAATGACACCTGGCTCGCGCCTGTGAACACCGAACAGATGTCACACGGGCAACATTTACCTTTGCCGTTCGTCTGACACAACAAACACGGTGCCGCGTCAAGCTGGTATATGGTGTCGTGCGGCGGTTCTCGCGTGACGCGTGCGGCCCCTCTCTCCCAATCCACCGCTGAACGAGGGCCGTCTCTGTGCGATCCACCAACCCCCCCCACCCCCGCCCATAGGCAGCTGCCACGGGTCCGCGAGGTGAGCAGCAAGGGGCCAAGTGCGGAAAAAACATAAAATTGTTGTACTGCACTGGTGGCGTCGACGCTCCCCTACGTCGCCAGCCTGCAGTGCCCAGCCTGGCGAGGCACGGTCACAGAGCCCTGGCACGGCCCCGCACGGCGTGGGGGGCGGCTCATCCAGCAGTGGATTGATGAAACGCGCTGTCACGGTCCAACGTGGTGCTGGGTGTTTTGCGAACACCCAGAGCGATCACGATTCAGGGAGACAATTGCATTCAGGGTTGTTAATGTCATTACTTTTATAATTATTATTCTATCTCTGTCAGTCTCTAAGCCTCTCTGTCTCTCTCGCTCTCTGTTCCATGAGCCAGCAGGTAATATTTGCATTGAATGGAACCTATTCTCGCATGCCACGATTCAACCTATCGTGCAGAAATTGATTTGAATACATGAGAAAGTTATTTATGTATACTTACACGTATAAGACAAAGCTTGCTGTTAGCGGTCACCTAAGTATGTATGGAGAACTTCTTTCGCGCCGTACGTAGCCAACCGTTCTAATCGGAGGTGCGGGGTGGCAACGGCACCTATGAAGGCCGGCACGGCACACGAGGGGGTGGGTGGCCAGCACCACGCCCGGCCGCCTTTGTCTTCCCAGTGGCGATGTTTTTACACACCGCACCAGGTACTCATTTGCGGCTGAGTCGACCTAGGGGAGGCCCAGCGGGACACGTAACTCGCCGGGATCGTAGCGCAGTGCACTAACCGCTACGCTACCGACAACAACAACCACCACCACCATTCACCACCACTAAGTGGCGGTGGCGTCACCGGGGGGATACGTCAACGATTGCAGGGCTGCGCCTTTACATTGCAGAGTTGGGGGGGGGGCTGCCGCCAGCGTTCTGCTGTCGTCAAGGGCGGACCCACGCGGCAGTCAACCTTGGGAACTCACACGTGACACCTGCTGTCGCCAGGCCAGGTGTTGCACAACGACGGCACGGATTATTGTTGTTGTTTGTTACCGGCGGCGCAGACCACCGTTCTGAAGGGGGGGAGAGCACAACAGAGGTAGGTCCTCGGCGAGTCGCATTTTGAAAGCCTCGCGGCCCCGTTGGGGTGATAATTGTCACGAGATGACCACCGCTCATTACAGGTCAAAGGTCAAAGGGGTGGAGACGTGACTCCCCCCCCCCCCGACTACCACCACCCTACCCTGGCCCCTTGCTATGAGAGCTGCCACCGCTAAGACCGGTCGGTTCGGCTTGCGGCTGAAAGGTCTCGCAAAAACAAAGAAACGAAAAAACGTTAAAGATTCCCATCTTGTGTTATTGTTTGCCAGTCTGCACGTGATGTATAAGAGGTTGTACAGAAACTCCCATCAAGCACAGGATCTGTGAATTGTTAACAGAGTCATGCGTGTGTGTGTGTGTGGGCTGGTAGAGGTTAATGTAAGGGAGTGGTGGGAGTAGTGGTTAGCGCGCTGCGCTATGAACAATATCGACACGAGTTCGATTCCCGCTCATTGCCAAAATCGGTGACGAATATCTGAACCGGTCCCGGCTCTCCTCTATCTAGGTCGACTCGGCCTTAAATTGTACCTGGCGCGGTGTGTAAACATCACCACTGGGGAGGCACGGTTGGCCACGTACGGTGCGAAAGAAGTTCAACGTGGAGTGCATACAGAGGCGGCCGTTCGTGGTGCTGGCCAGCCATCCCTCTCGTGTGTTGTGCAGTCGGCCTTCATAGGTGCTAATCGCTACTTATTTCCCTCATTAAAATGCAAATCAATTTATAACATTTTTGACATGCGTTTTTCTGGATTTTGTTGTTGTTATTCTGTCTCTCACTGTTAAAATAAACCTACCATTAAAATTATAGACTGATCATTTCTTTGTCAGTGGGCAAACGTACAAAATCAACAGGGGATCAAATACTTTTTTCCCTCACTGCACGTCGGGGTGTCCCGAATCAGTCGTGGAAACTCCACATTTCGACGGGAGGGCCCAAGGAATCCGCACCGATAAACACTGCAGAGGTATGTGTTGCGGAGTTGCAAACCCTTCAGTGCGCTACGCACGACCCTCCGGGGTTAGAATTCTGCGGCGATTATGATCTCACACCGGCACAGCATACCACAAAGACAAAGATCGCCTGTATAGCCTTAACAGACTTTTGGGGGAAAGTGCTGTTAGCGAGCAGCACCTATGAAGGGCGGCACGGCACACGAGGGGGTGGGTGGCCAGCACCACGCCCGGCCGCCTTTGTCTCCCCAGTGGCGAGGTTTACACACCGCACCAGGCACTCATCGATACAGTATAACACAACCACACACACGCACAACACAGTGTTTATTTAGACTCGCTGATGGCATTTTTTTTTTTAGAAACCAGTCCTTGAAACGAAAGCGTATCGCACCTCCAGTGTAAAGCGGTTTCAAATCGACGCTGACGGCCCCGAATCGGTGGTGGAAATTCCACATTCCCATGACGAGAACCAGCGATTCATTAACACGGGACAGCGCCAACAGTGCGAACGGGTGGCTGTTCTAAGGCATCTCAATGAGATGGTCATTTGAACGAAGAAAACAAAAATCCGCACACGCACTCGTGTACCCTAATAGCTGGTCTCGTCGGAACACCGTGGCAAGTCTCAACAAGGCCCCCTCTTTCAAAGGGCACACTCCTCACAAGACAAAGGTCACCCCCCCGTGTTTTTTTAGCCTTCTCCACCACGAGCAGGGCAGCACGCGGCGCTCCAGGAGCGTTGCGGCCATCACCTCTGTCACCCAAAGTGCCGCTTGGTGCGCGAGACCGCGCAAGCGTCGGGTCAAGTCCGATGACATTACGCACGACTTGGAAGGCCTTGGGGAGGGGTGCTAGCGGGTTGTGTCAGGGGGGTGTTCACCTTCTTCGTGGAGGAAAGAGACGTCGTTGTTGTTGGCTGCCCGCTGTTTTTGTTTATTGACGCGAAACGTTTGATTCGTTGCGTCCCGATAGAGCCGGGAGTACCGCTCTTTAGCCCGCGGCCCCGCGAGCGACCCACCAGGACGACTGTGGTTGTACCCATTGGTACTGATTGCTGGGTGGATTTAATACAAACACAAAACTTTCCCCATTGTTGCGACTGCCGCCTCGGGGAGTTGGGATTGAACCGGCGTGCCGTGGATGGATGGCACGTCCAGCCTGCTGCTGGCCACGAGTCCAGCTCCGGTTCACGCTGCGCGGTGCGCTAACCACTGCGCCACCGCTCCCATCCCCATCGTGTACGGACTTGCAATAGGCGTAAACAATACAGTGGCGTGTGCATGTGTGTGCTGTACAATGCTAATTGTATGCAATGTTGCGATTGTACCACGAGCCTCGGTTTATGGTGAGAAATTAATGCAGCACTGTCTCCAACGTACTATGCGCTTCCCGCCTGACTAGCAAGGTGAGGTATGGTCAAAATAGCCCCCCTTCCCCCGGCGTGTTTGGGGGGAAGCCCCCTCATCTAGCAGTGGATTTACCAAAGGGCTGGAAATGTTCGTATATAGCGAACGTCGTGTGTGTGTAAGTCGATGTGTCGGTGTGAGGTGTGTGTGGGGTGTATTTGTGTTGGTGTGGCCGTTAGCGCGCTGCGCTCCGAACCCGGCGACCCGAGTTCGATTCCGAACTCACGCCCGACACCGGTGACGATTATCTGCACCGGTACTGGGCCTCCCCTAGGTCGACTCAACCTCAAATGAGTAGCAGGTCCGGGCACGGTTGCTCCAGCATTAACCTACGGCTATCGTGTGCCGTTCCGGCTAACAGCACTTGTCCCAACAGTCTGTTAAAGGCTATACGGGGGATCTTTGTCTTTGTTATTTTGCATGTGTGTACGTGTAACGTGTGGCAGCTATGCGTGTATGTGGTATGTGTGTGTGGTGTATGTCGTGTGGTGTGTGTGGTGTGTGTAGCGTATGTGGTATGTATGTGTGGTGTGTGTGTGGTGTGTGTATGTATGGTGTGTGTCGTGTATGTGGTATGTATGTGTGTGCCGTGTGTGTGTGGTGTATGTCGTCTATGTCGTGTGTGTGTGTGGAGTACACCACTGCCTACCTTCCACGCGTGCTGGGCCCCCACGTGTCGCCTTGTGGTGCTGAACAAAGACTGACAGAGCCGAGCGAGCAAGCTAGAGTCATTGTTCGCGTGTTGCAAGGGCAGACCCATTGACAGTGATGTCATTGAATGTTTACGCCTCCTTTCTCTCTCTCTGGCTTCAGTGGACGGTTCATAACCAGGGCTTAAATTCGGCTCTCTGTATATTATTTTTCATTAATGGAATCTTTTCTGGACCCAGCCCCCGCCGCAGGGGGAGAGACAGCTTCGGCTGAAATTTAAGCCCTATCTCGAAATCGCGTGTGGGTTTTTTTGTTCTCGACTGCCACAACACCGTGACGTTATCGACGAGTACAAAAGGTTGTAGTTGGGCACGGTGCAGCCCTGAAATTTCCGGTACACGCCACTGCTGGCGAAAGGACATCCACGATCGGGGGTTTCTAGAAAAAGCTCTCCCCTCTCGAGATGTGTTTTTATTTCATGGCTTACGACGGCCAGATGTTGTTGAGAAGGTGTGAGCACCCCTGCACTTTACCCCGCCGCAAGCGACCTGCCGATGGGCTGATTGCGGTGTGGAGGCTCATGCCGACGGAGGTTCGAACCGGCGACCTCTGGACTGCTCTTTCCAGCGAATTAACGACCACCAACACTACGGCCGCTTCTATTGAGGGCTAACATAGGACTCCCAGGTATCTTTGGCGAGTAACCACCCATTAAGACAAAGACCCCCCCCCGCCGTATAGCCTTAACAGACTGTAGGGGCAAGTGCTGTTAGCGAGTAGCACCTATGAAGGCCGGCACGGCACACGAGGGAGTGGGTGGCCAGCACCACGCCCGGCCACCTTTGTCTCCCCAGTGGCGATGTTTACACACCGCACCAGGTACTCATTTGATGCTGCGTCGACCTCGGGGAGGCCCAGGGACCCGTTCAGATACCACTATGTAACACGATTTTTGTTCATGGGTAGTAAGTGTTAATTTCTAATTGCTTATGCCTCACAAGTATAGAAAATGGCTATTATTCCCCACAAACTTAGCACGGTTGGCTACGTATGGTGCGAAAGAAGCTCAAGATACATACATAAATGTAATCAGGATAGCAGGGAGGTTAATACTACAAGAAAATTCTTACTAATAAGTAGAGTAAGGTAGGGTTAGATTTGTGTTTGTATGAGAAAGCAAGGAACGGAAATGTGAATGTGGTTTCACTGGGAACATTCGAGGTACCATAAGAAGCCGGGGAATATAGCGAATTATGTAGCTCGAGCAAGTTGAACACACTGGATAAGACTAATAATAATTTACATTCATAAAGCGCCCTTAAACAATCGTTGGATATCACCAAGAGAATCTTCAAATTGATACGGTTACGGACAGGGAGCCAGTGGGCACCCTGGTGGTCGCATTTGGAACACTGCAGGCTGTTTGGATGCAACTTGCAGGAGAATATGTTGCAAAGTCGCTGAGTAAATATCGACAGAGCCACGTGGAAGGATGGCCATGATTACTGACGAGACAGGGAGTAGTGGGTTCGATCCCGAAACTGACGCCTGCTGTATATTTGGAGTTTGCGTGTTCTCCCCGTGGTCACGTGGATTTTCCTCTGGGTTCTCCGGGGGTTTCCCCCTCTAAGACATTTCAGAATCCACACGCGTTTCGAGTAATTGGCTGCTGCTGCTGTAAATTTCCACGCGATGAAAATCCACTTTATTTCTGATGGCCAGGTTTCTTCTGAAAAAGAGATACATAGCTCAAGTGGGGCACTTACCTGGTTAAGAACAAAATTGAAATGGCCGAGCGGCCTTATTTGTGGCTGTGGAGCGAATGGTGTCAAGTCACACCCAAAAACCCGTTAGGCGGTTCGCCAATGACCCAGTTAAACTGCTGCCACATTACCCAACGCTGCGAGGCTCTCGACTGCCACGTTGTGTGGCTTGCGGTGGGGCGCTCCCCTCTGTTCGCAGCAGAGGTGAATGCGGACGTCTTCTGTTTATAAAAAAAATAAGAATAGGTTTTTACCCTGTCTGGCAATAAAACATGTTCACACACCAAATATAAACCTTTTTAAAGGAATAAAATCTGCATTAACCATGCACAGTACTTGTGGTGAACATGCAAACAAACACCCTCTGATAATAATTAATATGTGGCGTTGTCTTTGAAACTGATTGTCCTACACCGTAGACAGCTTTCTTTATAGCCGAGTCTCACCACCACTGCCAGAAAGGCGAACAGTACAAAGACAATGCCACCCGTATCAGATAATTTATAGCTCGGGGTGAGCACAGCTATATCATGGGACCTTTTTTGCCAGTATAAAAATCTAAGAATAGGGAATACGTGCCATGATATAACATCCTCTGTTGTTGTGCTGAAATTCTATGCTCCCAAGGTCAACAACCCGCAATTGACCAGCGTGGTGAAGTATGGTCAAACCACACTCCAAGTGCGCCGCGAGACCCCGTAGGGAGTGTTATATGTTAGAGCAGATTTGTTTTTATTGTTCCTGTGCGCTGATGAGTTTTGGGGAATATAAACAAAATACAGTAATTACAATTCATGTCTCCTTCACACGTGCGTTTCCGCATAACCAGCGTGCGATTAAATTTCGATTTAAAGCTGAAGGCCACTTGTGTTGTGGCCGAAACGTCGTGAGAATTTTATTGTGTAATTTTATCAATTTATTATTTTATTCTCATTCTACGTGACTTTACCGAAAGAACCAAAGAAGACAGCGTGCTTTATATTGTTTATTAGACATCCCATCAGTGGCACGGCCTCCTGGGGAGCGCGTTACACATCCAGCGGCATTGCTTCGAGGCAAGCGACACTCTGAGCTGGCTTTGACACGCGGTGTCTCATCGGCAGACATTACGCCCTACCACCAAGAAGGTCGTGCTGCTGAAGGGTTGTGTAAACAAAGAGTTTTCATTTACACCCGAGGAGAGACGGGCGTTCGGAGGAGACATTGTCTGATTGTTTAATAGATCTCGTTGTGTGTATATTGTAATCCTGGCTCGCCTTTTGTGACCCAGGAAGTCAAAATTGGTTCCAGAGTTTGCTAGCTTAACAAATCTGGCTGTCGCCGGATGATGCTGCTTGTAATTGCTGGCGAGATGTCGTACTCAAATTGTCAATGTTGTGGATTTACTCTCCAACACAACCGGTGTGCTGTACTAGTAATGAATTGGCATGTTTTGTTTACGTGACGAACCTTACTAGTTGGCTGTGTCAAGTTTAACGACGGATTTTTATTTACGCGGTCTAAACCCCAAAAACCTATATTATGGATAATATTGGTCGCGAAAGGCTACCACCACGTGTTAAACTGATGCTGGATATTTGTCTACAAACGCACCGATGGCAGTAATAAAATGTTTTAATTTATATTTGAATATTCATGTTTGTTTTAATTGTTTACCTCTGCACGTGGGTATAGTGCCGCCCATCTCATACACCTTGCGATATTAACGCATTAGCTTGAATTTTATATTATTGTCGTGCAGTATGTCAATGTAACACAGTCGTGCAGTATGTCAATGTAACACAGTCGTGCAGTATGTCAATGTAACACAGTCGTGCAGTAAATGTAACACAGTCGTGCAGTATGTCAATGTAACACATCTTTTTTTTATTTAAAGCTATTCTTGGTTCTTTCGGTAAAGTCACGTAGAAGGGAAACAATAAAATAATAAAAATAGAAGACAATATTTTTATTATTGCTTTTATGCCTTTTTGCACTCTTTCGTTATGTATATTTTCTCGCTGCATTATTTTACTCGGTGCAATATCGTGATTGTTGTAATTATTATCGCAATTAAATGTGTCTCAAGGAAACTATTTTACCATTTGCGTTTGTATACCTTACTTGCAAAATTGTATTCAATCATAATCCTCACTTAAGTTAAATATTTCAAATGCTGTATAATGTTGTAATATACCTTACATTATGTGATGTGTTGCCATTGTTTTTCCTGTTACGTTACGTTTGACCCGGTAACCGACTGATTTGTGTTTTGGAACATTATAATTCAATGATACCACACCTACTACTCATATGATAATGTGACCGCTCGTGCATTTGCAAATTACGCATAAAATTATGTTAATTAATCCCTCCCGCCACGCCCACTTTTTTTGCGGCTCCAAGCAAAATTCGGGTGCTCAACCACGGGCGGACGCCCCCCCCCCTACAGCCTTTCCGGCATCAGCCAATCGCGTCGAAATCTGCGACCCCCTCGCGCCGGCTTTGGCCCTGCCCACCGCGATGACGTCGCCGCGACGAGGCGGAGTCTGGCTGGGGGGCGGAGTCTGGCTGAGGAGGGGGGGCGGGGCCGGACGGGTCAATGATGGCGGACGTGGAAATGATGGCGGGAACGGAGGCGAATAAACAGCGATCGATGGACGAGTTGAGCAACCCCGACGGCTCTGGCGACGAGAGCGTACGTGTTTCACCTCACCCCGGTGGCGCTCGCGGGCGCTTCCCACGATCCTCGGTTGCGCCGAGAGAGGTTTTAAATGACCACGCTCGGGGTTATTTAACACGCGCACCCACGCGGTCTCGAATTGCCTAGTGCGGATAGGCAACCCCGTTGTTTTCCGCGCTTCTCGTTGGCTTGTTGGGTCACGTGGTGGTGCCTCCGCGCGGTCGCGATTGGTGGAGCTGCTGGGGATCCTACCGGTGGGGGTTTGTCCTATGTACGGAATGTAAACACGGGGATCAATGGTCGCGTTCCGTTGGCGAGTCAACTTTAATTATTTGTGAGCATTGAACTTGTTTTATTAAATATTTTTTAATAAGGTGTGTAATGTGTGCAAACATTTCCGAAGTTATACGGAGTAATTTGTCCCGGTAGCCCGTGGCATGCTAATTAACATTCACATCGCTCGCGTGCAGTATTGCATTGGATAAAGTGGCATTCCTTTACACATTTAATGGGTTATTTAAATAATTTTGAATCATTGCGTACATTCAAATGGTTTCCAGCTTCACGCGCCGCCAAACTTGTGAACTCTGTCGTATACGCCGGTCTGTATACCGTTTAGTAAATGAATGGGGGAGCGGTGGTGCGGTGGTTAGCGCACTGCGCTACAGTATAAAACCCAGCCACCCGGGTTCGATTCCCTGCCTCGGCTATCGGCGAGTGCGATTTGAACCCCCCCCTCATACATAACCCACACTGACCAGCGTGGTGAAGTATGGTCAAGCAATCCACGTAACCGACACGGCGTGGGGAGGACACCGTTCAGCAGGGTTAAGGGCTAAGCTGTACTCAAATGTTTGTTTTACTAAGTACAGTACCGTATTCGTTATCTACGTCTTTGTTCCCATGTCTGTGCTCCCCACCTTCAACGCACACTGACCAGAGTGGTGAAGTATGGTTGAATATACTCGTGGCGGGACCGAGATGGGGAGGCCCTCCTTGGCAGTGGATATTACATGGGCGAAATCCCTACAAAATCCGTGTGGACTCTGTACTACCAATGTGAATCTTGCATATGAAGTTTTGATGCTGTAGAATGTAATATTATGGGTCTTTAAATCTTTGATTTAAAAATATACATATTTGCCACACGTAAATACCATTGAACAATCAAAATTACGTTAACCACCGTTATTTATTTTTTACAAAGTGATACATATTTTAGCGACACTAGAGAGGCGATGGTGATGATTGACAGAGTTATAATGGTTGCTTCTTTACCCAGGAGGAGAGCTACACTTGAGGCAGAATATTTTTGTTCAGAAGCTTCCTGTATTTAAATGTTTGGCCAACACCACTTAAATTTTGTGTTTTAGGTATGAGCGTAAACCAGTCACAGCGGAGGAAACCCATACAGAACAAGGAGTGGACATACAAATTACACACAGATAGGTGCCTGAGTAGGAATCGATCTCAGGATCTACTTTGTGAGGCACAGCAAAGTAGGCACAAGTATTACCTGTTTTACGTGACAAACCTTACTAATTGGCTCAAATGAATATATGTATTTTTTAAAATGTATATTTACGCGATGTAACCCGAAAAAAACCCTATGAACAAGTGCAGCGGTCCCCAACCTTTTTGGCACCAGAGACGGGTTTCGTGGAAGACAATTTTTTTCACGGACTGGGGGGGGGGTGGTTCATCATTGGGTCTTTTCCCATTTTCAAAGAAGCTCTCCAGCAACGTTTGTTTTTTACACATTGTGGCTACTAGGGGACAGCTTGTGGGCTTACCAACACTGTGACTGAGACAAGTGCGCAGTGCGGGAAAGAGGCGCGGATGGAAGTGGTAAATAATAAAATAATGGGCGGGCCACGCGCGGACTCACCGCTCGCCTCCTGCTGTGAGGCCTGGTTCCTAACAGGCCGCGGACTGGTACCGGTCCACGGCCCGGGGATTGTGGACCCCTGGACAAGTGTTACCACTGAGCCACCCTGCCACCACCCTACAGCGCTTAGAACTCTTCAACTTCACATTCACGTGTCGACCGCCAGAACGTCCGCTCGAGAGTCGACCGCTTTAACCGCAGCACTCCTCCGCCTCGCCGCCCTCGCCTCCACCCGTCGCTGAGCGAACGAATGTCCACCTCCGCTCACCGGCAGCCCCTTTGTCACCCCCGCAGGACGACGGCGTGAGCACGGGAAGCGGAGCGAACCCCGACCGGCCGGACACTCCGACCAACACGGCGTTCGCGCCCGGGCGCAAGAGCTGGTGCAAGGGCAAGTGGAGAGCGAAGAAGTGCAAGTTCGCCTTCAAGTGCGTCAACTCGCTCAAGGTGCGGAGACGCGCGCGGCCCGGGTCGCCACGCACGCGTGCGCTCGCTCGCTCGCTCAAGTCGCACGACGGCAAATGGCGGCCGCCGTTCGCCACCGGTCGACGCGCTTCAGCCAGCAGCAGATATCGCAGGGCAATTTTACGTCCCGATAATTTGAACTTGTAACGCGCCGTGCAAAATGTTTGCTCGCTCACGAACGGAGAAAATTTGCTCTTGAGCAGCAGGGAACCATGGCACAAGCGGGAAAAGGCAGCCAGGCTGTGTGCCGGTGCCAAATTCCCCCCAAGCGCTGTCATCCTCCATATATTAAGATGTTGGCTAAATAATGAGTGCCTCCTTTGTTTTATCTCTCGTGTACGGTTTTGTTACCTCAGCATAAATTTATTCTCATAATTTTCATTGAAATGGCATAATTGCGTAAAGACATTATTCTTACACAGAGCTGAACGCATGCGTCGTGAGCATCACAATCGGGATTACGCATGTAACTGTTCACTACAAGAGCTCCTTGATGATTATTTATTCAATATTTGCAATTCAGTTCAACATTGGATGATTTTTTTTGGTACAGTCTTGCTCACTGTTAGCTATTATCTCGACCACTATTACGTACAATTATTAAATAGTGCCTTTGAATAAGGCGCTATTTGAATAAGGCACTATTTAATTTAAATATATAAGATAAGTGTAACATCGTTTGCATAAAACATGCACATATTTACATAATCCTGACATGCATGATTTAAAGTATGTGTTGTGAACTTAAGAATCTTTGTGAAATCTGTTTGCATGCCATGAAAGAGTTGTAGTCTTCTTTCTGAGTTCGCATGCCTGTCAGTGACTACCTTATTACAGACAAATTTCGACCTTATTGGTCACCCCGTGCCCTTATAAGTCTCAACGTTTATCTCATCACAAGGGACAAAAAAACAAATTTACCAAAAAAATGTTGCCCGTATTGAAACGGCTGTACGCTGTATGGACCCGAAAATTAATTTCCCTATTCAAGAAACAGTATGGGTTGACGGGTATGAATTCGGCACTTTACTAACTAGTGTAGTCAAAGATGATCACACTCAGGATGGTCTTTTAACATTAAAACTCTTCAATAATAATGAAAAATGCAAACAGCCACTAGCGCACGGCCTCGCTCCGACTCACACCATAGCTCTGCTTCGCCGTCCAAAACACGGCGGGAAGAAAACTGCTTGCGCCCATTTTAACATGACGACCAAATGTAAGTATTCTACAGGGTGAACCTTTTTGTTGGCACGTGCAAATATAATCTTGTGTTTGCAGTCTGCCAGTGCAGCCCGCTCAGGTTTCTCGTAAGCTCCTCCGGCCTTGTTTGTACTCGCACAATGTACTGATGATAGACGGGCTTTGACATGCCCCCTTGATGTTCCGTCTTCGTTGTCCATGTCACCCGTCACCTGCCGAGCGTTGATTTACATACGTCGGTGGCCGTGTGGTTATTGCCCGCCGGATGCGCACGTGAACTCTTAATCAAACCAGGTAAATTCGTAAAGTTGTGTTTTTTTGTGCACAGGAGGACCATGGGCAGCCTCTGTTTGGGGTTCAGTTCAACTGGCACAGCAAGGAAGGAGATCCTCTGGTGTTTGCCACTGTGGGGAGTAACAGGGTAAGTACCATGCTGTGCGTCACACCACCTTCGCCACGAGCAAACGGCACTAAACACATAACCGCTTTCAACCTCGGTCGAAAAGCGTAAAAAAATATAGCATCACGGTACTTGTTGTAGTGGTGACCGGGCTAAGACCACCTAGCTGGATATTGCACTCACATCGTGACTGTGTTCCTTCTGGAGATCAGGATGGTTCTGCCGGTCTTTAACGTAGCCTGGCTCAATATTTAAATAGTCCCCCAGACAGTATGTTTGTACATGTTACTTACTTTTTGTGAGTTCTTAAATGTATGCAATTGTTGTTATCACGATAAGTCACGGTGGCGAGATCTTAACTATACAGGAGGTCGTGGGTTCGATCCTGACCCTGAACGCCTTGTATATATTTGGAGTTTGCATGTCTCTCTCCCTGTGGTCATGTTGATTTTTCTCTGGGTCCTCTGGTTTTTCCCTCCACGTTTAGAAACATGCATGTAGAGTATTTGGCTGCTATAAATTTCCACGTGATAAGCCACGTCGTTGAGCTATCATTTGTGATAGGCAGATCGCTTCTGAAAAAGAGCTATACAGCTCAGTGGGCCTTACCTGGTAAAATAAATATAGTTTTTTTTTTTAAGTTAACCAACATCTAAATGTCTGTGCTCTCCGGTTGCCAGGGTAAAAAGTTGGGCCATGTCCTTGCCCAATCCTGGGCCAGCGAGCTCAAAAATTCAAAGAACGAGACAATGGAGAACCCGGCTTAATCATGGGTGGCTGAAATCCCAGATTTGAACCTGGGATGCCAGTTGTACAGGCCTAGAGGTGCCTTTGTGTGTCATTTCTAAGCACTGCTCTGCTGTTATCCCAACAGTAAACACGTGTAATCCATTGTATATATTTTGGAACGTGTATACCCGTGTTGCCTGTGACCAAACCAGCCGGAATGTGCCCGATCTTGTTCGCACAAGCTAAGTAGTGGACAAGCCCGGGTAGTGCCTGGATGGGTGACCACCATGCACGCCAGCTTGTCATAGGCATTGCTACCCGATGGACAGCAAACCTTTTCGTTGTACTCAATTCCTGCGCTCTGGCTCTCTCTACACCACCCGGCACCTTTGCCGACCGACACTCACCGGCGGTGGTGAGGTATGACGAAATAACCCGTATTGTGTGGGGAGCTCCTCTTGTACGTGCGTATGTATGTATGCGTGCGTACATCTGCATCTCTGTAATCCCCCCCCACCCCTCTCTGTTCCAGGTCACGCTGTACGAATGCCACTCACAGGGTGAGGTTAGGCTCATGCAGTCGTACGTTGACGTAGAGGTGAGTGGCGGACCCGGCTGCCCGACTTTAATCTTCGCGCGGGCGCCTTCACTGCCGCTGAAATGCCACTGCCAATGTCGTCATCGTCATCATCGTCGTCATCGCACACGCATCGTCTCCATCGTCGATTGTGATCGTAATCGGCAGTAATTCCCGCCATTATCAGTCCATCGTCGTTATTGTCGTCATCATGGTAATGACATCAGTTGTCATTTTTTGAGCTGCGGCGCGTTGGACACTGCGCCGCACTACGAATCTGGTGACACGAGTTCAATTCCTGGCCACAGCGAACATCAGTTGCAAGTCCATTGTATAGAGTTCTGGTTGTTTATTATTATGTATACGTCATGTTTATCAAATTTCCCAGCCTTTGTTCTATTCACCCCCTGTAAAACCCTCTCGTTCCCATGTCATGTGCATGTTACCATGTCAGTCTTTTTGGCACTCATAATTATTTGAGTTAATATTTATATTGTAATTGCAATTGACCCCCACTTCTGGCAAAACTGATATTGTTATACACCCACACGTGTGTGTTCACGTATTTGCGTTCCACTGATTGGGGGAGTGTTGGCGCATTATTGAACGCACTGCGCTCTGAACCAGTTCACCCGAGTTTGATACCCGCTCGCCATTGCACCCGCGCGTTTGGCTTCGCGTTCGTCTGCCCGCGCACCGCACACTCGTAACCGACACCGAGGGCGCACGCGCCGTCGCTTGCCCGTCGCAGGCGGACGAGAACTTCTACACGTGCGCGTGGACGTACGACCGCAACACGAGCCACCCCCTGCTGGGCATCGCCGGATCTCGCGGCATCATCCGCATCATCAACCCCATCACCATGCAGTGCGTGAAGGTGAGCGTTTAGCGAGCGCCCCCCCCCCCACTGCCACCGCGTGTAGTTTCGACTCTCACGCCGATTTTGTTGGGCCACGTGAGAAATCGAGAGACAAGCGGACGAGCCTCGTTTGCAAGGGCGATGTTTGCCGGGTCGCGAGAACGCCGAAGGCAAAACAGCTAAAAGCACGGCAGTGAAGCGCGATTGAAATCGGAGCAACAAAACACGCGTGTCACATGAGAAATTGAAAATGTTGAGTAAATGTAAGGCGGCGTTAAATAATAAATTTGCTCTTGCGCAAGTTGACTTGGGCAGATTATTTGTATTTTGATCCTTGCACATTTAAGTTTACTATTGCACTAATGTGTAAAAAAACCGAGACTATATGATATTAAATGCGATTGCAAATTAACTCTCAAAAAAAGTGACGGCTCCGCATCAGAATTCCAGGTGTTTTGTGCCATCACCAGTGACTGTGTGTGTGCGCTCCACCGTATCATTGTCGTGGGGAGCGGTGGGCGCAATGGTTAGGGCACTGCGCTAAGAACCCGGCAACCAGAGTTCAAGCCCGCTTATGAGCAACAACAGCGGCGATATTTGAACTGGTTCTGGGCCTCCCTAAGGTCGATTCAGCCTAATACGATGAACCAGTGAAATGTGTAAACATCAGTACTTGGGAGACAAAGGCGGCTGGGCGTGGTGCTGACCACCCACCCCCTCATATGCCGTGCCGGCCTTCATAGGTGCTACTTGCTAACAGCACTTGCCCCGACAGTATATAGGGGGGATCTTTGTGGGCGGTACTGGTTGCACAGTGGTTAGCGCACTACGCTGTGGACCAGACGACTTCATAGATTGATTCCTGGCCACGGCCAACATCGAACGATATCGAAACCGGTCCTGAGCTTCGCTTAGGTCATCCTAGTCTCAAATGAGTACCTGGTGCGGTGTGTAAATCTCAATACTGGGGAGATATGGGTGGCTGGGCACTGTGCTGGCTCACACCACCCTCGTGCACTGTGCCAAACTTAAAAGGATCCATGCTAACAGAACTTGTCCTAATGGTGTGTCATCGGTAAGAAATGCTCAATGTATGATTGTATATTGTGTCTCGTTACTTTTCGTCGCATATTTGTGCATCATTTTGCGTGTTTTGCGCGTGTCCGCACGGTTGCGACCAGCCGCCTCGCTTGCTCGTTTGTAACCGGCCGATGTAATAACCGACGCTCAATAATCCCCCAGCACTACGTGGGCCACGGGAACGCAATCAACGAATTGAAATTCCACCCCAGGGACCCCAACTTGCTCCTCTCGGTCAGCAAAGGTGAGCAAACGGAGGCGGTGGCCCAATCCCAGCGGCAGGTGGCTGCAAACCTTTCCATCGCTCGTCTTTGGGGTCTGACCCGGCTGGCTCGTTTTCACCCCTCCCATCAATTTCGCTGCCATGGCAGGCGCTTGGCTCTTGTTTCTCAACAATCCGCGTGCGGCTCTGAAGAAATTAGTTTCTCGTCTCTTGTAGAGCTGCTTTTTCGTGCGTTTGCTGGTCCCTCCTCCGCACCTCCGATCAGCACGGTTGGCTACGTACGGTGCGAGAGAAGTTCAACATACAGTACATACATATAAAGGGAGAGGGTTCCTCAATCTTTTTAAACTCCACGGCGCGCACTTCCAAGCCAGCACGCGGTCCACGCCGCGCGCCGTTTGCCCAGCTGCGGCGCACGTGCGACCGAGGAAGTCGAGAGGTCCGGCGGTGGGGGCTGACGGCCGACCGCTTACCCTGCCGCCCAGGGCGACCCAATGGAGAGGGGAGGGGGCTGAGGGGGGGGGGCGTGGGATGGGGGGTGGGATCGACCGCTGGCCGTCACGGAGGAGGGGGGAGTTCGCCTGTCCTCGCGAACAGTGGGGGTTCTCTCCTATACTTCCCAAAACACCGCGGCACGTCAGGGAGTTGGGGGTGGGGGGGGTTGCGATATGGGTGCTGTTCCTCGAGCCTGGCTGCCTGGCTCACTCAGCGGGTTCGTGATGGCCATAGCAGCAGCTGCTGCATATTACCAATAGCAGTAGCATCTGCGTTATTAACGTAGCAGTTGCAACGTTACTTTCGATAGCAGCAGTGTTACCATGAGTAGAACTATTTATTATTCTTAGCAGCAGCATAGCCACAAGCAATGTGTCTGAGCGTAAGGATTGGTTTTAATACATCAATTTCTACATTCCTCTGATTAAAGGTCTGCAAAGCGAGTAGCATCAATATCACTAACAACGGTGGCGGTAGCAGTATTTTTTATCAGGCAGTAACACGGATTATCAGTGAACGACAGTCGGAGCATCGTCAGTGTTGTACCGTAAGTGGGTATCGGTGGTGGCAGCAGCTTGGGTCGACGGAGCACTGACGCGTTGGGCTTTGTGGATGCCGACAGACCACGCTCTGCGGCTGTGGAACATTCAGACGGACACGATGGTGGCCGTGTTCGGCGGCGTGGAAGGACATCGCGACGAAGTCCTCAGCGCCGTGAGTTGTCGCCCTTCCTCGCCCAGCGCGTGGCCCCCCCCCACAAACCCCGCTCGTGTCCACCCCCCCCCCCCCTTCATCGCCACGCACATTCATAGTCCGCCTGAAGGAGTGGCACACGCTCGCTCGCTCATTTGCTCGCTCCTTGTTCATTCACTTGCTCCTTATTAATCCGTTCACTCGCTTATCTGTTCACCCGCTCGCACCTTGTTCATTCGATTGCTCGCTTCTTGTTCATTCGCTCGCTCATCCTTTTACTCGCACGCTTGTAGGTTCACACTCCGACTCAATGAGCCACTCACCAAGTCGCCCGCTCACCCGCCCGCGAACCTCTGTAACGAGCGGCAAATGCGCGACCGCGAGGGCGTATCCGTCGCCCGCCAAAAACGGAATGCGTAAGCGCGAGCGTTTGTTTCCACAATAAAGGGCCCGGGACTTGGCGGTCACCACGCGCGCAATGCCTGCTGCATCCGTCTATTTTCTGTGTGCCAGGACTTTGACCTCTACGGAGATAAAATCATGTCGTGTGGCATGGACCATTCTCTGAAGCTGTGGCGTCTGGATTCGGAGAGGATGCAGAGGGCGATACGCGGCTCCTATGAATACAACCCCAACAAGACCAACAGGCGAGAGCGGGGAGCGGGCCATCGCGGGGCACGTAGCGGAGTTGGTCGGTACCACGCGGTGGTGGCAATTGCTCTCGGTGTCCGCCACGAGCGTTGTTCACCATGGCACCTTGTCCCACCGCGGGCAGTGTCCAAACGTGGGCGGGAACCTTCGCATATACATACCACCGTTTGTTTTTAACAGGCACTCCTTCATATTGTCATACTCCGTAGAATACCCTCGCTGAAACTTTCTCACCAGAAAATTACCACTGCTATCGTACATATTTGTGGTCGAGAGATAAAATGCCTCGAGGAAATCATTGTCAGGATTTGTCACCCTGGGTGGTACTGATAAAGCATTGTTTGGGACCCATGGCTCAATTCTGTTATGGCTGGCAATGGCGCCACGGTTAGCACAGAGGTCGCCGGATCGATTCTGTATCTCCACGCGGAAATTTAAAACTGTGGTGAAAGTTTCTTATCCCCACCCCACTCCTTCCCCCCCCACTGACCGTCTTCAACCAGCAGTATAAGTAGACCAAAGTCCGTCGGAAGATTGTGTGTGGTGGGGTAAATTTTGGTTACTCCCACCTCTCCCAAAATGCCTAGCTGGCTTGGACAAGTAGGCCAAATACTGTCTAGAAGTGGGGAGCTCTGTTTTTTTAATGCGCAGTTGAGTTTTTGTTTCTTCTCACAATCATCATCAATCTTGTTATTCCACGTGTTTGCGTTGGCAGGCCATTCCCGTCGCAGAAGGTTCACTACCCCGACTTCTCCACGCGGGACATCCACCGCAACTACGTGGACTGCGTGCGCTGGCTGGGTGACCTCATCCTCTCCAAGGTGCCAAGGGGGGTGGGGCGCACGAAGCGGGCGGAGAGCCGGGGCGGGGGGCACCGGTCGACTTCTCCCCGGGCTGTGCACCGCCCCCCCACCCCCACGCTCCGCCCGCTTCACGGTTTTAGCCGATCGATGTTTCCCCAACGGCGTGCCGTCACCGGCGGCGGTCTGGCGCCCAGCGCGACCGCGCTCGCAATCGAAGTGCTCCCGCCGGAGTTCGATTCGATCTCCCGGCAACGGCGGCTTGAAACAGCCCAGCTAACTTTCTTGACTCCCCTTGGGCCTCCTGTCCGCCCAGCGCCGGTCAGCGTGGCCGTTCTGTACACCACGGCTGAAGAGCGGGCAATCTTCCCATTGCTTCCAACATGTCTGACCAGCACGGAAGGGTGGGCCTGCTAAAGGGGGCTCTCTTATAGCTTCCCCACGAGTGGAGGCCTCTCCTCCGGCAGGGGCACGAACGAGCAATTGCAGGGCTGCACCTTTACCAGTTCTTTTTTTGTTGCCCATGAAGTGGCTACACTTAAGAAGCCGCTTAGGTGGTTGTGTATGTGTGTCAGCCTACGCTCCCACCCAATCTGTGCTTGTGTGCGTGCGTGTGTATCGCGCTGTTCTACAAACCCGGTGACCCGAGTTCGATTCCCGCTCACCGTCAACACGAGTGACCATTATCTGAACCAGTCCTGGGCCTCCCCTAGGTCGACTCAAATAAGTACCTTGGTGCGATGTGTGAACATGCTCACTGGGGGAGACAAAGGCGGTCGGGAGTGGTGCTGCTGGACATCCACCCCCTCGTGTGCCGTGCCAGTCTTTAGAGGTGCTGCTCGCTAACGGTACTTGCCCCAACAGTCTGTTAAGGCTACACGGATGATCTTTGTATTCGTGTGTGTGTGTGTGCGTGTGTGCGTGTGTGCGTGCGTGTGTGCGTGTGTGTTTCTCTCAGTCGTGCGAGAACGCCATCGTGTGCTGGAAGCCGGGCAAGATGGAGGAGGACGTGGACAAGATTCGTGTCAACGACTCCAACGTCACCATCCTGGGGCGCTTCGACTACACGCAGTGCGACATCTGGTACATGCGCTTCGCCATGGACTTCTGGCAGAAGGTGAGAACCACGTTTTGGCCCGTAACCCTCCCATTTCTCTGCAGACTTGAAGAATTTGCCAACCAATATTGATATATCTTCTTTGGTTCTTTCGGTAAAGTCACGTAGAATGAGAATAAAATAATAAATTAATAAAATAAAATAAAATAACACAGAGACTGTCTGGAGGACAGTCTCGTCCCTTCACCTGATGAAGGCCGCTTGTGTTGTGGCCGAAACGTCGTGAGAATTTTATTGTGTTACTTTATTTTATTAATTTATTATTTTATTCTCATTCTACGTGACTTTACCGAAAGAACCAAAGAAGATTAATCCTTGCAGTGACGAAAGCTTTAAATCGAAAAATATTGATATATACATAAATTAAAGATTTCCTAATTCCGGGCGCGGATGTTGCTTTTCACCGCGGGCGTGCGACAAGCGAAGAGCGTGTTCACAGCGAGTTCAGTGTGATCCTGCTCCCAACGTGAGCATCGGGTTGTCGCTGCTCACCTGCGTACAGTCCACAGGACTGACACCGAGTGGCTTGCCAATAAAGCGGCAACGGTTTTGTGCGGTTTCCCGAAAATGCAGCCAAATCCATTTCTACCCACATTTTGCTCTCTTGTGCGGTTTGAATTCACTCGACATGCGGTGGCTATGCGGTCGGACATGGGACAGCATTGTGTACTGTGTGTGTACTGTGCGTGTCGTGTGTGTATGTGTACTATGTGTGTCGTGTGTGTACTGTGTGTGTACTGTGCGTGTCGTGTGTGTGTGTACCGTGCGTGCCGTGTGTGTGTACTGTGTGTCTGTGTGTACTGTGCGTACTGTGCGTGCTGTGCGTGTGTGTGTACTGTGTGTGTACTGTGCGTGTGTGTGTACTGTGTGTGTACTGTACATATCGTGTATGTGTGTACTGTGCGTGTCGTGTGTGTACTGTGCGTGTCGTGTGTGTGTGTACTTTGCGTGTCGTGTGAGTGTACTGTGCGCGGCGTGTGTGTGTGTGTGTACCGTGGTGCGTGTGTGTGTGTGTACTGTGTGTGTACTGTGCGTATCGTGTGTGTGTACTGTGGGTGTCGTGTGTGTACTGTGAGTGTCGTGTGTGTGTACTGTGGGTGTCGTGTGTGTGTGTGTACCGTGCATGCCGTGTGTGTACTGTGCGTGTGTGTGTACTGTGTGTGTACTGTGGGTGTCGTGTGTGTGTGTACCGTGCGTGCCGTGTGTGTACTGTGCGTGTGTGTGTACCGTGCGTGCCGTGTGTGTGTACTGTGTGTGTACTGTGCGTGCCGTGTGTGTGTACTGTGCGTGTGTGTCGTGTGTGTGTGTACCGTGTCGTGTGTGTGTACCGTGCGTGCCGTGTGTGTACTGTGCGTGTCGTGTGTGTGTGTGTATTCTGTGGGTGTCGTGTGTGTGTACCGTGCGTGTGTACTGTGCTGTGTGTGTGTACTGTGTGTACCGTGCATGTGTACGGTGTGTGTACTGTGCGTGTGTACTGTGCGTGCGTGTGTAATGTGCGTGTGTGTACTGTGTGTGTACCGTGCGTGTGTGTGTGTGTACTGTGCGTGTGTACTGTGCGTGTGTGTGTAATGTGCGTGTGTGTACTGTGCGTGTGTGTGTGTAATGTGTGTGTGTACTGTGCGTGTGTGTATACTGTGTGTGTAATGTGCGTGTGTGTGTGTACTGTGTGTGTACTGTGTGTGTGTGTACTGTGCGTGTGTGTATACTGTGCATGTCGTGTGTGTGTACTGTGTGTGTACTGTGCGTGTCGTGTGTGTACTGTGCGTGTCATGTGTGTACTGTGCGTATCGTGTGTGTGTGTGTATACTATGCGTGTCGTGTGTGTGTGTGTACTGTGTGTGTCGTGTGTGTGTGTACTGTGCGTGGCGTGTGTGTGTGTACTGTGCGTGGCGTGTGTGTGTGTACTGTGTGCATACTGTGCGTTCTGTGCGTGTGTGTGTACTGTGCGTGTGTGTGTACCGTGCGTGTGTGTACTGTGTGTATACTGTGGGTGTCGTGTGTGTGTACTGTGTGTGTACTGTGTGTACTGTGTGTGTGTTTGTGTACTGTGTGTGTACTGTGTGTGTGTTTGTGTACCGTGCGTGCCATGTGTGTGTGTACCGTGCATGTGTACTGTGTGTGCACTGTGCGTGTGTGTAATGTGCATGTGTAATGTGTGTGTGTACTGTGCGTGTGTCTGTACTGTGTGTGTACTGTGCGTATGTGTGTAATGTGTGTGTACTGTGTGTGGGTGTGTACTGTGTACACTGTGTGTGTGTACTGTGTGTGTACACTGTGTGTGTACTGTGTGTACTGTGTGTCTACTGTGTGTGTGTACTGTGTGTACTGTGTGTGTACACTGTATGTGTGTACTTTGTGTACTGTGTGTGTGTACTGTGTGTACTGTGTGTGTACTGTGTACACTGTGTGTACACTGTGTGTGTGTACTGTGTGCACTGTGTGTGTGTGTACTGTGTGTACTGTGTGTGTGTGTGTACTGTGTGTGTACACTGTGTACTGTGTGTACTGTGTGTGTGTGTGTACTGTGTGTGTACTGTGTACACTGTGTGTGTACTGTGTGTGTACACTGTGTGTGTGCACTCTGTGTGTGTGTGTACTGTGTGTACTGTGTGTGTGTACTGTGTGTACTGTGTGTGTACACTGTGTGTGTGTACTGTGTGTGTGTACTGTGTGTGTACTGTGTACACTGTGTGTACACTGTGTGTGTGTACTGTGTGTGTACTGTGTACACTGTGTGTACACTGTGTGTGTGTGCTGTGTGCACTGTGTGTGTACACTGTGTACTGTGTGTGTGTGTACTGTGTGTACTGTGTGTGTGTGTACTGTGTACACTGTGTGTGTACTGTGTGTGTGTGTGTACACTGTGTGTACTGTGTGCACTGTGTGTGTACACTGTGTGTGTGTGTGTGGTGTGTGTGTGCTGTGTGTACTGTGTGTGTACACTGTGTGTGTGTACACTGTGTGTGTACTGTGTGTGTGTGTACTGTGGGTACTGTGTGTGTACTGTGTGTGTACACTGTGTGTACTGTGTGTGTGTGTACTGTGTGTGTGTACTTTGTGTGTGTGTGTACTGTGTGTGTACACTGTGTGTACTGTGTGTACTGTGTACACTGTGTGTGTGTGTACTGTGTGTGTGTACTGTGTGTACTGTGTGTGTACACTGTGTGTACTGTGTGTGTGTACTGTGTGTGTGTACTGTGTGTACTGTGTACACTGTGTGTGTGTGTGTGTACTGTGTGTGTGTACTGTGTGTACTGTGTGTGTGTGTGTACTGTGTGTGTACACTGTGTGTACTGTGTGTGTACCGTGCGCGCGACTGCAGGCAGCCGTCTCCCCTGTGTGGTTTCCCTTTGTACCGTTCTGTTTGTGTCGGAGTGCATACTTCTGCAAGAAGCAAGGGGACCATGCCCCACCGCAGTCAGGATTGGAACTCGGAGCCCTCCCGGGTCTCCTAATCCCCACCCCTCCAAATGGAATATTCAAGAAGAGGCAAAAAAACCCAAAGACTTTCTGATGTAAAAGTTTAGTAACTTCCACGTACCGGCTATGACTGGGCTTGTGGTGAATCTGACAAGGCACACTCAATCTAGGCCGAGTCATCGGGTGAGTGATGCTTGTTGTCGCCACGCGGACTGACTGATGCCCATCTCACACCCCCTGCCCCCCCCCCCTCCCCTATTTCCCCGTGCAGATGCTGGCACTCGGCAATCAGGTGGGCAAGCTCTTTGTGTGGGACCTGGAGGTAGAAGACCCTCACAAGGCGAAGTAAGAATCTCATTTTTCTCTTTCTCTTTTTTATCACGGTCACAAACTTCGCTGTGCCGAGTACTCTGCTTGCCGTGACTTTTGCCAGTTCCTTCCCCACACGTTAACTTACCGGAATTTATACGACGCCTTCACCCGGGGGGGCAAGGGGCACTTGACGAAGAATTAACGACGGTATGACAACAACGCGCGTGTGAACGTAATGGTGGAGATGAGGTGAATGAATTAGATGAGTGGAAGCAATGCGGGGGCAAATCTGTGATGCGTGAATTCGGTGAACGCGAAATTGATGGCCGTAAATGATGATGAATTGATGTAATGAATGGGGAATTAGTGAGAGCCATGCGATGAGCATATGAAGAGGGAACAGTAGCGGTGGCAGTAAGCGATGGTGACCGTTTAGTGTGGAGTGGGGAGGGCAAGTTTGAGTGAAGGGCGGCAAGATGGTGGGCTGGCCGGGTAACGGCGTCGTGAGACAAACCCGTTGGGAACGCCTCCGGCGCAGCGCGCGACCCCCTTGGTTTGAGGCAGCGGCCCCCCGGAAGCGGATGCCACAGAGCTCTTGACCTGTGAGATCCCGTCATGTGATCTCTGATCACGCAGCAGAGGGCAGAGTTTTCCGCACCTGCTCTGCACGCCTGTTGCATGACCGTCAAAGCAATGTTTGGTTTTCACAGCTGGGATTTAAGCAACCCAAGCGAAGAACCAACCTTAAGGCGATGTCGGGTTTTTTCGTGCAGTCTTTGGTGACCTTGCCGAGACCATTGACTCGCCACTTTGAGGATGTGGCTTAGGGGGCGCCGCGGTGGCTAGGAGATGTTAACTCCCTCGCCTGAAATACCCTGACGTCTGCGGTGTATTTGAAGTTTGCTTGTTCTCCCTGTGGTGGCGTGCAGTCTCCTCCACGTCCTCCATTTTTTCCTCTGCATTTAGAATCAACGTGTCACACGTTTAGAGTATTTGGCTGCTATAAATTTCCACGTCATAAGCCGCCACTTCGTTGCGCTATCATTTGTGGCAGCCAGGTCGCTTATGAAAAAGAGCTACGTTGCAGCTCAGTGGGCCTCTTACCTGGTGAATTAAAATAGTTTCGTATAGTTTATCCACAAGCAGCTAGGAAAACCTGGCTGCCAACCCAAGACGTCAGCAGAGAGCTCCATGACCGAGCGCTCTGCTGATCCCTCGCTCGGAGGTCAGGCCACTGAGCTGGCACCACTGAGATCTTGGGATGAGCGCTCCGATCTCTGAGCCACCTTGACCACCTTCCTCAATAAGAATAATAATGATCATTATTTCAACTTGTAACGCAAAGTGTTCGCTCGCTCTCGGAGATGGAGAACGACTCGAGCGGCGAGGAACCGCAGACAAGCAGGGAAGGCGGTCGGGCGATGAGTCGGCACCAACAGTTGCCCAGCCTCTGCCGTCCTCTGTGTATCCAGATGCTTTCAGCCAGTTGGTGTTTATACACGTGGGAGGAAAGCGGAGCACCCGGAGAAAACCCATGCATGCGAGGGGGCCAGCACTACTCCGTTTTAGATGGAACGGATGGAGATCAGTCCGCACTTTTCTGAACCCGCATTCTCCTAGCAAGCCAGGGCATGCCACCTCCTCGGTGCCGCCGGGGAAGGGAGTTTCACAATATCCGTGCGATCCGCCAAACCCTCGCTGCCGCCTCCACGGTTGCCACGGCCGTGTGCACGAACTTCTGTTGTAACCCCTTGCGCGTCACCCTCCCTCGTGCGCGCCCCGCCAGGTGCTCCACGCTGGCTCACCCCAAGTGCATCTCGGCAATAAGGCAGACGAGTTTCAGCCGAGACAGCTCCGTGCTGATCGCGGTGTGCGACGACGCCTCCATCTGGCGCTGGGACCGTCTACGGTGAAAACCGCACGCCGGACGCTGTGACACCACCCCACACCCTCATTTCCCTTTTCCCAAACTGCACCCTCTCGGCCCCCCCCCCCCCCCCCCCGAGTTCCCCCCCCCCAGCCCCCCCTGAGTACAAATCGTGCCACGCCTTCTTAACAGAAGACGCAACCCATAAAGAAATATAAACCCTACACGTGTACCCTGGTCGAGGCGGTGAATTTACGCCTCGCTCCGAGAGCCAATCGTCGCACCTCCCTGTTCTGTGGCGTTGCCAAAAGACACCGCTGTCGTGAAGAGACACCGCTGTTGTGAAGACACCGCTGTCGTGAGACACCGCTGTCGTGAAGACGCCGCTGTCGTGAAGACGCCGCTGTCGTGAAGACGCCGCTGTCGTGAAGACACCGCTGTCGTGAAGACACCGCTGTCGTGAGACACCGCTGTCGTGAAGACGCCGCTGTCGTGAAGACGCCGCTGTCGTGAAGACGCCGCTGTCGTGAAGACGCCGCTGTCGTGAAGACGCCGCTGTCGTGAAGACGCCGCTGTCGTGAAGACGCCGCTGTCGTGAAGACGCCGCTGTCGTGAAGACACCGCTGTCGTGAAGACACCGCTGTCGTGAAGACACCGCTGTCGTGAAGACACCGCTCACGCACTGCGCGCCTCTCATGTAAAAATAGCCGGGCAACCGCATAAACGGGATTATCCCATGCACCGAATAGAATTAACTTAAACTCGTCGGAACGTCGCCAGGCCAATGCGCTCATCTCCTTCACGAATGGAGAGTTAAAGACACAAGCCCCAGGAGTGTCACCGGCCATGCAACCCAAACTAATGGACCGTTACAGTAAACCCACTGTAGTGCACTCCTTCAATGGAGACAGAAGAGCAAAATGACAACTCTCTCTCTCTTCTCTGATGAAGCCCTCTCGTCGTGGCCTGCAGGCCTTGACATTGGCTTTCGAGTTCCTGAACATAGTGCTGCACGCAAGGATAGAATGTCGTATAACGATTTAGCTCATTGCAAGTGAGAGGGAAAGCGAGCAACGTTAACTGAACTGTTGTTTACGTCACAACGCTTGTTCATAAACAAACACGTCACCGAAATGACGTCACTTCAGTGACCTCATCTCCTGTGATGTCATACTTATTTTTTTTATCTTTCTCAAAATGTTGTGTCTGGGCCCGATTTTCAGATTAATTTTTATTCGGAAAAATCTGGAACATCCCCACCATCCGTCTACTCACAGACCAACGTGCCCACCAAACCACCTATCCAGTGACTTACCCCGTGTATCTCTCCTCCCCCGTTCACCACCGTGGAAATCTGCCACATGCTGCCCCAACCCGGCTCTGTGCCATGAGAGAAAACTTCCAGAGTCAAATGTCGCCAGAGCGGTTACACCCTAATGTTCCGACTTCTTACATTTACCAACCTCGCCAAGTATTTCTGATTGTCCTCGTACCATTTTATTTTATATATTCCGGTTTAATTTATGATTTTTTATTTGCCTTGAAGCCAAATATTGCCTTAAAGGAAGTGCAACAAAATAAAGTAACTCTTACGCTGTCGGTCTTGTCGAGCGTTAATCGGTGTTTTCATTTCGCTGACAGCTTAACGTCCTTGTAATTATTACTAGAAACTGGGAGCATCTCCAACGTTAATAACGATGGGTTTTTTTTTACACAATACTAGGTAATCGACTTTTGTATGCATGTGAAAGCATTTTTGTCACTCCACTGCCGGATGAAGGCCTCCCACACGCCGCGCGGGTCGTGAGGGTTATTTGACCGTCACGCCGGCCGGTGCGGGTTGGTGATGCCGGAGACCATAGCCCGCTGGAGCGGAGTGCAGTACAACAGTGGATGTTTCTGTACGGCCCTCTGCTGACAGTGTAGCTCCGTAGCAGCCTTCAACACCTTGTTTTGCACACGGCTGCTTTGCATACAACTGGTGTGCAGGCTCCGCCTTGCTTAGCTTTCAAGATTCCGTGCAAGCGACGCCCGTGGTTAGCGATGGGTCGGATTCCACGAATTTGGAGTGGGCACCGCTGCCGCTTGGAGCCCACCGCCACCCACGTGGAACGCCGAGCGTAGGAACGGGCCTCTCTTAAAAGCGTGGAATCTGCTTCCTGCCGTTTGAAAAAGATGGGAAGAAGCCGGTTGGCTTGTTTTTTTTCTTTTCACATTAATGTCCATCGTCCGACCAAATATTGCAGGAAGTGATGAACGAAATCCCCGTTCCTCCTACCATTACCACCAACCTTTCCCAGCCGGTTTAGTAATTTTGCAGTCTCGGTCTTCGAGATAACTCGTGTTGCTAAACTGTATAAATATTCCTCACTTTCAAGGCTGCAACGGGTTTTTATAAACGTGTTTTAAATTCTTAACGATGCAAAGTGTTGTGCGTGTGTGCGCGCGTGCGTTTGTGTGGGGAGCGGTAGCGTAGTGGTGAGCGCACTGCAATACGAACCTGGCGTCCCGAGTTCGATTCCCGCTCGCGACCAACACCAGTGACAATGATCTGAACCGGTCCTGGGCCTCCCCTAGGTCGACTCAGCCTCAATTGAGTAGCTAGTGCAGTGTAAACATTGCCACTAGGGAGACAAAGGCGGCCGGGCGTGGTGCTGGCCACCCACCCCCTTCGTGTGCCGTTCCGGCCTTCACAAGTGCTCGCTTACAGCACTCGCCCCAACAGCCTTAAAGGCTATACGGGGATCTTTGTCTTTGTGTGGTGCTTTAACGCGGCTTAGAAAGGCTGGCTTATGAAGAATGTCTTGATATTTGTCTGGCTGTCGAAACGATTGTTTTTAAGAGAATGACGGAAGAAAGGACTTTGTGTGGGTGGTCGTTTTCCATATTTCTATAAAATAAATTGTCCAAAAAAAATCCAAACATTTCTCCAGCTCACACCTCATAATGAATTTCGACTCGAGACTTTGATGCCCGTTTACACGTCAGAGACAGTCAAAACAATAACTAACTTTCAAATTAACCACAAAGCAGACTGTGTGTTTTGGGCCATCCATGACAGCCCAACGAGGTTTTTTTTCATCAAAGTCCCTTGCGTACATTTGAGTGTCCTTAATTTCACAAAAGGTTGTTGTTTTTTAAATCGTACATTGTAAATATGTCACGTCATGAAAGTTGAAACTCGCTTTCGTGTGAAATCTCAGTGTAATCCTTAATGCAGAGCCACTTACGATGCATCAAAAGGGGTCTTAAGTGGAAATATTTTAATTCAGAGATGCTAGCGATTGCCTCAAACAAAAAAAGAAATGTGTTAATGAAAATGTCTGAAGTTGAGTTGAAAAAAATTGAGATGATTAGGACTTCTCAGAACAAGTTACGCTGTTGTTTGTAATGTGTTTTTCATAAGTATCGATGTTATTTTGTACATAAAAATAAAGCCATGCTGTGGTTATCTTTTGCCTCGAGCGATTTTTACATTGTAAGCGTTGGTATAAATTCCACATTCCCATGGCGGTGCCCAGTAACTAACTGGAGAATACAACGAGCTAAGGAGTGGCCATCGCTCATCATAATCATCAGCCATGGTCAATCCACTGCTGGAGGAGGGCCTCCCCAATCTGCTGCCATATCTGACAGTCTTGCCGTGTAACAATCCGCCTTACACCATCCTGGTCTCCGAGTTCTCACCCGATCCCACTCGCTCACCCACTCGCTCACTTAGGGTCACTCTTGAAAATCCTGGCTTCTCACCTCGCTACTCAACATCGCCGTGCGCTCCACCGTGACGAAGAATGCCTGGGAGCTCTCGGCATCGGACCGTGGGCAACCCTGGGGAGGTGCCAGTGTTGGTAGCGGTGGGGGTCGAGTGCGAGGAGTGGATCACCCAGGCCCACCGAGCTGAACCCGTGGCTGCTCTGGACGTGTGGGTAACGCGTGCACACAACACAGCGTACCGGGTGGAGAGGGGTGGCAACCATCCGACTGGCCGCTGCATCTTTGTGTCGAGGGGGCCATGGGGACATGCGGGGGCTACGTATGAGGGAGCCGTGGCGCAAGTGGTTAGCCCGCTGTGCAACACGAACCTCCAGCGAATGCTTGTTGCTAGTTCGATTCCCGCTCACGGCTTGCAAACGCCAGTGATGATTGTCTAAAACGGTTTTGCCCCCCCGAGGTCGATACGTTGTGTAAACATCGCCACTGGGGGAGACAAAGGAGCCTGAACGTGGTTCTCGACACCCAATTTCCTCGTGTGCCGTTCCGGCCCCCAATGGGTGCCCCTCCGAGTCTCGTAAGGCGACAGCAGAATCGGCGTTATGCACAGACAGAGAGAGAGATGGTAGATGTTGGGTGAAATGTACTTTGCCTTTATTCAGAAGCCATGCCGCAGTGTCCAAGTATAAAGATTTGCAGGTGTATAAAAATATCACATCTCGTAAAGTCGTTTTTTAAAATCTTTACACTAAAGCGATTTTGGTCGAGCAAAATAATTACATCGATTCATTTGTTTTTGCGTGACCGTACCCGCACTCTACATTACACAGAACGTCTACAATGAGCATCATCCCTTTAGCAGCTGGCAAAAAATCTGAACGGGGGAAAAATAACAAAAGGTGAAAATTTATCGCGGCGCATGCAATGCAATTAAACATGCGTTGAAGTCGACATGGAGGGTTCGGTTAGAATGACGCTAAGAGAGTAACAATCCTTGTGAGTGAACAGCTTCACAGAGCAACTGGAGGTAGGGGAGGGAGGGGGGCGAAACCTCGTGCGGTCGAGAGGGGAAACTCCATCCCGTGCAAGCACAAGGTGCCAACACCTCTCAGAGCTGTGCGAGACACACGGATCCCCCAAAACCGTTTCCTGAACCGAGTGGATAACAAATTAAAAACGGCATCTTTAATCTGCTGTTATTAATCCACACGAAAGAAGAAGTCTGAACATCCTCTCAAAGCCGGTCTTCCCTTTAACTCTTTCCCACCGTACATCTGGGCCAGAAATCGACTCGGATGTCTTGAGGCCAGCATGGCACGGTTATGCGTTGTGGCTGCTCTGCAAATGCTCAATGGAAAATAAAAACACCACCAGTTCTGCGAGGAACCCCACGTTGGCTCGGTTCGGATGTGTCAATGGAAAAGGTGTGTGCTCTCATTCTTACCATATGAATCTTAACATTAATTGTCCTTGATGTATCTACTTGCGGGGGGGTGATGTAGTGTCCAGTTTTTATTATTTGCATTTTTTGCCAGCTGTAACAATAACCAAATAGAAAAAATATTAATTGAAAAAAAACACTTTCGTTTGCTGATGCAGCAGCATAACATTAAATCTTGCTTACACCATTGAGTCTTTTAAGAAAATGTACACTTCAAAACAATAACATTCTGTACATTGCATTTTTTTACTTTCATTTTTTATGAGAGATGGTCTTTCTTAGCGTGCGGTGATGGACAACGTGCAGAAGAACCCTTCATCAGAGATGCTCGGGACGACTTTGTACAACGTTTTAACAGTAGGGACATGCGAGTGGCAGATGCTGTTTTGACATTTTTTACAAGTTAATTTTTGTTTTAAGTGAACCTTGCAAAATTATTTTCCCGCTGCAGTCAAAAAGGCAGTCATTAAACAGTTCTTTGCAGAGCTTCGTTATTTTTTTTCCAGGAAAGCCTCGCTAGTCTCCGTTTTCCAGGAGGGCCCTGCCTTGGAAAGTTTGTATAATTCATGGACTTTACTCTTTTTTTAATTTCGTGTGGGGTGGAAACCGGATTATCCACAAGACAACGATCCCCCGAGTATCCTTAACAGACTGTGGGCAAGTGCTGTTAGCGAGCACCTAATGAAGGCCTGCACAGCACAAGAGGTGGGTGGACAAACACCACGCCCGGTCGCCTTTGTCTCCCCAGTGCTGATGTTTACACCGAATCAGGTACTCATTTGGGGCCTAGTGAGCCCAGGGAGGGATGCACAAGACCGGTTCAGATAATCGTCACTTGTGTTGGCCCATGAACGGGAATCCGAACTCGGGTCGCCGGTTTTTTCAGCGCAGCGCGCCAACCGCGACCCCACTCCAGACAAAACACACGCGCGCGTGCCGTGACACGAACGCACGCTTTTTTTTCTGTACAGGTAGGTTACCAACCTACTTGTACAGGTAGGTTACCAACCTACTTATACAGGTAGGTTACCAACCCACTTGCTGGTACTGCCACCCACCTCTCTGCCCTGCAAGTCACGGCCTTGCGCGCACGCACCGCGGTATTCCCGTCGACAATTGCTACGACCGATGTTTGGGGAGATGTTGTATTCTCGATGCCATCGCCAGGATTGAAGGTGAGCCCAGAGAGAGAGACGATGGCTAACGAGCGACAGGCGGCGACTACAGGCACATTGAAAACCCGCCACCCTTTACAATAAACCTTTAACCCAAAGCTTCACCATAAGTTCAAGACATTTAAAGAAATGTACACAACCGTGCTCGACAGTATACGGGTCCGTACGCGGGAAAGCGTACAGACTTTTTTTGTGTTGTTGTTGAAATTGTGCCGCTGAATGAGTGGACACGCTTCCCCCCCACCCCCGTCTTCTTAAAAAAAAGACGCGACGTTTTGTAACGTGCAATAAAAACACTTAAATAAAAACCTAACTACGAACAACCACAAGTGCGGATACACGTTTAAATTAGACGTTTCGCTTTCAGTGGCCGCCCCTTTTTTCCTCGCTCTCTTTTCTTCGGTTGCCGATCGCTTTGGGGAAAGGGGTGGGAGTCGTCGTCGCCGTCTCTCGTCGTCGTCTCTCGACGTCGTCGGCGTCTCTCGACGTCGTCGGCGTCTCTCGACGTCGTCGGCGTCTCTCGACGTCGTCGGCGTCTCTCGACGTCGTCGGCGTCTCTCGACGTCGTCGGCGTCTCTCGACGTCGTCGGCGTCTCTCGACGTCGTCGGCGTCTCTCGACGTCGTCGCCGTCTCTCGACGTCGTCGCCGTCTCTCGACGTCGTCGCCGTCTCTCGACGTCGTCGTCGGCGTCTCTCGACGTCGTCGTCGGCGTCTCATCACGGAGGCGACTTCTGCCCCACTGCTGCGTGCGCTCCGGGAGGATTATACTTTCATTGATTTTTAAACCGTGGGCACCAAACTTGTAAAAGTGACATTAAAAATAGGAGTTATCCCTGACAAAGTGAGCGTCGACTATGCTCATCCGCATCGGGGGGGGGCAAAGCCCCATTAGTGGAAATTCCACGTTTCCATGGCAGGAGGCGCAATCTGTTATCAGGATTGACCACGGTTTTCGTCATAAATCAGGATAACCAACCCCATGCCCACCCGCAAGGTGAGATTTACGTGGCGAAACAATGCGGTTAACTTTAGACGCAGGCTTTTTGCTTTCCGACCCCGTGCGATGATTCGAAATGAGTTTTCTTTTGGCTGAGAGAGCCGAGTTGTGAACGCCCGAAGATGCTGGGCGTCATCTCCAGCGGAGAGGCAAAATAAAAAAATTGTCTATCTGGCCTGCTTCTTAACCATGGGCACATTTGGCGATGACGTGACAACTAGCTTTGATGGGCGCTGTCTGGTGGTGGAGGGCTACCGTTAGATGTGACATTTATAGAACGCCGAGCGAAACCCAAAATATACTAACCGTGAACCAAAAATAATACGGCGTAATATAAAAAAAACATTTCCTCATCACTTTAATAGAATAACCCTAGAAAAAAAATATGAATGCGACATTTGTTTTTTTTTATAAATACAGTATTACATTTTGGTCAGTACCTTTTTTTTTCCGTCAACCTTTGAAATCGCGTTCTGGTCACCACTCTGCGCTTACGTCTGTGACCAAGAGTGCGTGAACGCTCAGCGCACTCGCCCCCTGCCCCCCGGCGCAGTGCTCGCGTCTGGAGGAGGGCGTCGTGGCCAGGTGGTGGCACGCGTCTGGGCCACTCGGATCTCTCAGGCACCTTCACAATTCCGCGTCACTCCAAAGAAAACCCACGTCGCCATCCACAACAACGAACGCACATTCAAAAGGCATTAAATAGTAAAAACAAATTAATACGTCATTTCAGCCATCGATTTTCTCCCGTCGTTACACACTCGGATGAAATCAGTTTCAAATTATTATTTTTTATCGGCGGAGATTGTCAGTTTTTCTTTTCTTTTTTAATTTGTAGGTGGAACGCCCCCATCAACTTCAACGCACCGAGTAATAAAAACAACGTGGCGTACGCGTGCACCGCAGGACGTTGTTAATCACCGGACGTCGTTCATCATCTTTTGAGTCTCTGGTTTGGTCTGCCGCGTGTGGCGATGTATTTGGACGCGGCCTTCGGGCGGCCTCCACGCGCCTACGCACACTCGCCAACGTGCCCGACGCTTCTCCTTTCGTTAAATTGCAATTTGAGCAAAAGCGATATGTACAACAACAAACAAAAATAAACCCTTCTGGGAGCCGACCGTGCGTGTGGACAACGTGCGATGACGTCAACACCGATTGGCCTGTCGAGACTCGCACCCGCCACGGGAATGTGGAATTTCCACCACTGCTTCAGTTCGGTGCGACCGTTGAAACGTTTCCCGTCTGCCCGGGCGAGCGCGCTTTTGACAGCAAACGAGGACCGCGCTTCCTCCACCTCCTCCTGCGCCGTCCGGCATAGGAGGAGGTGGGAGGACGGGCGGACGTCGTCATGGACGCCGAGCGACGGGCACAATTTGGCGAAGCTCGCCGGCACCTCCTGCCCGTGCTGTCGGCGACCAAAACGTCCGGCCTGTGACGCACCGCCCGTCCAAAGGAGGTGTCCACCACCACCGCCGCCGCCGCCGCGTCCGTACTGCTCGGTGGCCAACGCGGCGCAAACCACCGCAGTTGTTCGCGAGACCTTCGCAAGACAACTTCCACGCGGCCACCGCAAGACGATTTGGCGTAAACCAACACCCCCCAAATCATTAAAAACATCCCCACGTGACCCAGCGGCGTAGCCACTGAGTAGTGTGTAGGCGGTCCAACTGCACTCGGGCCTGTGAGACGGGCTTCAAGGAGGGGGGGGGGGGATTTGGACTTTTAATATCTCAAAGGGGAGGCGGGGAGCTGCATGTTCTGTACATTCATTGCCTCGAGTGGTGGGTGATTAATTATATTATTCTGAGTCGGCAACTGACGATGAACCGGGGACTTTTAACGTCCTGGGGCAGACTCACATATTTCCGGGGGACAAGCGGCTCGCTGTTGCCTCGCCCAAGAGGGGGCATCCCCCCCCCCAACGGTGCAAGATGCACTCCAAACTCCCCACATCGGACCGGGCATGCGTATTTTAGAAATAGCTTGAGAAATGTTTGTCAATTTCTCCCCTGTTTCTATGAATGCCAATAACGGTAGGAGTTGAGTGTGGGCAACAATGGATTTTTTTCAAGATTAGGATTTTAGGGCCACAAGAAAAGTTTAGTTTAAAAATAAGAACATCTTAATTCTGCCCATACATAGAAGACACAAGGAAGGCGACGGTGTAAGCCAAGTGATACATTTTAAAAACTGAAACGCTGGACTTGAAATGAGTGGGCTACGATTTAACAATTAACACAATACTCGGGGATGCGCGCACACGCACCACAGACAGACAGTTTTATCTGTACACACGAACATGTGCAAGTATATACATATACAGAGTATGTACACAACGCGCGCTCACGCAGACCCGTCGCATTAGCACAGTGCGCCAAGAACCCGGCGACGACGTGAATTCGATTCCCGCCCACGGCCACCATCAGTGGCAAGAGTCCCTGGGCTGTGCCTCCTCCACAACACGCATGGACCAGTGTGGTGAAGTATAGCGAAACGCAACTGCCTCACCAACCCCCTCCACCTCCCTTTCATTCAGCAGTGGATTGACAAAAGGGCTGTGAATTATTCTAATTTATTGTACACACACGTATAGAGCGTATACAGTACTGCATAAAGGTACGTGTATACGTGTTGTATTGACAACCTAGGCAACACACACAATGCTGCCACAGGTCTTCACGGCGACCCTTAGTGCATTCATCTATGGACGCATTCAGCCGCGTGTGTACGTGCTGCGAATGCCACAACCGGGGGGAGCTATGTCACTCTTTAAAGCCTAATCACCCTACACAGCCCACCGAATACACACACACACACAGGTGTTGAGACGTTTGCATATATGTCTTCATTAGTCTGAGACGGGATGCATTATAATACAGCAGTACTTTGCAAGTGTCCGTTTGAAAAGGACAGCATTGGTTGGATTCCTGGATGGCATCGGCTGGACCCCAGGTGTGGCTGGTGGGGGCTTTCCTCCTCCGCTTGCAGTGGAATGGTGGAGCCCTCGTCCAAAGTAAAGAGATGATTGTAAAAAAAACCCCGATTTAGTTTTCTGAATTTTCTCGAGTTCCCTGCACAGAGTGTTTGTCGTACGAATAACCCAGAAAACGCTCCGCTTTGAATTATGTTCAGGAGCTAAAGCCAACGTCGGGGTCTGCTGCTGCTGCTGTCCACGAGAGGGCTTCAGTACAGAGGGCGCGTTCGTGTCGTTCCGCCGTACCGCCTCCTCCCGCGTTAAAGGAGTGCGGACGACCACAGTGGGTTCACCGTATGGCCACGGTCGCGCCATTGTGGCTCGTGTCTTTACATTTTCCGTTCATAGAGATGTGCTCCTTGGCCTGTCGATGTTCTGGTGCCGTTGACGGTCCCGCCAGCGTCTTCGAGGAGCGATGTCAGAACCAGGAGGTGTGCAACTTTTTGGGAGGGGGGTCTCGACTGATGTGTTGTCATGCTGGACATCCACGTCGAGAGAATGCCCCGAGCCGAGCACCCCCGGCATTAGAGGCGCCAGCCACGTCACAACGCCTCTCCCCCAGACACGCGCGTGCACGCTCGGCACTCCGAGCTCTTCTTGCGGTACGCACGGTGCCATGCGGGGCTCGGGAGTGCCGACAATCGACTTGATTCTGACTCTTGTGGATGCTGTCGGGCGGAACGCTTCCGCCATCTCGGCTAATGGAGCGAGAAGCTTTGCCGAGGTTCCGAGGCCAGCGGCCGCCCTCGTTAATACCGCGAGGTGCATTGTGGACCGTAAAATCCGCGGCCGTCTGCATCGCCAGTGGACGTGAAACGACCCCCACCTCCCCCGTGACGCAAGTTAAAAGCAGAGGTCGTAGGTCACGCGCGTGCATGCCGGCATCACCGTCAAAATTGTTGCATGCTTCAAACTGCCTGGTCGTTAAAACCACGAGATGCTGGGCATTTTCGACAAGAGACAGGAATGATTGAAAAGTGACAAATGAAACAAAGAATAAGGTCGAGTTAAAGCATTTTCAACACTCAGGCTTTCGTGACCGATTATTTTGATTCGCAAATGGTTTTGGGTCGGGTTTGCCGCGTAGGGTAAAAAAAAACCCGTGCCGTGTGCCCTCCACCACCCGGCAACGGCCAATGAACGAAGCTGCCGCGTGACGAAACGAACGTCGCCAACGTGGCGAACGCCACCGGCGCTGGCAGGCGATATGTGCACGCGGCTCAGCAATTCGGGAGCGCGAACGTCTCCCGCCGGCTTCAGCCGCGACCAGCGTCGTCAGCTCAACGTATTCTTGACGTGCAGTGACTTACTACGGAGGCCACGGCAACAGTTGACCGATGCAATGTGAACGCCTAAAAATAGTCCTAAACTAGACTTATACAATTATTTAAAGCTACGACGCTTTAATGCCCCCCCCCCTCCGCATTTAACGCGATCAGCCGCTCCCAATTGCAGCCGTCAGCGTTCAACAAACCGTCTCGAACAAATGTGGCAATTGTGACATTGACTTTCCTAATCGCGGATGATGAACTCTAAAATACGAAGCGAAACGGACTTCCCAGACTTGATTGACACTGGGGATCAAGCGAACTACATTATGGCCGTTGCAGATGTCATGACTTAACAGGAATATGGCTTCGAATGTATTTTATGAACGTTAATTTATTTTGTAATATGGTAAAAAAAAATAGTGGTAAGCTTTACTGAACTGTCTTAAGGTATAGAGTATCCGGACATACACACACGCACGTACAGCGGACACAGATCTAGAATATACGAACGCACGTGCATATATGTACACGTGTATTCGTAAACGTGCACACACACACATGAACACACACATGTGGACGTTAATATATACTACGTATGTATTCTTACGGGCCTACGACAATCACCGTCAGACCTCGAAGCTGAGAAGAGTTGAGCCAGGACAGTGTTTGGATGTGTGACCTCAATTCCCAACAGGTGTTATAGGCTGTGGGGCTACATCGGTGGGCCAGAATAGGGTGGGAGTGCAAATGCCTGGGATTTATTTGACTGTACTTCACCACGCTGGTCATACGGGCTGAAGGGAGTGGCTGCTATCCCCTGCTAGTCCATGGGCCGGAGTAAAAGTCTGTACCGCTTAAGTTGGCCAAACGTGAGCGGTAGCGATGCATTTATGCGGCTAATAAGAGTGAATCATTTCGTAGCCCACTCATTTGAAACGGTTGGCATGCTATTCAATGTTATTGGCCCGCAAAAAGAAACTGAAAACAACTGAAGTTATGCCACCCTAAGTGGTACCCCGCAAGTTAAATATCTGGCGTGGGCTAGTGGACTACACGTGGTGTATGTGGCAACAGATGGAGACGTATACTGAACAAAATCCATCTGTGTATTTACAGAAACTTCCTGTTAAGGGTCTCCGTCGATTGCCATCTTTGTCAGCAGTGGTATTTATTTGGGAACTCCACAAAAAAGCAACCTCCCGTTACAATGGGACTCGTTATTTTTATCCGAAATAAAAATGATGCATCCGTGGCAACACCACGGGAAGGGGAGTGGGGTCAAAGGTGTTAATGCATGGCCGAAGAAGGGAACGGTAGGGGGACGGAGAGAAGAGGATGACCGGGAAACGGGGATGTGAGGAGCTGCTAGGACAAAAGTCCCCAGGACGACCATAGAGGGCAGGGTTCAAGATGTCTGGGATGAGAGTTAGAGAGAGAGAGTGGAGCAGCGTATGTTTTCACACGGGGGGTTGTCGGAGGAGGGGATTCTGAGGTGGGGGTGGCCACAGAGGCCACGTGATTTACGGGAGGCTTGAGTTGCTCTCGAGAAGTGGTTCTGAACCTTTACCGCAGCCTTGCAACCCCCCCCCCTAAGGTTCTCAATCGTAAAAAAATGTACAATGTTAATAAATAGAGGTCTGATGAAAAAAAGTAGTTGTACTTACGTGCCCGTGCTTAATTTGTGTTTCTGATGATTTACCTTCAAAAAAACTCTGGCCACGTCTCGCACCCCCAGGGAGTGTGTGCATCCTAGGCTAAGAACCACTGATCTAGAGATATATGTTCAGGTCCTTCATCTGGGAAGGGTGCCTTAACTTGGCTCTGAGCCTGAGGCACTTCCATGAATCCTGGTAAATCCTGAGCATCCTAGTTTTCCCAAATCCTTAATTTTTTGAACCGCAGTTTTTAATCAATTTGCATCAATTATATATCTGGCACGCAGATGTGCGTTAGCATTCACCGCATATATATACACACACACACACACACAGACGCACGCACGCACAACAGGCAATGGAAACGGCAAAAGCACGCACACTCAAAACTGTCCTGTGTCCGACTTCTATAGAAAATTGGGGAAGCACATTTCTCCTGAATTTGTACAAAAACACTCAATTTAAACCCAGCATAGCCCCCCCCCCCCCACGTCCCCTTATGGGCAGCACTTTAAACCGAGTTGGCGATTTAGACCAGGGTCACTTTGGCGGTGTTTTTAGTCAACCTGAAATCGTATCCCCCACCCCATCACCGCCTCCCACCCCCCCCCCCCACCAAGACTACGTCATACAAACAACCCCCCCCACCCCCTGTCTCATTAAATAAAGCTTTGTAATATTTTTAATACAAATACGAACAATTAATGATAATTCAACAGATTAAACATTTAGCCCATGTGGGGTGGTCAAGTCCCAGGTGAGAATTGAAGGCGCTTGTAAAAAAAAAGGAAAAGACTTTGCTGCGTCGTGCGTAAACATTCGCTCGTTTTTTAAATCGTTCGCGAATCAGCAGAGGAAGGCGGGATGTGAGCTATGGGTGGTGCTTTTGGAAGAGAGGATGCAGCACGGCGGGTTGCGACCGTTCCTAATTTACGTTCCGCAACGCTTCGCGAGAGCCGGGGCATGGGGGGGGGGGGGGGGGTGGCCTCCATCGGGATCGTAGCGGAAAAAGGGAAAGTTGTACGTTGGGCGGTCGGTTCCGTCTCAACGGGGCGGTGGCGCTCGGCCCGCGTGCACTCGACCGGACGGCGCGCGTGTGCCGGTCCGTCGCGCGGCATCACCGCCACCGACGTTTCCGTACCGGTGCGGGCTGCACGAGAACGCAATGCGCGTGGCTCCGCCTCGGCTCTCGACCACGCGCCCAGCTCGTTCCGCGCCCGCTCCACGCCCTCTCCCACGCCGCGCCCGCTCCACGCCCTCTCCCACGCCGCGCCCGCTCCCGCTCGTTTCGTGACGCGGCTGCCGGAGACGTTCGCGTCCCAGCGGGGCGGCGCCGGCACCGCGCTCGACCTGTCCGCGCGTCCCCCCGCAACCGCCGCGGGGGAACGTTAACGGTGGCCAGGTCCAACCGGCAACGCCGAGCGCGATGAGGAGTCTGGGTGCGGGCCGTGAGCCGCGCCGCTCTCTCTGCGCCCGCCCAGGTGGCGCTGCCGCGATCTCCGCGACCGCCCGGGGCGTCTCCCTGCCCGCCGCCACCGCTGTGCGTGTGGCACGGCGCGGCGTGCCGTTCTCGCCGGTTTCAACGAAACCACGCCGACCGGGCAACGCCGACGCTCCGCACCCGCCCCCCACCCCCCCCCCCCCCCCCACGTCGAGCTGGGAGGCCGGCGCTCTCCACGCCCGCGTCCCCGCAGAGACGATGCCCGGGGAGGAGGGGGAGGGGAGGGGGGCTTGCGCTCTGCGGTGCGGCGACGGAGGAGGAGAAAGTGGCGCGTGGGAGAGGGGAGGGGGGCAGGGAGGAGGCGGTGGTGCCACCGCCGCCTCACAGCGCCGTCGACGAGATCTTCTTGATGCCGCGGCGCTGGGCGAGGGTGGAGGAGCCCACTGGCTCCAGCGCCGGCTGGGCCAGCGTGTGGTGCAGGGCTGAGTAGGTAGCGGCCATAGCGCCCTGTGGGAGGGGCGAGGGGGCGGGTGGAAGAGGGAGCGTTTGTGAATGTGTGTGGCCGACTGTGGTGTGATTTTATAAAGTGGGTTTGTTCCGTTTGTGTACACTGCGCGTACGAGACCCGATTCCCTCTCACGGCCACCAACACCAGTGACAATTGTCTGAACCGGTCCAGGGACTCCCTTATGTCGATTCGGACTCAAATGAGTACCTCGTGCGGTGTCTAGTAAACATCGCCACTGGGGAGACAAAGGCGGTCGGGCGCGGTGTTGGCCACACACCCCCTCGTATGCCGTGCCGGCCTTCATAGCTGCTCGCTAACAGCACTTGTCCCAACAGTCTGTTCAGGCTACACGGGGGATCTTTGTCTTTGCCTCCTACCTTGACAAGCGCCGCGTCCTGCCGGGTCAGCTGGCACTGGGGCAGCGTGTCGCGCAGCGCGATCCACGGGTGGCGCAGCACCTGGGCGGCCGTGAAGCGCTGGTGCGGGTCCACGTGCAGCATCTTCTTCACCAGGTCCTGCACGAGTGCGCGCCACGCAAAACGCGCGTCCAAGTCGGACGCGTTGAACAATGGTCAGGCACGCGCGCGGTGTGGACCGACGGCCCAGGACCCCTTCCCGAAGGAGCCGGGAGAATCCCCACGGCTTTCCTGCGCCAACAATCGCGTGCGTCTGCTACCTTGGCGGCCTCGGACACCGTGTCCCAGTTGCCGCCGGACAAGAGGAAGCGTCCGCTGCCGATGCGTGTCAGGATCACGCCCGGCGTGTCGTCGGGCCCGTTGGCGAAGGGCGTGTGCCTGGCACCCGCCAGGAGGGGGGGGGGGGGGTTGCAAATGCAGAGGAGGGCAATTCGAAAAATAAACTCGGTACATTTGTCAATAAACAAATAAATGATGGGTGATGCTCGTAAAAAAAAGTAGAGCGATTCCATTTAAAGTTCACAGAAGCAACTTTTGAATAGAACAACTTCATTGCAGCAATGTTTTATATTATTGTCGTCGACATACTTCAGAAATTTGTACTTATATACGTTATTCGTGTTTGGTAATGTAGTAACTTTGTGACCTGCCCCAACTGGACGTCTGTGAAAAAGAGCTTTGTAGCTCGCCGGATGCCTCCTGCAGTCTAAATGAAGATTGTGATGATTGTGATTGAGAAGAATCGCTGAGAGAGTGTCCAGTCTGATCTCAGAAGCTAAGCAGGGGTGAGCCTGGACACTGCGTGGATGGATGACGCCCATATACAGAATTGCAGAGCTTGGGCGACTGTTGGCACCAACTTGGGCGACTGTTGGTGCCAGCTCATTGACTGCGGATCCTGGTCACGCCGCCCAAGTTGCTCCCTCACTTAAGTTGGTTGCAGTCATCGTTGACGGCTGAAGCCACTGCGGTTATGCAGTGCGAGGTGCGAGCGTACCCAGCCAGCATGGTGTAAAGCAGAACTCCCAGGCTCCATATGTCGCACGCTGCGTCGTAGCCCTGCCTCTTGAGAACCTACACAGACAAAATACCCACGCGTGCAAACAAAGTCGTAAAATCAATGTATCCATATAGACTGCAGGGGCAAGTACCGTCAGTAAGCAGCTATTAAGGTCAACATGGCAACACGGGGGGGTGGTGTGGGCAGAACTAATCCCAGCCACCTTTGTCTCAGGAATGCCGATGTCCTTACACTGCACCAGGTACTCTTTTAAGGTTGAGTTGACCTAAGGGAGGCCCAGGACCAGATCAGTAAAAATTCTGCACACCACTGATGTTAGCCATGGCTGCGAAATGAACTCGGCCCACTGGGTTTGTTGCACGAGAACCACCGCTCTCCACCTTAGTTCCATACAAAGACAAAGATCCCCCGTATAGCCTTAACAGACTGTTGGGGCAAGTGCTGTTAGCGAGCACCTATGAAGGCCGGCACGGCACACGAGGGGGTGGTTGGCCAGCACCACGGCCGACCGCCTTCGTCTCTCCAGTGGCGATGTTTACACACCACACCAGGTACTCATTTGAGGCTGAGTCGACCTAGGGGAGGCCCAGGACCAGCTCAGATAATTAATCGTCACTGGTGTTGGCCGTGAGCGGGAATTGAACTTGTTTCGCTAGGTTCGTAGTGCAGCGCGCTAAGCGCTATACCACCGCTCCCCATGGCCTCATACACACAACATGGCCTCACACACACAACGTGGCCTCATACACACAACGTGGCCTCATACACACAACATGGCATCACACACACAACGTGGCCTCATACACACAACATGGCCTCACACACACATGGCCTCACACACACAACGTGGCCTCATACACACAACGTGGCCTCATACACAACATGGCATCACACACACAACGTGGCCTCATACACACACAACATGGCCTCACACACACAACATGGCCTCATACACACAACGTGGCCTCATACACACACAACATGGCCTCATACACACAACATGGCATCACACACACAACGTGGCCTCATACACACACAACATGGCCTCATACACACAACGTGGCCTCATACACACAACGTGGCCTCATACACACAACGTGGCCTCATACACAACATGGCATCACACACACAACGTGGCCTCATACACACACAACATGGCCTCACACACACAACATGGCCTCACACACACAATGTGGCCTCATACACACAACATGGCCTCATACACACAACATGGCCTCACACACACAACGTGGCCTCATACACACACAACATGGCCTCATACACACACAACGTGGCCTCACACACACAACATGGCCTCATACACACAACATGGCCTCACACACACACGTGCATTTGAAGAATAGGGCATGGGCATCGCGGTTCTGAATTGGAAAAATTACTCTCAAATTGGGAGACATAGCAACAGTTGCCCTGACTGGCTAACGCTCAGTTGCAGGCCAATGCTTGCGTTAAGACAGCTGCCGCTGGAGGGGGGGCCCTCCTGGTTGAGACCACAGCAGCAGGGCATTGGAACGGTAAGGGCTCCGTGCTTGCCCAGACAATGCAGCCACACATGCCAATCCTCGAGTGGAAGCCATGAGTGAAACATCAGCCGGCTACGCGCTCTCTCACCTCAGGCGCCACGAAGTTCGCCGTGTAGCACGGCGTCATGAGCAGCCCGTTCTCGGCGCGCAGCTGCTTGGCGAAGCCAAAGTCGCAGATCCTCAGCGACTCCGGGTTCCCCGACTCGTCCACGTACAGGATGTTGCTCGGCTTCAGGTCTCGATGCACCACCTAGTAGAGGAAGAGGTACAAGAGGAGGAGGAGGGAGTCGCAAGGCAGGATGAGTGGCTGTGCACGTGTGGTCGGCGCGGTGTTGCTGTGTGTGTGTGCGTGCGTGAGTGATTGCTGTGCGAGTGGTTTCTGTGTGTACGTGCACGATTGATTGCTGCGTGTATGTGTACGTGCGTGCGTGAGTGATTATTATGTGTACATACGTGAGTGATTGCTGTGTGAGTGGTTGCTGTGTGTACGTACATGAGTGACTGCTGTGTGTATGTGTGCGTGCGTGAGTGATTATTATGTGTACATGCGTGAGTGATTGCTGTGTGAGTGGTTGCTGTGTGTACGTACATGAGTGATTGCTGTGTGTATGTGTGCGTGCGTGAGTGATTATTATGTGTACATGCGTGAGTGATTGCTGTGCGAGTGGTTTCTGTGTGTACGTGCACGATTGATTGCTGTGTGTATGCGTGGTTGCTGTGCGAGTGATTGCTGTGTGTACGTGTGCGTGCGTGAGTGAGTGATTATTATGTGTACATGCGTGAGTGATTGCTGTGTGAGTGGTTGCTGTGTGTACGTACACAAGTGATTGCTGTGTGTATGTGTGCGTGCGTGCGTGAGTGATCATTGTGTACATGCGTGAGTGAATGCTGTGTGAGTGGTTGCTGTGTGTACATACACGAGTGATTGCTGCGTGTATGTGTACATGCGTGATTGCTGTGTGAGTGGTTGCTGTATGTACATGAGTGATTGCTGTGTGTATGTGTGTGTGCGTGAGTGAGTGATTATTATGTGTACGTGCATGAGTGATTGCTGTGTGTATGTGTGCGTGCGTGAGTGATTATTATGTGTACATGCGTGAGTGATTGCTGTGTGTGCGCGCGAGTGCGGCCGAGAGAAGCGCACCCACCCCCTGCGAGTGGAGATACTCGACGGTGCGCGCTATCGTCTGCAACACCGCGCTGGCCTCGCGCTCCGAGAAGAACTTCTGCCGCAGGATTTTATCCAGCAGCTCCCCGCCCTTCATGAGCTCTGTGACGAGGTAGACACTCTTCCCATCGTCGTACACCTAGAGATGATGAGGTACAAGCTGTCATGGTCATCGTAGACCTAGTGATCACCATCATTTTAATCATCATCATCTTCATAAATCTAGAGCTACATCACTGATAATTACTTACCGTAGTTCAAGATTGCAATTCTCACCAACGATGAATTGGCCAAAATAGCAGCCACGTCGTAGGCTAATGTTGTAAATTACACCATCATTGTCGCCTGGAAATTAATTCCCGTGTACCTGGGGCAGGAATCGAACCATTGCATATGTGCAAAGTGCTTTTGGTGGCGAGTGCTCTGACCGCTGGGCCATTGTTCAGCAGCCCGTACACCGTGTACATACAACTAGGGAGAGTTAAAAGCCCTTTCAGGGCATCCACTCACGGGCCATTACTGACAAAGGTGTTGTCACAGGCGCTGTTTACGACTGGGGCTATGAGAGTTCATGCATGCGTGCGAGTGTTTGTAGGTGTATGTGGCGAGCAGTGCCGCACTGGTTAGCAAGCGTGCACTATGAATCCAGCGAGCCGAGTTCTATTCCTGCTCACGCCCAACACTAATGATGATTATCTAAACCGGTTCTGGGCCTCCCCTAGGTCGACTCAGCCTCAAATGAGTACCTGGTGCAGTGTGCAAACATTGCGACTAGGGAGATAAAGGCGGCTGGGCGTGATGCTGGCCACCCACATCCTTGTGTGCAGTGCTGGCCTTCATAGGTGCTACTCGCTAACAGCACTTGCCCCAACATTCTGTGAAAAGTTACACGCGGATCTTTGTCTTGTCGGTGTATGTGGGAAGCAGTGCCGCAGTGGGTTAGCACAACCGCACTATGAACCCGGCAACCCGAGTTCGATTCTCGCTTGCAGCCAAGATCAGTTACGAATGTCTGAACTGGATCAGCCTTAAATGAGTAACTGTGTAATCCTCATCACTGGGGAGACAAACACGGCCGGGAGTAGTGCTGGCAACATCACTCTGTCGTACACCGTGCCAGCCTTAATAGGTGCTCGCTAAAAGCATTTTATTGCAGGCTATATGGAAGATCTTTCTCCTTTTTGTAGGCGTATTCATGGATGTGTGTATTTGTACGTATGTGTGTGTTCGTGACTACGTACGTGTGTGTGCATTGTCTTATGACAAGCACCTCCCCTGTAGGTCTACTCAGCCTGAAATGGCAACCAGGGTCACGCGTGACTACCAGCGCTGGGGGAAGGCCAGAGGCCGCCAGATCCCGCGTACGCACGTGTGTGTGTGTGTGCGTGCGTGCGATGTTGCCCACACAGCCCCTTTGAAAACTCGTGTCACGCCGACCCTAAAGTGCGCTTTGCCCACAGCACCTGCAGGCTCAGCCCCTCCAGCCGCGAGAACTCTTTGGCTCGTGTCATCGCTTTAAGCTCCCGCTACTCCGCTCATGCACGTGCGCGCCCCGTGTACGTGCACCACCCGTGCGTACGTGCGCTCCCCTTGTACACACACACACCCCGTGTACGTGCGCTCCGCGTGTACGCGCGCTCCGCATGTGTACGTGCGCTCCCCTTGTACACACATGCCCCGTGTGTACGTGCGCTCCGTGTCTACGTGCACGCGCCTGTTTCCCCCGCGCCGCCGCGGCAGCGCGTGGCCAGCCTAAGCCAATTAGCGTAAAGGTCACGCGCGTAACGGCCCCAAACGGTCGCTAAGCCGCGATGGGGGTTTGTAAACGAGTTAACGAGGGGTCCAGCCCGTTCGATAAATCTGGAACAGGCTGAGTTTATTGAAACGACAGCCGTGTTTCTCGCACGACAGTCAAATATTTGTTCATTCTGAAAGTGGGAATTCAGCCGATTTAAGTGCAAAAACAAATTTAGTATCATGGGTTTTGTGGGTGTGTGTGCAGTCATTGGGGAATGGGCTGAGACCATAAATTCACTACACTAATCACAGGCGGGTTAAACCTGGATTTGAACCCAGACTCTTCAAGCAGCTGCGCTCAGCACCCTTCCAGGAAAAATCCAACGTTGGTCGACGTTGGCCCAACTATGCACGCTCACCGTTCTGACACGGCCATGTAAAACCCTCCAGGCCACCTCGCAGGCCGAGGCTAAGTTATCAGAGACGAACCTATGGCAATTTGTGGATTTTAAAGTGAGCTTACGTCTTTTAACGTGATGACGTTGGGATGCTGTCCGTAACGGAGAAGGATTTCTATCTCTTCCGACGGGTCTCGTTTACTCTTGTCGATGATCTGTTCAGCAAAATAAAACAAAATAAACAAAAGATTAGAGAATGTAACAGTTGGCGTGTGGATACGACGTCCCTAAGGCACGCTGGAATATTTAAACTCAGAAGGATAGTTCATTCATTCGTAGATTTCCATCTATTTATTTTTCTACATTTAAAACAGGATGCAAACCATATATTTAAAGGAATCCACAACCCAAAAAACACAAACAGACCTTATTTGGTAGATACACGCCTGTTAAGTTTGCGCAGTAAAGGGGTAATGATGTTGCCACCGCGTGCGATCCCAATTGAGTCATCGTCAGGTACAGCATTGGGATGCTTTTTGGCAACATTCTGTGGGCTTTTAGCTATGGGAGAAAACCAGATAACTCGGAGGAAACCCGTACACATGCACACACGTACACACGCGCACACGCGCACACGCGCACAGACCTTGACGGCGTACTCCATGTTGGTGGTCTTGTGGATGCAGCGCTTGCACACCGAGTAGGAGCCCACACCGATGTCCTCCCGCAGCTCATAGCCGTCCGAGAACTGCACGCTGTTGCCGTGCAGCTGCTGTTGGGAAACAAAGTTTTAGTACTCAAAGCTAAGTCCCGGTTTCATAGCCAGTTGCTGCCACGCTCCACAGTCGTTTTTTTTTCCCCCATCGCCAGCAAGGCCGGCGACAACATCTCCTGCCTGTGCTCTCTCAACTGGCTTCTCATCATTGCCAGCAGGACCCAGCGACAAGATCCCCTGCCTGTGCCACCACCGTGCCGCTACCGTCGGTCGTCCACCGTATCGCTCCTGTCACTCCGCCCTGCACTACAAGCTCATGGTGGAACTCTCTGCAGCAGCAGCAGCAGCGTGACTCACAACTTCCTCCTCCTGTCTACACAGAAGAGCGTGGCCGTGGTCACTACTGGACGTCGTTTCTCCGTGGCAGCCCCCGCCGTTGTGACGCGGCCATCATCACGGTCCTGCTGCGCACTCGCAGCAGTGGCAGCGTTCAATCCACTCCGACTTTAAAGAAATACTTTAAGGCCCCACCCCTTTCTCCCAGCGTTTGAGTGTCACCGAGTTTGGCGCCTCGCCTCTTGAGTCGCGGTCATTTACATCCGTGAATTATTGTGTTACAGATTGCGTTATAATAATGATTAAAATTAGTATTCTAGCAGAGCCTGCCAAGATGTAGGAAAAAACCTTGACAAAGACTCCTAGGTATGGCAGTGGGCGAATATCCATTGCATCGCTGCCTTCTTCAGCTATGTGATCGAGCAGAGGCAATGAGACCCTGCAGAAGGCAGCGTCACAGCGGCGTACCCTTCACCCACCGCTGAACCGACTCGTTAACTAAACACTTGCGGGCCGGCTTTGTACTCCTTTAGTGGCGTGGAGTTGCAACTAATCACGCATAAGGTACTCCTTAGCGAGAGCGACAAGACGCGCTACCGCTGCACCACCTCACATTTGCCTGATTTTGATGAGGAAGAGTTTGACCAGGATGAGGTTACTACTTTGTATTCGTACGGCTGATGTTGGTGTAGAGCAACAGCTTAGAATTTAACACTCAGATGGTTGGGCCAGATAATCGTGTCGGGAGTGGCAGGGGGGGGGGGCGGTGAATCGGTCGGCCGTGTTTGTGAAACCGGGCATCGCGTCGTCGGGGCGTTCCCGGCACGAGCGATCGTAGTGCTCGGCTGCTCCACCTGCACGATGGGGTGAAGCTGAGTGGTGGCCATCACGAACGTCTCCTCCACGTCGCCCAGCGGCGTCGCCACGAAGCTGAACCCGCGGAACAGCTGGTGAGCGTTGGCGCTGGGAGGGACGCCTGGGGAATCTGACAACAAATAAACCACAAATAAGAAATGTTCTCTTGATGTAAACTTTAACCCTCTGCCGCCCGACAAAACAAGTCACGTTTATGAAGTTACCATTTTTTTTTTACACGTGCCAACATATCGACCGACCTCCGACCGATAAGCTTCTCCTTACCGCCGGCCTGAGAGAATTTCACGGCCGAATTGGACGTCAACACACAACGCCGTTTTGCTCAAACCCGCTTTGTATGTACGTACGTTGTATGCATGTTTTACTTCTTTCACAGCCACGATAATCAATGGCGCGGGGAAGGACAACAAACTAAACACAAAAAGCAGTTCTAGAGTAATAAAGTTTTCAATCTAGATGATTTAAAAAAAGTCCATAGCTCCAGTGGCTTCCTAATATCGGAAAGCGAGACCAGTCTCAGACGGCCACAGAAGCGCGTCTGAAAGCGTGTGATGGCGGTGACCGTCTTTGTTCGATGACGAGCCAAAAGCCGCTGCATCGGGTAGTGAGCTGGGATCACAACGTGAGGCCGCTTCAGCTGACTATGCTGTTCTTATGTTGTACAGACACACATATCGAGCAAGGCGGATGTGCAAGATGTTCATTAATCTGAGAAATCTTCGGATGACCCAAATCGTTTTGTGCAATGATGACAAAGTGTGATGTCACTTCCGCTAAAAGTGCCTTGCGTGATCTCATGTTGGCAATACATTTAGTCACTTTAGCTTAAATAGTTAAAATATAATAATCCTTACATTCAAATAATCGATTTACTGATGGAACTTTATACATATGAAAAATCAACGAATAAATATTTAACACCTTAGCCATACTTATCGGATACTAGAGGGTATTATTGATGTCATGGCTATAGCGCCGTTTTCCCATTTTATCGTCGAAGTCAATGACTTCTAGCACTGCAAAAATCTCTTTATACTCGGTTGACTTGCACTTTATTTTTTGTGTGTGTTTGTGTGTTAATGTGTTTTTGTCTTTGTTTGCTTGTGTGTGTGCTAATGTGGTTTTGTCTTTGTGTGTTAATGTGTTTTTGTGTGTTAATGTGTTTTTTGTCTTTGTGTGCTTGTGTGTGTGCTGTGGTTTTGTCTTTGTGTGTTAATGTGTTTTTGTCTTTGTTTGCTTGTGTGTGTGCTAATGTAGTTTTGTCTGTGTGTTTATGTGTTTTTGGCTGTGTGTTTGTGTGTTAATGTGTTTTTGTCTTTGTGTGCTTGTGTGTGTGCTAATGTGTCTGTCTTTGTGTGTTTGTGGTTTTGTGTTTTTGTGTGTTAATGTGTTTTTTGTCTGTGTGTTAATGTGTGTTTGTCTTTGTGTTAATGTGTGTTTATATTTGTGTGTTGATGTGTTTTATGTGTTAATGTTTTTTTGTCTTTGTGTGTTTTTGTCTTTGTGCGTTTGTGTTAATGGGTTTTTGTGTGTTTGTGTCTTTGTCTTTTTGTCTATGTGTTTGTGTGTTAATGTGTTTTCGTCTTTGTGTGTTCATGTGTTTTTGTGTGTTAATGTGTTTTTGTGTGTTTGTGTGTGAATGTGTTTTTGTGTGTTAATGTGTTTTTGTCTTTGTGTGTTAATGTGTTTTTGTCTTTGTGTGTTAGTGTTTTTGTGTGTTAATGTGTTTTTGTCTTTGTGTGTTTGTGTCTTAATGTGGTTTTGTCTTTGTGCGTTTGCTTTTTTCCGTCAAGAGTAATTGAAAGTCCGATTCGGCCTTCTATCACGAGGGTTCCTCCCCGCCACCTTTACAGGGAACCCGGTTCTCACCTTTTGGTGTTTTAGCTGTGAATTCGGGGTCGAAGTAAAACGTGTCTTCTGGTCGGCCTACGGCAGGCTTGAATGGCGGGTGAATTTCTTTCCGATAGAGCTTCTGTAAAATTACACACACGGTACAGAATGAGACGTCGATCCTCCGAGTGGCCGTACAGGGGGAGCGGAGGCACAGTGGTTAGCGCATTTGCGTGCATTATAAACTCGGCGACGCGAGTTTAATTCCTGGCTATGGCGAACATCGGTGGCAAGCGACATATGATCTGGTCCTGGGCCTGCCACCACCCTTTACTTACGTGCGCACTGACCACTGTGGTGAAGTACGGTCAAACAAATGCTAATACCCACAGGGTATGCAGAGGTCTTCATTCAGCAGTGGATTAACAAAGTGCTGTAATATATTTCATTTACATATTCATCATATGGCTGTTAAAAGTGCATTCAATGGACTGCATGATAAGCATTGAATGACAAGTCAACACAAGTCAAAATGCCTCTGTTCAAATGAATGTATGGGGGTGGTACTCATCTCTGCTGGCAGCCCTGAGCCAGTGGTGGAAATTACACATTCCTGTGACAGGAGCCAGTCTGTTTATAGGACAACCACTGATCACTCTGCACAATGTGGTGCTCATGATAATAGCCTGAATCAATCTCCAGCCAAGAAATGCACTAAGTTACTCTTGCTCACTCAGTCAGCCAACCGCTCACTCAAGCACCCACCCATGACTGCACTCAATCACCCACGCATCAATCCACTCACCCACTAGCTTGCCCATCCACTCTCCTTCTAACCTACATACCCCACTCATTCACCATCAGCTAAATAAAGTAAACCGTATACAAAAACTTACGTTCCAATCAATAGTGGAAAAGAATGGATGTCTTTTGATTTCTTCCACACCATCAGATCCAGCTCCTGAAAGTAAAGTATAACACAGCACATCAGGACAAACACGATGGGATTTCTAGGCAACAAAACCACGTGATTGTAAGCACAGGATCGCTCCCTCCCATCATGCCTTGCATCTCATGTGACACCACCGCACCGCTTCAACACAGCCTTGTCTAGACCACCGACTCAAAAGGGTAAACAGTGTCACCAACAAAGCATTTTAGACAGCAGCAGCCGGAGGACAACGAGACAACTGAGTTTCACCCTCGTTGGGAATCATCTGCACAGTATAGCACTTGCTGCCTCCTGCCGCCTTGTGTCACAGGGGCACTGTGGCCGAGATCTCGCTGGTCACTACGGGCGACAATGAACGACTTTCAACACTTCCATTAAACTCTCGATGGGTCAAAGTGTCTCTTTGCTCAAACAAGTGATTGGTCGGTGCTCATACTCCATTGGTGGCCCTAAATCAGTGGTGGAAATTCCACATTCCCATGGGCTGTGGCAAGTCACTTCAGGTCAATCAAAAGGTTATACAGAGTTTTACAAACCCTGGATGGATGCATGTGCCGAGTCGACCCCTAAGAGAGGTGATGTGGATTGGAGGATCGAGGAACGCGTGCGTGATTTACAAGAAATATGCCCATTTCTCTCGCAAGTTCCTTGTTTTGGAGGAGGTTTCGTGTTTTGCCGCACTGGAACATTTTTTAAATAATTTTTATTTCTTTGCAATCTTGTTTACAATGAAAAAACAAACCCCGAGTAGGTTAAGATACGCGATACAATTGTAATTTTTTTCCTTCTTCCCGTTAAGACGGCCGTTCGAAGATGCTGCCGCGGTCGTGCTCCGACGGTCTGGCGTGCTCGACTTGCAAGGGGAGGGGGGAGGAAACCTCAACCATGTGTTTGTTTTTTAGCTGTCGGAGGAAACCGCACAGCTCGGGAGGAAACCCCATGCAGAACATGGGGAGAACATGTACAGTGTGAAAGAGTAGGTCAACATACCCCCCCCCCCCTGCCTCAAGAGGGGCTCCATGGTGTATCAGGAGAGTGATAACAGAATGATGAAAAAGGAATAGGGGGCTTTACTCTTTCCAGCAATAATACAGGTGCATTGAGCAGATATAACTGCTCAACCCGAGCTACTAATGATTTATTATTGTTCGCCCTGTTGGCGTTGTTCTCTGATCCGACACTGGTGGTGAGACAAGGGCGTAAAGGAGGCTGGCTCTGGAGTAGGCCAATCAGTTTAAAAGACAATGTGTACATTATCACTGAAGCACGTTTGTCTGCATGTTTTACCACAAGCATGACGTGTGGTTAATGCAGACTTGATGATGCCTTGTGCCCTGAGAACGATTGGTTAAGGGTGCTTTATGCATTAAAATAATGATTAAATTATTATAAGATATCTATTTAGTGTTTGAACATCTGAACACCTCTCGTAATTCTTGTCGTAAAGGGTAAATCTTATTCTTTGGGTCTTTCACGTAAAGTCACGTAGAACAAAAAAATTAACAAAAAACTATAACGTTTCGATCGCAACACAAGCAATCGTCATCAGGAGGAAAAAAGCAGGGGGAAAGCTTATTGTTTTTCATCACTTTGATATCGGCAAAAAAAGAGGACCCCGTAAAGATGATAACAGATTGGCGGGAGAAGTGTAGAGGCTGTGAATTAAAATGTTGCTTTCTCTACAATTCGTCACTTATTTTAGTGGGGTATCTATGAACGGATCACCGCGCTGTAGCACCTAAACTGATGCAGACTATGGCCAAACGACGCACAATGTCCCTGAGCTCATCCGCCGTCGAAAGCTAAGCGAAATTGAGCCTGGATAACGCATGGATGGGCGGCCACAATGCATGAACGGTGTTAGAGGCCGCAGGGCTATGATGTTGTTGGAAGCAAATGGCAATTTAGCACAAACCATTGTTGTACTGTAACTATATGCTTCCACGCCTGTGCTAAAAGACTTCGCCAACCAGCAATGACCAACATGGTGAAGTGTGGTCAAATAACCCCCATGACCTGCATAGCGTGGGGGAGCCCTCGTCCAGCAATCAACTGACAAGAGGGCCGCACATGTGACATGTATCCGATGCATTTAAACAATGGCATCATCATCAGCCACGATCAATCCACTGCTGGATGAAGGCCCCCCCCCCCCCCCCGACATCCACCCAAGCTGCACCGTTGACGAAAATAAGACAAAGATCCCCCCCCCCCCCCTACTTGTTAGGACAAATGCTGTTGGCAAGCACCTATGAAGGCCAGAAAGGCACACGAGGGGGTGGGTAGCCAGCACCACGCCGGGCCGCATTTGTCTCCCAAGCGACAATGGTTTCACACATGGCACTAGGTACTTATTTTGGGCTGAGTCGACCTTGCGGAGGCCCACAACCTGTTCAGATACTCGTCACTGGTGTTAGTGGCCATAAGCAGGATTCGAACTCAGGTCGCTGGGTTCATAGCGTAGCGCGCTGACCGCTACGCTACCGCTCTCCACAGTCACACACATACGCTCACACACGCGTGCGCACACGCACAAGACAAAGGCACTCACCTAGGCGATTGCCTGGGTTCCTCTTGAACAGCATTCGCAAAAGACTCTGCGCTTCTCCACTCAAGAACTGCGGCATTCCTAGCTTGGCCCTGCAAAGCACGGGTCACAACAATACCAACAAGCTGACAAGCCAGTCCAGGAAGGGAGTCCGTATTTTGTTCGAGGGTTTCAACCGAATTTGGTTTGAGCAACGGATGTGGAGTTGTAACAAAAAATACAATTCTAGATTTGAAGCTTGCGTGACTGCAAGGATCCATACTCTTTGGTAAAGTCACGTAAAAGTATAAAACAACAAAAAAATTACCGATACAAATCGGAGAGCTACGGAGCACATCCGCGAAAATCTTACACACACAACATAAATAAACCGCTAACCACCCCAGATATTCGCAATATCTGGGAGGGTGATCAAACTCACTTCAGAATCATAGTCATCGTCTCCTTGCGATCTTTGCCCTGGAAGGGGAGCGTTCCCGTGAGCATTTCAAACTGTAAGAAGAGGAACGCGGGAAACGGTGGTCATTTAATTGATAACATTCATACATTTTTCACATCTGGAATCTGCGCCGTTCTTATAGTGCATGGGCTGTCAAGGTGCTAATGTTTCACAGATGGGTAGAGTCTGCAAATTAAGGGGTGATGTTGTCAAAGTGGTTGTACCCAATTAAAAATAAATAGGACATTTCCAGGTAATTTCACAAGCCTTGCAAAGTTTTCGCCGTGACAATGTGGCCGACTTTTTTTCTCTAAAGACGTTGCGGGATCCCTCGCTGTCCACCGTGAAGCTGATGGAGCGTGGTATTTTTGTAGGTTCATACGGCCGGTATTATTAACCGGGGCAGTTGGCGGGCTCGAACCACGACCCTCTGTGACGAGCAGCGAACGCGCTGCCGCCGGTCCGACCGCGTCAAGAGGGCAGTGTTTGTTAGGACTGCGAACCCCGGGAGGCACGATGGTCAGAGATCTTGTTGCTTTGCGTTGCTTTGCGTTGCAGCAAGCGTGTAAAAGAAAATAGGTTCCCTTAATTGGTAATCCCTCGCCTATTTTACATGGACAGTGGTATTGAAGAATGTGTTGAGTTTGTTCAAGCTTTTTGGGAGTGTTCGTGGGTATAAACATGGAGGAAGCTCGTGAAGGACACTCTACTGGGCAGTTGGAGGAAGTCGCCCACCAACAACAGTGGAGGGCAGAGGAGCGACACTCACAACAACGAGCGGAGTGCCGGTCGGCTAAAAGGCAGCGAGGTGGCACAGTGGGGAGCACAGCTGGTGCATCTATCAGTCATCTCAGTCAACAAACACATGGCACCTGGGTCTGTCCCGTGGCCTCCTGCGTCTAGCCTGGCACAGCTAGCCTGGCACAGCAGTCAAACCACAGAACCTGCGTCTGTCCCGTGACCTCCTGCCAGCGAAGCCTTCCACACTGCACGCGACGGCCTCAAAATGCACCCAGCCTGGCACAAAGCGCCGTGGTGACGTCACCGCCACTTGGTGAACGGCAGCGGTTGTTGTTGTTGTGTACGCGTGCGTGTACGTGTGCTCGTCGCGCTCGTTACCATGAGCACCCCGAAGGACCACCAGTCCGCCGAGTGAGTGTGGCCCTTGCGATTCACCACCTCAGGCGCCATGTACTCCACGGTGCCACAGAACGAGTAGGCCTTCTTCTCGTGGTCGATCGACTCCTTGCTCAGCCCAAAGTCTGAAGACATTCACATACGCACACATGCTTACACACACGTGCTCACAGAGACAAAGATCCCCCAGCCACATAGTCAACACAGACTGTTGGGTCACGTGCCAAGTGTTGTTAGCGAGCACCTTTGAAGGCCGGCACGACATACAAGGAACAGAACTCACCCGTGAGTCCAATGTGTCCACTTTCATCCAGCAGAATGCTGTTGGGAAAATAACAAAAATAAAATCAGTTTGGCAAGCCACTGCATTAAAGGAGCCTCCTTTTTAGTTTAATAATAGCAATACATAACGTTGTGTTTTCATAAAGCACGTAGGTTTTGCACAGAATCGCAAGGAAAAACCACAGACAAGCAGGAAGGCGCCAGAATATTTCCCAAGCTTTGTGGTCCTATGTTTGGGGTTTCCCCCCCCCCAAATTCCATTCATGAGTGTAAGGCGATTCGACCGCGCCAAGCAATGCACGCACGGAAACGCGCGCGAATGGGTGGGTGCGTGCGTGCGCACAGACGCACGTTTTAGGAATGCGCACCGCCACCCACGCGCACCCGCACGTTCTTACTGACGCAAGCTAATCACGCTGATAAGCGGCGTTACATTCCATTTTTTTGTTAAAATGGAAACTATTTTTAAAGTATTCCATTGCTTATCTCTCCCGCAAACGACACACATCTCAGCATTGGCAGGTTGATAAGCTGTGCGGCAAGCTTAGCAGTGTTTGGTTTCAGGGTTTTCGTGGTTTTGTCAAAGCACGGCGTGCAGTGACCTCGGACGGACAGAAGGGATGGATCCAACGATTCACCGAGTAGAAACGATTCCGACGCTTCCGATAGACGTATCGTTAGTATTCCGCTTGTTATTAACCAGGAAAGCCCCAATGAATCTTTAAGACTTGTTTTCAGGAGGGTCTTGCCAAGTGTTGTCGCAGTAGGAGGGGCGATGTCGCTGTGTGTAATGTTGTTGCTGTTGAGTATTTCGTAGGTACATTTTCAGCAATTGGGATGTATTGGCCAATATCGGTTACACGGTATGGTTTAAGTAGCTATGGAAGGAAGCCCATGCAGAACAGGAGAACATACAAACTCCACACTTACACTCCATCTCTGTAGACCAGGGGGAGAACATACAAACTCCACACACACACACACTCTCTGTAGACCAGGGGAGAACATACAAACTCCACACACACACTCACTCTCTGTAGACCAGGGGGAGAACATACAAACTCCACACTTACACTCACTCTCTGTAGACCAGGGGAGAACATACAAACTCCACACACACACACTCTCTGTAGACCAGGGGAGAACATACAAACTCCACACACACACACACTCACTCTCTGTAGACCAGGGGGAGAACATACAAACTCCACACACACACACTCACTCTCTGTAGACCAGAGGGAGAACATACAAACTCCACACACACTCACTCTCTGTAGACCAGGGGAGAACATACAAACTCCACACACACACACACTCACTCTCTGTAGACCAGGGGGAGAACATACAAACTCCACACACACTCACTCTCTGTAGACCAGGGAAGAACATACAAACTCCACACACACACACTCACTCTCTGTAGACCAGGGGGAGAACATACAAACTCCACACTTACACTCACTCTCTGTAGACCAGGGGGAGAACATACAAACTGCACACTTACACTCACTCTCTGTAGACCAGGGGGAGAACATACAAACTCCACACACACACACTCACTCTCTGTAGACCAGGGGGAGAACATACAAACTGCACACTTACACTCACTCTCTGTAGACCAGGGGGAGAACATACAAACTCCACACACACACACTCACTCTCTGTAGACCAGGGGGAGAACATACAAACGCCACACACACACACTCTCTGTAGACCAGAGGGAGAACATACAAAGTTCACGCACACACTCACTCTCTGTAGACCAGGGGAGAACATACAAACTCCACACACACACACTCTCTGTAGACCAGAGGGAGAACATACAAAGTTCACGCACACACTCACTCTCTGTAGACCAGGGGAGAACATACAAACTCCACACTTACACTCACTCTCTGTAGACCAGGGGGAGAACATACAAACTCCACACACACACTTTCTTTCGCACACACACACACTCTCACACTCTGCAGAAAATGGGTAAAATGTATCAACTCCACACAGAAGGGTGCCTGAGTCAGGTATTGAACCCAGCCCCCCCCTTCTTGCTGTGAGCCACTGCGCTGCCCTGCCCCCCAACATTGACGACTTGCAATTAATGTAAATCTACACGGCTAGTATAACCTTCGAGCTCTTAACAAACAGGACAGGAGCATGTGCAGCAGAATAATACGAGACCGGCAAAACAAACAAACGACACTCACAAAAAATTATGAATTGCTGAATCAAAAACGTACCCAGAATTTTGGCAATAGGGGTCGAAACTCCAACTAAACCGCTACCTGCGTCTTCAACAGGTACACAAGCAAGGTGAGGTTCATTGTAATGTGGTGATTCAATGAGGGAGCAAAGCTAAGGGGGCAGCATCTGGGTAACTATTCTTCTGCTGGGAAGGTTTGGGAAACGCGATTAACCCTCCGGCGGGACGTTGGTTCGGTGAGAATAATTGTTATGCTGGTCGTAGAGTCTCAGCCAAGTTGACGACACCGCGTGGGGTTTAAAGTCAAGAGCCTCAAGTCGTCTGTGGATTTCACCGAGTTCATCTCTTAGTCTGGTCGACTCGAGCGGTCAAACGTTCAGGCAATCGCTCGGAGTGATTAGACGCTGGTGTAAAGGGCGAGCAATTCCCCCCCCCTCCCATGTGATCAGCTCAGCCAATCAGTGAAGTCAGGAAATGTTTCCATGTTACACATTAGCAAGTAGACTAATCGCCATCTGTACGGGGATAGTGTTGTGGCTCGCTGGCGTGTGTGGGTTTTTCTCTGGGTTCCACCCACATGTACGAACACAATCATTAAGCGGATGAAAACATCTCAATATATGGAAATACACAGACCTTGTCGAATAGTTAGTAGCACCGGCTCACCGCCTCGCCGCTCCCTTCCAGCTCATCCGCTTCCTCAGCCGTTGCGAGATGCAATTTGCATAAACGACGACACTTCACAAAACTAAACCAGACTCAAATGACACGCAAATTATCCCCTTCGTTAAGATTTCATGAACGAAACCAACGGTGTGACTCACTTCTCAGGCTTGAGGTCGCGGTAGATAATGCCTAGGCTGTGCAGGTGGTCCAGCGCCAGAGCCAGTTCCGCAAGGTAGAACTTGACGTCCTCTTCCGTGAACATCACCTGCGGGGGGGGGGGGGGCCCGGGAGGGGCAAAGCGAAGGGAACCATGGAAACGACGACAGAAATAGTTCCGCGATGACAACGATGACGTCATCTTCAGGGCGGCTCTCCGACGCGATGTCAGGTGGTGCTGCTCACTGTGAGACCTCTGCACGAAACTTAATTTGTCCCGTGGTCGGACGACGGCTTTGCCTGGTAGGATGGGGATGGTTGAGTTGTATTTGTATGGGTGATGTGTTTACCTTTCTCGTACTTTGCACTACTATCATGTGTTTGTACTGTTTGTTGTTGTAGCGTTCTTACCCGCCCAGACTGGACATCTGTGAAAAAGAGCTTCATGGATAATCGGATTCCTCCAGTATAAATACATAGTGATTTTGATTCTGTCTATGTCTTTGTTGTGTCGGCCTTCATAGGTGCTACTCGTGAACAGCACTTGCCCCAATAGTATGTTTCAGGCTACATGGGGGATCTTTGTCTTTGTAATGCATTATGGGGAACGTTAGGACTGAGGTTGCACGCGATAATCCCGGCTTCCGAGTTCGACTCCCGCTCAGGGTCAACACCAGGGACGATTATCTGAACTGGTCTTGGGCCTCCCCTAGGTTACCTCAGCCTTAAATGAGTATCTGATGTCATGTGTAAGCATCACCGTTGGGGAGACAAAGGCGGCCGGGTAACGTGCAGACCACCCACTCTCTCATGCGCCGTACAGACCTTAATGGGGGCTCGCGAACAGCGCTTGCTACAACAGTCTATGAAAGGATATACGGGGAATCTTTTTCTTTATGAGTGTGTGTGTGACATGTGATCCGCACGTACAGCTGGGCCTGCTCACCTCCTTTGAGAGTCTAGTGAAGAGGTCTCCTCCCCTGAGGAAGTCCAGAATCAGGTAGAGCTTCCCTTCTGTCTGGAACGCTGCAGCACAAACAGAACGGGGCAGGTGAGTGGGTGATTGGGCAGGTGGCATGGCGAGTGATTGCAATGGGCGGTTAGCAATTTGCTGTACTGCGAGTTGGGTGGGTGGGTAGGTCTGTGGATAAGTAGGTAGGTGGATGGGTAGTTGATTAAGTAGGTAGGCAGATGGGTAGGTACGTGGGTAGTTGGGCAGTCGGGTAGGTAGGTGAGTGGGTAGGGAGACAGCTAGATGAGTAAATAAGTAGCTGGACAGGTAGGCAGCTGGGTGGGTAGGTGGGTAAGTAGGTAGGTGGGTAGGTATGTGGGTGAATAGGGAGGTAGGTAGCTGGGTGAGTAGGTGGGTAAGTAGGAAGCTGGGCGAGTAGGTGGGTAAGTAGGTTGGTGGGTAGGTATGTGGGTGAGTAGTGAGGTAGGTAGCTGCATAAACAGGTAGCTGGACAGGTAGGTAGGTGGTTAAGTAGGTCGGTGGCTGATTAGGTGAGTGGGTTAAGTCGGTAGGTGTGCGTGGGTAGAGAGGTAGGGAGGCGAATAAATAGGTAGTTGGATGGATCGGTGGCTGGGTGGGTAGGTAGGCATATGAAGGTGTGTGGTTGGGTGCATCTGTAAATACGTTGGTGGGAAAGTAAGTGGTTGTGTAGGTGCATAAATGGGTATGTAGGCGAGTAAATAGGAAGGGAGAGAGGTGGGTGGGTAAGGTGGGTGGAGGAGTGGGTAGATGGGAGGGGATTTGTGCGGGAAAAATTAGAAATCGCAAGTATGGCTTGTTAATATGCAACCCATATTTCTATTACAGACACAGCCCTCTTGTCAATCCACTAATGGAAGAGGGCCTCCTCCCTTCTGTGCGGAAACATCGTCGTGTCCGTTCTGGAGTGCCGGTAAACACGTTCGGTGTTGGGAGACGTTGCTGGTATGGCGTGCTGTCGTATCGCAGCACATTGCTACCGCCGCGGTGCACTGGTGTGGTGTGTTACGGTGAGGTACGGCGGAAAGATTACCATAGTGAAGCTTCACTATGAAGGGGTGGTTCACCTCCACCAGGATATCTCGCTCCATCTTCGTCCGCACGCGATCACGGACTGGAGGGGACACAGCGCGCGAGCAAAGTGTCACAGCAAAGCGTCACACGGCAAAGTGTCACACGGCAAAATGTCACACGGCAAAGTGTCACATGGCAAATGGTTACAGCAAAGTGTCACACGGCAAAGTGTCACACGGCAAAGTGTCACGGCAAAGTGTCACAGCAAAGTGTCACCGCAAAGTGTCACCGCAAAGTGTCCAAGTCAAGTGTCACAGCTATACAACTATTAGCCCAGGACAGGCTGCGCGAAACATCTCAATGGAAGACGGAACCTGACATCCAAACGGTGCGGCTTGGTAGGTGGGCAGGTTTACGAGGTAGGTGAGTAAGTAGGTAGGTGGGTACTAGGTATGCGAGTCGGTAGGTTAGTAGGCAGGCGTGTAGGCAGTGTGTGTGGGCAGCCAGGCGAGTGGATAAAATCTGCGTCTCGATGGCAGAACGTCAGCATTGCTGCCTCGCCACGGTCATCGCAAGGCCCCTGCCCTGCGAGGTCGACACTCGGTCATCACCGCTACCATCGCGACCGCCGCCACCCTCACCGCTGCCACCCTCACCGCCACCGCCCTCACCGCCACCGCCGTCACCGCCGCCACCATCACCACCATCGTCACCACCACCGCCACCACCCCCACCGCCGCCACCGCCACACACTTACCCTTCAGCGTGGCTTTCTTGAGCACCTTCATGGCGTACAGTTGCCCAGCATCGGGACCCTTGATTTTCCGCACCAGAAACACCTACAAAGACAAAGGTCCCCCTGTAGTTTTAGCAGACGTCTGTAGCAAGTGCTATTCGTGAGTAGCACCTATGACCAGGTATCAACCTGGACAGGTGAGAGCCGAAGCAGGTGAGAGACTGGGAAGGCGACAGCTGTGAGCTGCTGCTTGAATGTGGATGATGGTGCCTGGATGCTGCGCACGTGCAGTGGGAGAGGGTTCCAGGCAGCTGCTGGTGCAGCTCAGCCACAGGGTTGTGGGTTGTGGAGAAAAGAGTTTCTCCATAGGATGACCACTTTTGAATTCCCACACAGTGGTACGAGTTGTTTATCCACCCCAGAGGAATGATGATGATGAGTGGCTGAGTTGACCTCTGACCAGGACGTGAATCGCTACCTTCTCGTTGATCCGCGCACGACAGCCACCGCGACACACGGCCGTTTTCTAACCGCCAAATGCTTTGCATTTAGTGGCAACCAAATCTGATGTCAATTACAGTTACAAACGCAACTGACCGATTTTTTAAAATTATATTTCTTCCGATCATACCCCTGGGTGCGCAATCTGCGTTGTGTCACGAGATTAACAATGTCCACTTGAAGCTGCCACTTTGAGCGTGTGTCACAGGACGGCCACGAACGATGAAGTCAAAGAATTCCTGAACTTCTCAAGCCCCTTCAACAGCTTCTTATCCAAGCTGCGAACACACCGTTCATGTGCCCTGTAAAGAGTGTCCGTTCCATATCAATCAGTCAAACAAAAGTGAAAACTCTCAGGGAGCTCTGCATGAAGCCGAATTAAGTATTTTTCTTTCGTATGGATTAATAGCAGCAGATTAAAGATGTAGTTTTAGATTTGATATCCACTCAATTGTCCGTTCAGAAGCAGAGTGGATCTCGTTCATTCCTCTTTTAAAGGTGTGAAGGCAGCGGCAGCAGCGGAGTGTTTACGATGTGGTCGATGGTTTGGGATTCGTTGCCGCGCTACTGCCGGCCGTTGAATCTTTGTCCATAAGGTGGCCGCATCGGCTACATGGCCTGGTCACGATTCGGTTGACGGTCGACCAATGGCGGCGTAAACGGTTGAAACCGGCAGGTTCGACGGTAGGGTCCTGTATTTATTTGTATTTATGGCATGGAGTGAATTAAGTCAATAATATATACAATTAATCTGGTTTGCTTTTTGGAGATCAGGTTGGGGCCATCAACACACTGTACTTGAGAAACCATTTTAACCACAGCCGGTTGAAGCCTGGACACAAACCCAGGTTTTCAGCGGTAGCGGCTCCAGTGTCTATGACGCACGGTATCAGCCCCTCCCCCCACCCCTGGCGTGTCACCTGGTCATCCATGTACAACAATATTGTTAGTGTTTTACGTTTCAAAACTGAAACGTAAAACACTAACGATTGTTTTGTTACTTACTCCTACAGCACGCAGTGTCCAATGTGTAAAACATAAATAAATAAATATTCCCATAGTTCCGTGGGCCACCACCAACCACTGCTCCACATCCAGATTAAAAGCCTTCTATTTTTAAACACAAGGTCACCCTGCACTTGGGAAAAGGACATGGCAATATATTTTATAATTTTTTTTTTATTCCCCCACCCATTTCCACCCACCAAATTTCGAGTCCAATCAATCGTTGTGGGGACGCAGCTCGGCACTCCGCCCATGTTCGGGGCTGTGGTGCAAAACGATTTCTACCGATTCAAAATTCCGAAAAAAAACGCGCCGTTATCGGCTTTACGCCATCGAGGAGATTATGACGTTTCTTCCATGCCACGGTCTCGTATCGTATCGGCGAATGGGGACCCGTCCCCAGGTATTGTCGTCTTTAGCGGGTATGAGGGTATGCACTTTCGGATGCCCCATGACGAGCGATCGGGGTGTCAGCAAACCTGACTCAATTCGTTTCACGCTCGCGGTCACAGGTCCGCGCTCTCGGAAGCTGAGCAAACTTGAGCCTGGATAGTGATTGGATGGGCGACCACCGTGCATAGCAGGTGCTGCATGCCGCAGGGTCACATGGTGGTCAGTACAGCACAGTCCGTGCTCTACTGACCACCATGCAGCAACAAACAGCAACCAGCGATGACAATGACCGCTGATAATTATGATGCTGCTACTGCTGATGATGATGATGCGCAGAGTAGAGGCCCTTAACTGGGACAGGCATTCATTGCTTATAACTACACCGCCACTCAAAGCCAGATAATTTGTGATCAGACTGCGATGGAAAACTTAAACTGTGAAACGTAATCTCCGCATCCCCACAAGTCCATGGGCAGCGATCTCTGGGCCTTCACTCCCGTGGCACCCGGACTGTGGAACTCTCTGGGCCTTCACTCCCGTGGCACCCGGACTGTGGAACTCTCTCGGCCTTCACTCCCGTGACACCCGAACTGTGGAACTCTCTGGACCTTCCTTCCCGTGGTACCCGCACTGTGGAACTCTCTGGGCCTTCACTCCCGTGACACCCGGACTGAGGAACTCTCTGGGCCTTCACTCCCGTGGAACCCGCACTGTGGAACTCTCTGGGCCTTCACTCCCGTGGTACCCGCACTGTGGAACTCTCTGGACCTTCCTTCCCGTGGTACCCGCACTGTGGAACTCTCTGGGCCTTCACTCCCGTGGTACCCGCACTGTGGAACTCTCTGGGCCTTCACTCCCGTGGCACCCGGACTGTGGAACTCTCTGGGCCTTCACTCCCGTGGAACCCAGACTGTGGAACTCTCTGGACCTTCACTCCCGTGGCACCCAGACTGTGGAACTCTCTGGGCCTTCACTCCCGTGGTACCCAGACTGTGGAACTCTCTGGACCTTCACTCCCGTGGTACCCAGACTGTGGAACTCTCTGGACCTTCACTCCCGTGGCACCCAGACTGTGGAACTCTCTGGGCCTTCACTCCTGTGGAACCTGGACTGTGGAACTCTCTGGGCCTTCACTCCCGTGACACCCGGACTGTGGAACTCTCTACCAAAGGCTTTCAGGGAGTCTGGTTCGCCTAAAAATATTTCTCTGTCAGAAGGCATTTTCTATTTTAATTGGCCCACTTCTTACCCAACCACCCTGCTCCCTCCGCCCTGCCCACTGTCATTGATGTAACGTACCTTGAGATGTTATGAAAGCCAATATACAAGCAGCAATTATTGTAATTATCACATGTGAAGCATTAACAGAGATTAAGAGGAGGCGTAGATGCGAGAGTCTGGCTGGGTGAAATGTACCTTTCCAAACGAGCCCTGGCCCAAAACTTTGAGCAGCTCAAACTGTGATGGGTCGGCCTTCTCGGAGCCCTCCTTCACGTGATGGGTGATGTTTATCTCCTTGATGTGACCTTCATCTTGGCTCTGTGACGACGAAAAACGCACACAAACATGCATGCAAACACGCACGCATGCACACACAAGAACTCAAAACAATTGTTGCTTTAGCCAGGAACACATCTGGGGAAAAACACCGTCAGAGAGTGCCTAACATGGGCGTTGACAAGGCCAGGTGGTGGCCGCGTTGACCGCTCGCAGCAGAGGTTCGTGGTTCAAAGCCCAACGGCCGCCCTGGTAAATACTGCGGGGCTGTACATACCAAAAGGAGTACCGGTGGATGCTAAAGATCCCATGGGCACATTCGAAACGTAAGTCCAAATTTGAAAGGATTACCTATCCTTATCTGTGAAATAGAACGCCCGCATGATAGCCTCGCACTGCAATAATGGCACAAATACCAAACCAGAGGCTAGCGTGTCCAGTACCAAGAAACGTTCTCCTTTGTCTCCCCACAGCACCGCCATTTACACACAGTACCAGGTACTCATTTATGGCCGAGTCAACCTAGGAGAGACTGAGCGCTCTCTCGAGTTTCCCCCCGAGTTAGGCGCATAAACGCAAGCGGCGGCCGGATCAAGTTACTGCAGGGTCGCACCGTTACCGTTATCCAAATGAAATGTTTGACTGTTAAAACATTCGCCTCTGGATGTTCCAGCCTTCAAGAGTGTGTGCCGACATAATGTAACAATAATCCAACGTGCGATTACGTACCAAACAATTTGCACAAGTATAACATTATATATATACAACTTATAAGCAAGCCGGGAATAAATTTAACACAATTAGACCCCTGCAATGGGATTTACACTGCGAGGAATTAAGGGAACATCATTCAATGACATTCGTGTTTGGACAGCTTGTGAATTAGCCAAGAATAGTGCACATTACAGCACTCTGCTAATTGTGTGCGAGCTTGAGAGTGTGGGCGTGCAAATATGCGTGCGTACGCGTGTCTAAATGCGTGCCCGTCGGAGATATTTAATGGGGGTGGCGGCAGCGTTTGCGGTCAGCACAATGCACTACAAACCGGACCACCCAAATTCAATTCCCCGCCACGGCTAACAAAAGAGGCGCATATTGGAACCGGTTCCTGAGGCTGCGTATCCCCTAGGTCCGCTCGGCCTTGATTGAGTACCTGGTGCGGTGTGTAAATGTGTGGAGACAAAGGCCAGTCGAGTGTGGCGCTGGCCACCCACCCCCTAAGTGTGCCGTGCCGACCTTCATAGGTGCTCGCTAACAACAACTTAGACCAAGATAAAAAGATCCAACTCCCCTCCGCGCCCTGTGAAGTGTACACATCCGTTGGGGCACCTTCGTATTTGTCTTGTGTGCGTGCGTGCACAACGGCCACATGTACACTGTGACCTAGTCACCCGGGATGCGCTCCATCTCGAAAAGCTCAGCAGGTTTTTTTTTTGTTCAGCCTGGATAGTTGTTTTGACGGGTGACCACCGTGCCAACAGCAGGTTTGCTATAGGCTGCTGCGGCGCTATGCAGTCGGCAGCAGAGGGCAGAGCAGCGACGACTGCTGCAGGACTGTGCCCTGACGCCTTCGACGAACCCGCACCGACTGGCACGGTGAAAGTACGGTCAAACGACGAGCATGATCCGTGCGGCATTGGGAGGCCATCGCCCAGCTGTGAACTCGCACTGAGCCCAGCTTGATCGGCGGCCGTAGAGAGGCTCCCACTTGGTGGCGTTCAAGAGTACGGAGTCTATAAACTATTTAAAAAACGAAAAACTATTTTTTATTTCACCAGGTAAGGCCCACTGAGCTATACAGCTCTTTTGCAGGAGCGACCCGGCTCTCACAAATGATAGCTCAACAAAGCGGCTTATCACGTGGAAATTTATAGTCGTAGCCAAATACTCTAAACGCCGGTTTCTAAATGTGGAGCAAAAAACCGGAGGATCCGGAGAAAAATCCACGCGATCACGGGGAATGAGAACATGCAAATTCCAAATATCGAGGTGTCAGGGTCAGGATCGAACCCGCAACCTCCTGTATACCAAGTGAAGTAGTTAACATCTCGCCACTATTGGAGTGTGTATCATACCTGTCAACCCATACGATTGACAGGGAAATTTAGTTTTCAGGCACATACGCTGTACAGCCGTTTGAATACGGGCACATTTTTTAAAATATGTTCACGTTTCTCCCTTGTGATGGGATTTTGTAGGATGAACGTTGAGATTTATAAGGGCACGGGGTGACCAATAAGGTGTGAAATGGTCTGTAATAAGGTAGGGTACTGATAAGGGGTTGACAGGTATGGTGTTTGCACGTGTTGAATTTTATTCGCACCGTACATAGCCAGCCGTGCTAATCGGAGGTGCAGCAGTGTCGGCGATCGCCGTGTGAGCAGCTGCACATCGCCCACAACGCTAACGTCCCGGCGTGGCCTTGAAGCCCGGCCCCGTTCCCGAGCTGTCAGTTCCGAGACAAAACCGTTGTCCAGATCATGCAACTCAATCATCGCCTGCAACTGCTTTGTCCGTCGCCTGAGCGAGTAGCTGTACTACAAGGTTCCCGCGTTGCAAAGCACGCGCATGGCTGTTTCTGGTAATGGCGGTTGGCGGCCGACTCTCCTGGCGCGGTCAGTTCTATTAAACGGACGGTTCGATCGTCACCGACGAAGAGATGCCCATTATAGTCGCCACATCCTTCACCCGTGTTCAGTGGCTAAGATGTTGACGTAGACCGAGGCGACGCTGCGTAGACGCTAGACAGGACGGCGATCGAAGCATCCCCAGAAACAAGGGCCATATCCTGCCCTTGTCCATGAGTGACCGAATGTTTAGAACAGGAAGTTAAACGACGACTCATAGTTTTAAGCACCACGTTTATGTTGTCTAACAGGGTGAGAACTCTAAATGCCAGTATGAGCCTCAATTGTAAGAGTGACCTGCAGCATTCATTAGAGCATTCTGTGGGCGATTTTTTTTTGGCAAAATTAGTTGGAAAATGTGCTAACGATGGACCGCTTCACCACAAATCGCAGAGTCTGCCTCTACTTTCAAGCGAGCAACTAGTTGTGCCACTGCTTGCAACCCGGTTGCAGAGGCGTCCGCGTGCAAGCGAGTTGTGCAGCCGATCGTTCAGGTGCAGGTCCGGCTTCAGGGCTAAGCGGGCCAAGTTGGCACACGGACACAAAGGCACACACGGGAAGAGGATGCCCACTTGCCAGGCGAAAACAGCTCCCCATCACCTCTCACTCAGTGGCCAGCCACCGCCAGGGTGTGATGCCGTCATGACAAGTAGGGGGGGGGGGCGAGGGATCGTTTTACTTGTGGCCGAGTGCCGCGGGCCTCGAATATAGCGCCAGCTGACACGAAGCAGAGGCAGGGTTGCGCGGGGAAAGTCCTAATTTCTCGGGGGACTGAGCAGAGTGTTGGAAATGCTTTAACGACAAATGGCTGGCGAGCTGGCGTAAGGATTGCTGATGGCTGCTGTTACGAGCGACGTGTGAAAGAGTGTATGTGTGTCTTTGTGTGTGTGTCTGTGTAGTGTGGGGAGCGGTAGTGTAGCGGTTAGCGCGCTGCGCTATGAACCTGGCGACCCGGGTTCGATTTCCGCTCACGGCCAACACCAGTGACGATTATCTGAACCGGTCCTGGGCCTCCCCTAGGTCGACTCAGCCTCAAATTAGTATCTGATGCGGTGTCTAGACATCGCCACTGGGGAGACAAAGGCGGCCAGACGTGACGCTGACCACCTCCCCGCCCTCGTCTGCCGTGCCGGCCTTCATAGGATCTCGCTAATAGCACTTGCCTCAAGTCTGTCGAGGATAGACGGGGAACCTTTGTCTTGTCTATGTTACAGCCCTTTTGTCATTCCACTGCTGGATGAGCACCACGCTAAGCCGTGTGGGCCGTGGGGGTTGGGATGAGTACCTGGTGTGATGGATAAAAACCTTGCCACTGCGGAGACTAAGGCGGTCGGGCGTGGTGATGGCCACCCACCCCCTCATGTACCGTTCCGGCCTTCATAGGTGCTCGCTAACGGCACTTGCCCCAACAGCCTGTTAAGGCTATACGGGGGATCTTCGTTTTTTCTGTCATACACAGTACTGTATGCACAAGGCATTTATTGTACAACAGTCGTTATGAAAAGGACAAACTCTTTCCTGGTCAGTATAACAGGAGACGTTTCGGGTACAGCAGTGGATAGATCACGGCCCCATGATGATAATAATAATGATGGTGGCGGTAAAGCTTTGCAGTCTATACCGCGGTAGACAACGCTGTAATTAGGTTAATGATATATTTGCTGAGAGCAATTCTAGTACCGTTCAATCAAATCCATTAAGCGTATTAAATCGGTTAAATTGCTTTTCAATAAAAGCTTTATCGTACGCATTAAAAAGAAAGGCTTTCCTTTATAATGCATATGTATACACATAGTTCATAGCTTAATACAATATATATGAATGCAGTTGTGATGGGTAAGGTACACCCATAAATGTGCACATGCATGTGTGTACATAGAGCAGTACATACATGTGTATGTGCATAAACACATAAAAAGTGTACTATTTGTAGAAAAAAATCTTTACCTAAACCAGCTGAAGACTTCAGTAAGTCACGTGACTCCTGTGTGGTTCCCCCCCCCCCGGCCACTCTGAACCCCTCCCCTCTCCCGCTGTGAAAACGTACTCCGCTCATCCTCCTCCGTACAATAGCAGCAAAGTCAAGGCCCTGATGCAGCCTCTCCCTCCTCACCTCACTTCCAAAAAAGAGCTACATAGCTCAGCGGGGCCTTACCTGGTCTCCCCAGTGCTGAAATTCTAAATTCATTCCAGGCACTCATTCAAGGCTGAGCCAACCTAAAGGAGGGGGCAACCATGCCGGTACTGATTGCATTGGGAAGGGCTTCTTTGACACGATGACCAACTACACAGCCGAGACACCTGCACGCTTTTCAGGGCAAATTGGCGGCACATTAGGAAGCGTGGGGATGCACGGGGTTAGAAGTGGAGGGGGGGGAGCCCATTCTGTCCCGGAACAGCAGCAGCAAGACGGCC